CATTAATATGGAGTCCCCCCCCCTCCCTTTGCAGCTATAACAGCTTCCACTCTTCTGGGAAGGCTTTCTACAAGATTTTTGGAGTGTGTCTGTGGGAATTTTTGCCCATTCACCCAGAAGAGCATTTGTGAGGTCAGACACTGATGTTGGACGAGAGGGCCTGGCTCACAATCTCCGTTCTAGTTCATCCCAAAGGTGTTCGATGGGGTTGAGGTCAGGGCTCTGTGCGGGCCAGTCAAGTTCTGCCATACCAAACTCACCCAACCATGCCTTTACGGACCTTGCTTTGTGCACTGGGGCAGTCATGCTGGAACAGAAAAGGGCCTTCCCCCAACTGTTCCCACAAAGGTGGAAGCATAGAATTGTCGAAAATGTCTTGGTAAGCTGAAGCATTAAGATTTCCCTTCACTGGAACAAATGGGCCAAGGTCAACCCCTGAAGAACAACCCCATAACATTATCCCTCCTCCGCCAAACTTTACAATTGGCACAATGCAGTCAGGCAGGTAACGTTCTCATGGCATTCGCCAAACTCAGACTCGTCCATCAGACTGCCAGAGAAGCCTGCCTAGAGAAGCGCGATTCGCCACTCCACCGAACACGTTTCCACTGCTCCAGAGTCCAGTGGCGGCGTTCTTTACACCGTTTCATCCGACACTTGGCATTGTGCTTGGAGATGTAAGGCTTGAATGCAGCTGCTGGGCCATGGAAACCCATGCCATGAAGCTCCCGGTGCACAGTTTTTGTGCTGATGTTAATGCCAGAGGAGGTTTGGAACTCTGCAGTTATTGAGTCAGCAGAGCGCTGGCGACTTTTACGCACATTGTGGCTGAGTTGTTGTGGTTCCTAAACGCTTCCATTTTGCAATAATACCACTCACAGTTGATCGTGGAATATCTAGGAGGGAAGAAATTTCACGAACTGACTTGTTGCAGTGGTGGCATCCTATTACAGTACCATGCTCAAATTCAGTTAGCTCTTCAGAACGACCCGTTCTTTCACAAATGTTTATAAAGGCAGACTGCATGGCTAGGTGCTTGATTTTATACACCTGTGGCAGTGTGTTCAGGCATCTGATCAGGATGCCTCCTGGGCACCTTCCATTGGAGATTTTCCCGGCATGTCCCACTGATAGGAGGCCATAGACTACACATCTCATCTGGCCTGGGAATGCTTTGCGATCCCCCAGAAGTAACTGGGAAGCATTGCTTGGTACAGAGACGTCTAGACAAGCAGTAGAAAATGGATGGATAGAAATGGACCAAGTCTTTTTAGTTATGTATATAATTTAGCCTGTATTTGTTGTATTTGTATTAGCTTGTTTTCTGATTTATGCTTTTGTATTAAACTATCAGCTATCAGCTATCAGCTAACAGTTCAGCAAGATTTGACTGACAGAGGTTGCTGTCATCCCCACTCACCATGTTTGTTTCAGCTTCAGCCTAATAGTTTTCATAGAGAATATTACAATTAGAGATGGGGGAAGATCTTTGTGTCTGTCGAGACTTGTGATCGCCAGGAATAGCTGGCAGGGGGTCATTTGTTTAATAACCATTCTCACATAGCTGTTTGAATGCTCACATAGCTTTCCATGTCCTCAGATTAAAGGGGTGGAGCAGAAAGTGGAAGACTTTGTCATCTTCATCATATGCCAGATTAGAAAAGCCAAGTGTAAAAACATTATTTTGGCATTTCCACTCGAGTTCTAGTTTGCAAATTGAAAATGCTTGTGAAAAGGGAATTTGAACGCACATACAGTCTTTGGCATCACGTTTTGCTGGGTAGGAATTTGGTGGCGGGACGGTGTCATTCTCGTCCATTCGCCTGTTTGCTTTAACATCTTTAGGAATAGGCTGAACGGCGGAAAAGGAGAAGTGTAACTTATTATGGGTTAAAGTGGGTTGAAGTGGTCAGTGGAGTTCATCTAGTGGGAAAAACGGGCTGCTGAAAGTCACATGCTCACACTCCATAACCTGCGAAATTAGTTAATTCCATGGAAGCTAGTTGAGAGAGGACTGCTGAAAAGTTAAAAGTTCAGTAACCTTTCCATTAACTCAGACTGCTTGTTATAAATACAATTTGGTCCCACATGCACAACAAGAGACTTCACGGATGGGTGGCAGATGACAGTTAAGTCAGACATTCAGTCATCAGAAAAGTAGCAGGCCTTTAAGTTACTACTGTGTATTACAGCAGAATCACCAACAATTAAAGTTTCAGGCTCAATAAGTTGGTGCTCCTGAGATCTGCCATGTTTGTTCTGCCTCACTGAGGAATGTTGGGCTACCACTCTTTGCTCTCTTGCTGAGGAGCAGGGATTTCTCATTTGCGTAATTGTTGATGGCTGAACCTGGGTGTCTGGTAGTGGCTCAGCTCATTCTTCAGATGTTGAAAGCACTGATTTTATTCATTTAGTTTTGGTAACAAGTTCAGATGTTTCATCACAGATAGGCAGATCAACCAAAAAGTGATGTTCAGAGGCTTGAAGAGGTGAAACTATCCAATGTGACTATTCATATACTATCATATACTAATCATACACTGAACATGATGTAGGCTACAGGAGCATGAGAGGAAAGAGATAAGCAAAAAAAAAAATGCATGTATGTGTGCGTATGTGAACATGTATTATTACATATATTGTACATAATTGCACTTAACTAAGGCCATGGCACTAGCCTGAAATGTATCCAAACCCAAACAGTTGTTTTCTCTTTTTTCTTTTCCTCCTTTCTTCACACACTGTCCCATTCGCCCTTAGCTGTCCATGTTACATATATGTTTTGTATGCTTATATCAACACTTATTAATATGTCTATGTCCACACTGACCATATATGTATGCACTACATGTAGCTATGCACTAAATGATGAAGCCCATAAAATTAATCACTAGATTAATCAATGACAATAATAAAAATAAATGTTAGATGTTACCCTGCTGTAAACACACACACACATACACACACACACACACACACACACAGACACACACACACATACACACACACACACACACACACACAGACACACACACACATACACACACACACACACACACACACAGACACACACACACATACACACACACACACACACACACACACACACGCACACACACATACACAAGGATCACGTGCTATAGAAAGTGATCAACTTTCATTATGTCAGCAATCCTCAACACTAACTGTGCTTTTGTTTGAGGTCATGCACTTTAAATTTACGACTGCAACAACCTACCTGGCCCTCTGACCGAAAATACCTGAGTGGCTTTCTGGCAAGAGGGGGGAGGGAGGGGGGGGTCTTCTTTATGAGAATGTTCACGGAGCGTGCGCAGTCATGCACATGAGCAGGCTGCATTAACGAAGGTGTGTGGAGGAGGCGAAGCAGCTGTTGAGGAGCGAAGAAGAGAGTCAGCACATTCTCCTTGCACTTTGTGGAAGAAAATCGACTGCATGAACTACCAGTGGTGAGTCTTTGCTTTTTTTCTTCTTTTTTTAAATTTACCTTTTTTTTTAAATTTTTTTATTTACCCTTTTAAATAAAAAAAAAAAAAAACTTATTTACCACATATCTAAGAACCTGTAAAAACCTGATGTATAACTGAAAATATTTTAGCTGCAGTGCCCTGCATACTTTACTCTGACACAGACACATTGCATATAAATAGTTTATTCATATTCTGTGATTCACAATATTCTAGGCTACCACCTGAAACAAGCTTTACTTCAATTAAAATATTGTGGAAGGAGTGCATATACTTTAATTCAGCCTTACACTTAGAATTTTGTAGGTGCAATATCCCACTTTGTGGTTTTTGCAGTTCAAAAAAAAATCAAGGAAAAACAATGGCAAAATGGGACAAATATATAAGATGTACTGAATTCACAATTATTGTGTGGGGAAAAGTTTCAGTCAGAAAAAAGTACTTATGAATATTCAATTTAACAATCCCCTAAATCCACCAAGAGTCGGTATGTACTGTAAATGAATTCATTTCTTGTCATTAGTGTAAAAATCTCTCTAAACCTCTCTAAACAAGGGTTTGTCAACAACCAGTAGGAGCATCTTTCTGGTCTGATGCTGCTCAGTATAAGACAAATCAGTGTGGTGTGATAGGTTAGGCTATTGGCTAGTTAAAGTAAGGATTTGGTAACTACAATTTGGTTTCGGGAAAGATAATGGGTGTTGGTGCTATTGGGGAAAGTCTGTTTAATCACACATGACTCATAGCATTGTTTTCGTCTGGTTGTTGGTAGGAGACAAAACATGAATCCTGACCTGCAGTGTCAGAGTCAAATGCTTTGTGTGTCCATCCATTCACTCCAAACTTTTTGCAGTGCCATAAGAATGTCTGACCATTTGAAGCTTCAAAGGTTATTATATGTGTGTTGAACAAGGAACCAAGGCTGATATTTTACTAAGAAAAGAAGAAAAATTTTATAATTACCCCAATGTTTTGAGCGGGTTCAACTTTTATTTGCAGGCACACGAGAATGGGACAGATTGAATACTGCTGACATTTTTATGCGATTGCACAAATGGAGAGTTGTTGGTGGTAATGTGCCATGAAACCTAGCACTGCACCAGCAAAGGCAGAATAAGACTGCATGGTTTATGGCTGTTAAAATGTTTTAAAAATTAGCTTTGTAGATGTATTTTGAGGAAAGTATTTGTTAGACTTAAATGCATATGCATTTCGGTGAGAAACTCAGTATGTGTTTATAGGAAACCAAGAAAAGACGCAACTTGTGGAGGTTTTGACTGCTGCTAGAACAGTGTTCATATTTTAAGAATTTCTCTGGAGAAATTCCATAACTCGTGACTTCACCAGAAATATAGGAAACTGCCACATCCAGTGATGTCATACAGTAGACTAGATATGCTTGTGTCAAGTGTTTCCATCAGTTGTATGGTCACTAATTGACTGTAATTCCCTCTGACAGATCCACCAAACATCTGAATTCACCTATACACCTATACTACAAGGCGGACGGCATCAAAGTAAAATAATGGAAGAGCAGACTGCCAGTGAACCATCCAGATCGGGATTTGTCCTGGCTGACTACGCTGTCTTTGCCACCATGTTGTTAGTCTCTATGGCCATAGGACTCTTCCAGGCCCTACACAAGAGGCCAAGAGACGCCAGTGTTGATGACTTCTTCACCGGTGGTCGGAGCATGCCGGCAGTGCCTGTTGGGCTGTCGCTCTGTGCCAGTTTTATGTCAGCAGTCCAGGTTCTGGGTGTTCCCGCTGAGGCTTCCCGCTATGGCTTTAAATTCCTCTACATGTGCCTTGGACAAAGCATCAACTCCCTGCTGACAGCTTACCTCTTCCTGCCAGTTTTCTTTCGACTGGGCATCACCAGCACCAATCAGGTCTTAATGAGCTTCCAGTTATTTTCATTCATTGTCATATCATATCACCAGAGCATAAAGTGACTGAATATTACAGAAAGCCAGAGAAGGTAACGATTTAAATATGTATCGTGTTTCTTTAGTTTTTTTTTCTCATCGACGTTTAATGACTCAAATGATTAAGAAATATTCTCACTTTCTTTGAGTTGACAATGACAACATTATTAGTCTTTGATCATGAATTTAGTATCCAGATTTTGATATTTCATGATAAATTTGGCATCGATATGTCAAAATGACAAACGTTTGTTGGCAAACGATTACTTACTTACACATTCTGGAGACAGAACAACATGAGCAGCCCTTTGTCATTTAAATCAGTGTTAATATGAAAATATGGCTCAGTGCTGGTTTTAAAAAACGTAATCTTTACCCATGTCCTCTGTGGCGTCTGTGAAATGTTGTATTCAATATGTTATTGGCTGCAGTTTTGTACTAATTTTTCATTATAGTCTGCAAAACCCTACCACCATATTTATTTATTCAGAATTTGATAATCCTGAAAAAGGTACATTTCAGTTTTGCGTAAACTGTGCAAAGGTCTAAAAATTTCAGTCTGTAGGATTTTCAGAGGAACAAGAACATTTTATTAGTTTTTTGTTGTAGATTTTTGTACCACAATAGCAGAAGAGGGATGGGGCTAATTTGAGAGTTTAAACAAACTAACACAAAATAATTAAGCATTAAAATACCTATAGTAGGCTATTTCTGACCAATTATATTGTAGAAATTCGACCAGGATCTCTCTGACAAAATGTTGAAATGCACCTGTGGCTCATCAAATGAGATGAATATAGGAGGTGAGGAAGGATGAGGGACGTGTGCAGAGATACTCTGATGTGTTATAACTCCAGCCATCTGTCTGTCACAGTATCTGAAGATGAGATTTGGCAGAGGGATGCAGCTGGTGGGGAGTATCCAGTTTCTTGTGGCGACGGTAAGAAAGACATCGTTGTGTTCCCTGTTACTCAGTGTTGTTGAGGACAAAGCTGTAGTGCTCTAGCTAGTTTAGTGCTCTTAAAGAGGTTGTCACATTTTCATTCATTTTCTAATGCAAATAGTCACTTGGGCTCAGACTCACACTCTGGGCAGCCAGTTCTTCATTTGCACAAACCAAACTTCACCCCTAAAACTTTTTCACTCTGCAATGTGTCACTGAGTTTACAGTTTTCCTTGTGTTTCCCTGTTCTCAGCTGCTTTACACAGGGATTGTCATCTATGCACCAGCCTTGATCCTCAACCAAGGTAAGAGAGCTCACCTGATGCCCCGCTGTCTGCAGGGATTAATGGGATCTTTTCTTTCATCTGGCATTTTGGTTGTAATTCCCACAATTCTTTGATATTTCATCCATCACTCACAAAAGAAACACAAATTTCTCCATGAATTGATAACTTTATCAATGTGTTTACGTATGTGTGTTTATGTGTTTAAGATTTCCTCCATTTTTACACCCAACACCAAGACCTGACAAGGTGAAATTAGCTTGACACAGATAAATAAAAAGCTCTTTATCATCTGTGTATTTATGGTTGCAGATACTTTCTCGTCAGTATCAAAGTTAGTGACAAGGTGACAAAAGAATTAACCCTACCACTGAGAACAGGATGTGTGAAGTGAATTCAAGAGAAATATGAGCTACAGAAGAATTTATTCTATTTAAATACTGATATAAAAGTGTAAAAGTGATATAAAAATCCACACTGACACATGTTTTCGTTAAGACTTAAAACAATGACAATGAACATTTAAGAAAAATCTACAAAGTTGCAGACATTTTGAAACAGTGTTACCAGTTTGTCCACCAGAAAACATTAACAAGTTTATTTTTCAACTGGAAAATGTACCATTTAGTAGATATCCTGGTCACATTCTTTAACATGTAATCATATTTTTAAACTCAAATACAAATTTCAGCTTCAAAAATCCATTATTACTCTGCACAAGGGGTTTACAGGGAAATGATACATGTAAGTGCAAACACTTTATAAACCTTGTTTTTCTTTCTTTTTTTAATTTCAGCTACTGGACTCAATATGTGGGTGTCTTTGTTTTCTACTGGGATCATTTGCACCCTGTACACCACACTGGTAAGAACATATTTTCTCCATCTATTCAAGACAACATGGACATTATGAACATCATTAACAGACAGGACTGGCTTCTGTCAAGACTCCTGTCAGGGTGCAACACGTCTGACAGATGGATATTTGCTCTAGCCAGTGACAATATAGCACTGTATACCAGCAGTTATATCAGTGTTACTGTGCCCACTAGCCGAGTCTTGCAGAGAGTTTTATCATTGTTAAACTGAAAGACGTCTAGAAATGCCACAGTTGGACATGGTTGTTGACGTTTGAACCTAAACCTGTGTCTGTGTACTCTCTCATTCTGGGGCTTTGGTATTTTTTTCTAGAGAGCTGATATCATATTGTTACTCAAACTGCATTTTTGTGGTAACTTTTAACTTGTCATTTCCTGTTTTATGTTGAAATTCTTACTTTTGTCTCTATGCTTGTTTTTCTTCCTGCCCTTGTTTGATTGCCCCAGTTAGTTTGACCTGTTATCCTTACCTTCCTTTATCACTTTATCAGATGGTCTATGTAAGTTCCTGGTTATGTTTCCCTTGTGTTCCTTGTGTGGAGAACCCTGTTTTTGCTCTTGCCTGGTTCCTGATAGTGGGGTTTTTTCCCCTCAGTCTTCTTCCTTGTTGTAAAACTTGTAAACATTATCTGTGATTATTAGATTAACTTCATTGCACCAACCTGCCTTTGTGTGTTTCTGCATTTGGGTCCAAAAATCATTCAGCTGTGACAAAGCCTTTGTGGAAATCAATGCATGTAAACATGAGGACTGAATCGGGGTTAGTTTCATCTTGGCAGCAAAGTCCTATGACAGATTGTTCAAGGATAAAAGGCAAATATCCAAAAGGACTAGTTTTATTACTGTAACTTTATGACATCACAAATGCAACTTCACATGTGATGACCTGCACTGCGTTTCTCGTGGAAGAGCCATATTTACAGTTGGTCTCACCTGGTTAAATGCACCAATTTTAATATAGACAAGCCCCCAGATTTTTAATGAACCCCTCCAAAGATGAGAAATGTGAATGTTTAACACCAGATTACCATGTAGACACTACATCTCGTTTCATAGCATAAGAGGTGTTACATCATGTCCTTATTTTGGTTTTTATAAAAGTCTCAGTTGTTGTCTTGCATTTGCCTAAAGGTCTCACTCCTTGCCACTCTGTCTCTGTCTTTTCCATCATCTGTTTGTAACAGGGTGGCATGAAAGCTGTGATCTGGACCGATGTATTCCAGATCATTGTCATGTTGTCCGGTTTTGTGGCCATTTTAATCCAAGGCACAGTTCTGGTCGGTGGTCCTGCACTGGTGCTGGAGATCGCCAAGAATGGATCGCGCATTAATTTTAATGAGTAACAACATTTTGATTTCAACTCATAAATATCTGATAACCACACATTACTGTATGAGCACAACAACATGCTTACACCATATAATCTCATCACAGTCTGGCTACAGTTCCTTCACAGTAATCTTAAATACTCCTTGGTGATAATTGATATCATTTCAGACTGTTTAAAAAAATTGAAAGCACAAAATTACACTATACTTTCAATTGAGCACAAAAGTTAACTCTTGACAAATGAAACAAACAAAAAAAAATCTTAACTCAAGGTCAGCTTACCAGCTTTTCCTTGAGTCTGTCTTGGTGGGCAGAATTTGTTCAGAAATTGTCTTCACATTGGTGAGGTGTGGTCAAAAGCTGATGAACTGATTTGTTGATTTGTTGTTTTCCCACCAGTTTTGATGTTGACCCACGGCGGCGCTATACCTTCTGGAGCCTCTCTGTCGGGGGTGCATTTGTTTGGCTGTCCATGTATAGTGTAAACCAAGCTCAAGTGCAGCGGTACATCTCCTGCAGAACAGAGAGAGATGCCCAGTGGTGAGTGGAGACTTGTACGTCATTTACGTAACGTTCAAGCACTTGAAGATCTACTGAACCAGGTATTTAGACATTAGAACAGCTACTTCCAAAACTCATTGACAGACTGCAGAAAAACCTCAACCTAGCATCTGTGAAATCAACTACAGATTTCAAAAGCGACATTTTAGGTTTCCTGTCCCTGATCTGAGAGGCAGCATAAACTGCATATCACTGGAAGATGTGTGGAGGAAACTTTTATGCTTACTTATTTTGAGGCTTGGTGTTTGGCTCTTCACAAGTGAAATAACAGGCTGTGACAGCTATCCATCAAGCAAGCAGAGCCCCAAACAAAATGCTTGTTGTTTTTGTTGTGGTGTGATAGAGATTTTGTGACTTGATCAAGGACGTGTCAACAGACCACTGGATCCAAAAATATGATCATTTTTAGTTCCTCACTTTGAAGCCACAGCGTTGCTATAAGGACTGGCAATGTTGTTTTTTTATTTTGGTTAGTCCACCGCTTTGGTCCAGACTGAATCAATAACTCAATATCTCAACAACTGCTGAATGGGTTGCCATGAAATTTTATACAGCTATTCATGGTCCCCAGAGGTTGAGTTCTTCTGACTTTGGTGATCCCCTCACTTTTTTCTCCCCTGTGAGGTTGACATTTTGAGTTCTGCGTAAATTCTGACTGAATATAAAACATTCCAATTAGTCTAGGCTATCCTTTGTGTTTAGCACTAATTAGCAAATGTTAGCATGGTGACAAGCTAAAGTAAGACGGCAAACATGGTAAACTTTGTATCTGCTTATCATCCGCATGTTAATATAGTCATTATGAGCATGTTAGCATTTAGCCTCACGGCACTACTAGCATGGGTTTAGACAGTCTTGTTTAATGGTTATTCTGGTGTAAGGGCCTGTTTATGGTCTCTCAGAACTAGGTCTGTGCTGTCCGACCACATCGAAAATCAAATGCTTTCCTCTCATAGAGAGAGGCGAGACACACTATAGTAGAAAAATGGGGTTAACGGGACAGATTTTCAGACAGTCCCTGCAGTGAGACGTTCATAGTGTTACACATGGTTCTACAGTTGGAAAGTGCTGCAAATAGCTGAGTAACAAATGGTCAACAAAGAGAGCTAGAGGGAGAAGTTCAATACTGACTCCTTTCTTGCTTTCACACAGCTGTCCAGTCACAGCGTGAAGTCGGATTGTCAGTTTCAGAAAGTTACAGAAATGGTCAGACATAGACCCCCCTATCTGATGTCGGAAAGGTGTTGTGGGAGGAGGATTCCGACCCTATCTGACATGTCATTCAAAAGGAGGATAAATCCCAGGATGTTGTGACCCATACAGGAATTTAATCATGTAACATTAAATTACATTGCCTCTCTTACATGTTTTTATTGAGGTATGTGTTATGTTTTGCTGTACTTGCAAAAAAGTCAGATTCATCCCAGTGCTTCACAGGAGGATTGTGATGTAATCAGATGCTGACATATTCAAACATATTCACAATATTGTGAATATATTCACACCAGGTAACTGTGTAAATAGTGGAAATGCAGAACGCTAACATTTAACCTGGGTTACTAAAATGATGTTTGATTTTGATTGTAGGGCTCTGTTTGTGAACCAAGTGGGTCTGTGCTTTATTGTGAGCAGTGCAGCAACCTGCGGCATCGTCATGTTTGCATACTACATCAACTGCGATCCACTGAAGTCTGGAATAATATCTGCTCCTGATCTGGTACTCATGACACTCCTGAAAAAAATATTCATATAGATCCATGAATAGAGGTTGATACTGTGTGGGTTTCAACTGCTACAGAGTTTGAAAGCCATTTTGATTACTGATATTATGTATTGGTGCTACATAAGTAATATTTTTTTGATAAATTAAACTCTGTCTTTAAATTAGAGTGAAATTTGCTGAATATTTTCCTCATGATTTTATTCAATGGGACATTATTTTTGTTTCCACTGCAAATGTAAGGGTTGCTAATGTTCATGTCAAGATTAAAAACAGTTTGAAAGATTTTCTTTGCCAGATACTCATCTATCATTTACATACATGTGCTACTTTACATTTCAAATAGCTGTTTACCACACTGATGCGATTAAGGTCAAACAACGTAGAAAGCTGAAATGTATTTTACAGATTGTAAACAGGATAAAAAAAAGTTCTGTACTGGCTGGTGACAAGGACTTTGATTAAGAGAAATATTTTCTTCAGTATTTTCTCGATTAGATATTTTTCAATGAAGAACAATGGAAAATTATAAATTTTTCTAACACTGATATTCACTTTGTCATTTTTCCTCCTTTCACTGGTCTAATAAAGTATATGCCATACTTTGTGCTGGACATATTCAGAGGTCACGCAGGCTTTCCAGGTCTTTTCCTTGCCTGTGCATACAGCGGGACTCTGAGGTATTTGAGTCTTTGTAACTAAACTTGTGACATATTTCCCCATAGCATGACATTAAAGAGAGTTAGTAATATCAATCACTACTGTAAAATGCTGATCTGGGATCATTAGTAAAACAAATGTCTTTTTACAGCACAGCCTCCACAAGTATCAACGCCATGGCTGCAGTAACCATGGAGGATCTGCTGCGACCTCATCTAGTTCACATGACCCAGAAGAAACTGATCCTTCTTTCCAAAGGACTGTGTAGGTTGATTCTCGCTGTCGATATCCACTTAAATGAGTATTTATCCTTGAAACCACTTTTGTTTTAAAACCAATCATCATGACATAATGCAGAAAACTGTCACTTCATTTACACTGCTACCAACTTTGTTATTTTGTTGTCACCTCATCACATTTCACAATTCACCTAGATAAAACCAGTTCCGTATCATGAGTCCCAGGCAAATGCTAAGGCTTGTATTTTGCACAGTTGAACTACATTACTCCACTGTTTACTATTTACCTTTTTCTTTAAGCTTTCCTGTATGGAGTTGGTTGTATCACCGTAGCTGCTCTCTCCTCTTTCCTGGACTGGGGAGTTCTGCAGGTATAATACCTCAACATTTCCGTATTATATAACATTTAATCCATCATGCAACCCCCAGTCCATTCTCAAAATGCAGCATTACAAGAGCTTTAAAAGGAACACAATCCCGAAAGTAGCTTATGAAATTATGCAATACTGAATAATGAATGGAATAATGGATTTTTTGTTGGATGTTAGGACAGCAGACAAACTAGGTGTTGTTATTTTTCCTTTTTTTTTCTCAATTTACCTAAAATTTGATCACTTATCAAAAATTATAACAGATTAATCAAAGTTATCCTATTAGCAAGGTTTTGTAGAAGAAGAAATATTGGGCTATTATTGGGCTAATGAGCAGTGGTACAGACTGAACTGCACTACAAGATTTACTATGTATTCTTTAATTGAATATCAGCAGAGTGTTTGATTGCTTTTCCAACGCTTCCTTTGTTTTCTCTCCTCAGGGGTCATTCACTGTTATGGGTGTAGTCAGTGGTCCATTACTGGGTGTATTCATTTTGGGGATGTTTGTTCCAGCAGCAAACAAGCTGGTGAGTGGCTGGTAATCCAGTTTTTAAGACAAGCGTATAAGAAATGTTCACAATGCACACACCCTAAATTTCTTCAGTGGCTTGTGTCCAGTTTTCCAGACAAACTTATAAGAAATGTTCACAAGGCACACGCCTTAAATTCTCTGCAAAGGGTTAGTCTGCGGTCTCTTTCAACATAAGAAACAACAGTACAATGACTGAAAAAAACCCTAAACTGAATTGCACAATATTTGGTGGAAAGGTTGTTTTCCTAGAAACAAGACTTCTTGCAAGACTTCCCAAAAAATGCATTTAAAGATCCACCCACTCATGTATTATAATAGTATCTATCTCTTATTGTCACTCTGGATTAGATTAGTCTTATCTTTAATGGTTGATATTTACGGACACAAAAGGTAAAATTGTGTCCTTTTTTCTGATCTTCAGCTTTAATTCCAACTTGTCTCTTCCCTCCCTCTGCTATATTCACTGGCTACGTAGCTATAATATAGTAGCTTTTGCACAAAAGCAATTGGCTGCAAACATTGATTGTGTTGCCTCTAGTAATGTCACAAATATTAAAAAACAAACTAACACTGCTGAGTAGAGGGAAGTACTTTTCATAAAATGTGACTAGTTGCTGATCATTTTAGACATTAGATTCATTTAAATACATACGCTTGAAGTCCTCTTCTTTGTGTTATGACGGCACAACTGTGGTTTCAAGTTCTAGCTATTACGGAAGTATGGTACTTTCCTGATAGTCACACTATCACCTGTTGAATTGGTATTTATTGTTAATATCACTTCCTGATTTAAGGAGGTCACTGTCTAAAACCAGATTCAACCTTTTAAAATCATTAACTTAACACCTCCTTGAGACAACTTTCAGAGCACTTACTGCATGTTGGGCAGATCAGCAGGAATGTCACACTTAACAAACATGAGCCCCCCCACTCACCTTTACATTGTCCTTGTTCACCAGACAGTTTTTCTGGAAGTCAGTCTTTCCTCAGCGGTCTGTGTTATCACCAAGAAATTCATGACAGCTTTCACTGACGTTAGGTGACAGTGATTTATGTGATTTTATTTCAGGTGCGAGTTTACAATATAAACAAACATACATTTTTATTAGACATTTTTATTTTTTATTCTATTTTGATAGAAAGTTAAATAGAACATTTTATAAGAATTTGCTCTTTTCAAATGTTAAGTGTCTTAATTTGTAACAACTATTGTCTATTTTATTAGAACTTTCAGAAATTTTTCTATTTGTGGATCCTCGACACATCAGTTAATGCCAGCAAAAACCAACCGATGTTCGCTCAACAACGTCTCAACTGATGGCTGATTGGTGTGGACTGTCAGGGCCCTTACACTATGTTATTCTTTATCCATTTTGTTGTCTTTATCTGTCTTTCAGGGGGCATACTCTGGAATAGTAGTGGGCTTTTGTGTCTCTCTGTGGCTTGCTGTCGGTTCGACCCTTTACCCGCCCAGTGAGGAGACGATGGGTGTCTTGCCCAGCTACACGGACGAGTGTCAACATGGCAACGTCACCCTGAACAGCAGCCCTAACAAGGACCAGCACTCCATCTCCACCCCACTTCGCCCCAATAATGAGGGGTCAGTGATTGCACTGACACACAACTTTTCTTTTTTTCCTTCCTGTGGTTTACACTGGTTTATACTGTATGTATGTATGTATGGACGGAGGTTGGTTCTGATCATCACAGTTTGTGTTAAAAGAACAAAAATAAAATGGGAAGATAATTCATTTCCTTAGTCAATGTGGTGCCATTTTAAATGGTGGAGTGTAGTGGAGCATTTTTGTGTTATTTATTTTCTTTGCTCTGACTTTTCCAAAACTAGGGGCCTGCAGAACTTCTACTCCATGTCCTACCTCTACTTTGGTGCCATGGCAACTAGTTCAGTTGTATTAGTTGGGCTGATAGTGAGTTATGCAACAGGTAAGAAAATAAAGATTGATGAGTGAGCTGAGCAAAGTGTTTAAGCGAAGTGAAAACTGCTGATTCACAATGACATACTGTATTCATAACTGCCGTTGGAATTCAGGCCAATAAACTACAGTTTAATATACCTGCCGTGCAAATAAAAACCTTTAAAGTTTTATTTTTATTTATATTGTACTAGAGACATGTGATTCACCTCTGTTGTCATTTTGGAGCCATCAGTGATGAAGGAATTGCATTACATTGTACCTCAAATGAACAAATTGTGTTGTTTCTCTCTAAACACAGGGCCAACAAAGAGGAGTCATATTAAAGAGGGTTTATTGTGGTGGGACCTGAACAAAAAGCAAGTGGAGGTCCCATCAGTGCGCAGAGTAAGTACTATGTTAAAAGCTTTGGATATGTTTTGTGTATGTTATTATGTTAGGATAAATGGATGAACTGAAAAGGGACTTCTTAAATGTATCTGTTTATTACTTGGGCTTGTTCTCTTATGGAAACAAGGTCCTGGGGTCAGATTTCTATGTGGAGTTGTGCATGTTTTCCTCAATTAATGTTGATTTCTACCAGGAGCTCTTGCTTTCTTACGCAGTCTAAAGTCATGCACTTGACATAGGAATTCTGAATGCTCCAAAATGTTAAATATCCATTTTGTAAATTCAATAAAAACATATCTTTTAAGTTTTTGTTTTAAGTTGTGAATTGTAATTATATTGCATGTATGAAAGTGAATGTGTTGGCTGTCTGTGTTTGTTCTAAGACTGGAACAATGTCCAGGATGTTTCCCTGTCTTCTGCACAATTCATGCTCGGATACACTGCAGCCACCTGGGAACCTGAATAGGAATAACAGGGTAAAGATATTAACTTATAAATTACGATCTTTTGACTATAATTTAATGAACCAACAACTGAATGTAATGTAATGTAGTGCAAGTGTGTGTATAGCTTCACATGATCAGCAGCTCTCGAAGGCTTTCACCTACATTGACACTACATCAGTCTCAACACTGATCAAACTGAACCTACAGTTGGACTTAGAGCATAACATTACAATCAAGTCTGTCTGTTACCGCCACAGTGTAAAAGGTTTAGTAGGAATGCATACATGAATAAGTACAGTCTACATCTGACAGTGTGAAATGAGGAATACAGTATGTTGAGGATTCTGAATTGAAAATCAAATTGCATAAACAGATATCTGTCAAGGAGTGTGTGTTACTGTACAGCATCTGTGTGTTAGAGCACCTCTGTGTCCATCAATTTGTTGTTATTTATCATCTTGAAAACTGAATTTTGGTCTTTTTTGCAGGAAGACAAGACGACAGTTAAACCACAGCTTGTGCCTTTGAGGAACCTGCCCAGAGATGACGCAAATGAAAAACAGCTGACAGATGAGGAGGATATGAAAGCACCACTCCGAGTGTAGATGCTGGACAACTGAAGACTTTTACTCCAAATAGCACCAATAACAGTGGCATTTCCTCTCTAGTAGAAGTAATCATTTATAGTTGTATATAGTTATAGTTCAATTCAACACTTTACTTCTGCCCCACATTTGGAGCGTTTTCAATAATGTATGCTTTAAAACGTGACTCAATAAAACGCCCTTTAATATTGTGCTGAGGAACATATGGACTGTAATCAAATACCCTCAGGTATGTTGACAGACTCTTTCATCAAGACATTCATTCTGGTATGCTCCATATCTGTAACAATGCACATCTGTACTTAGACCAGTGTAAATGGATATGTGACAGGCAGCTTGAGCTAAAGTGAGTCTGGTGTGTGTGTGTGTGTGTGTGTGTGTGTGTGTGTGTGTGTGTGTGTGTGTGTGTGTGTGTGTGTGTGTGTGTGTGTGTCTTCTTTCCTTGTTCTCCACTATGTAATCATATCTGTACATTATATTTGTTATTGCAATTAACCTAAAGCCTCCTCTTTGTGTAGTCTTCATGATTTGGATAGAAATATATGCTGGTACATGGGAGATCTCCTAAACAGTTATGGCTTCCCACACAAATATGAACACAGTAAAGCTATCAGAGGCATTTTTAACACTCAAACTTTAACTGTCACATGCCACTGCTCACCCAGTCACTACTGTCAACATCTGTAAAAAAAAAAAAAAAAAAAAAAAAAAAAAAAAAAAAAAAAAGCAGTAAGTAGCAACATCAGTAGTACCCAGTTCACTACAAATAGCATCATATGTGAACAAACTCCTCTGCCTCCAGAGGTCGGTACTACTAGGCAAGTTCAACATACCCAGGATAACTTACCAAAACATTGTAACTGTAACTGTCCTGATAACCTGTGCTATGAAGCTGGTTATCAACTGGCTCAGTTAACCCTGGGTTTACCTATCCGGTTAAGAGCGCGTACACGTGAAAGAGAGCTGTTAATTATAAGCAACATCGTCAGAACCATGATTGAAGTATTTAATATGATATGAAAGACATGCTGATACTTGCCACTAATTTCAGTTATAGCAACGTCCCCAGGTGATATTCAACAAGGTGAAATGTAAACTATATGATCACATAACTAGAATAAAAAATATTATTTCCATGTCTAAATATAATTTCTATTTAAGTCAGACTGAAGATATATCGTAAATAAGTGCATGAATTATCATTACATTTGAGTATTTTCGCTCTTTTGTCTGATGATGAACAAACTGTTATGAACATGTGATGCAGATAAAACAGTTAAAGTTAATGTTAGACTTTTTCTGCTGCAAAGAAGAGAGAAAGGAAAGAGGAGAGAAGTAGGTGATATCTGATGAGTCAGTCTGACCGAAATGTTAATTTATAATCATGGAAATAATTAATAGTGTGTGGCTAATTTTTCTAATCAAAGACATCAGGGGTTTAGTTTTTATTTAAAGTTGATGTCACAGAGTCTCCTCATGTTATTCTGAGCTGCAGCGATGAAGAAGAGAGTAAAAGCATCCACACTGTCAGAAATCCTGTCGGATTAAAGAATATTTGTTCATTTAAAATGAAGCTATACTAGTTATTATACAGGCTATTTTGCGTCATAAACTCTTCGTGCACTTTTTAGAAGCTTTGTTTTAAAGCCAGAGAGGACACATGGAAAGACCCAAACAGTAAAACTGTCAGGATCCTATAGGAATGATGACTCTGTTTTTCCAGTGATTTGAATGGTCAGTAGTTTGCCTGTTGACAGGTTTTGATCTGATCCTCTGAAGTTAACCTGCGCCAGAGCAGGTTAAGAGTTCATACAGTCTATGAGTTCAGCATAAGTAATCATGGTGATTTACCACCGGTAACAAGTGAGCCACCATCGTAAGACTGAAAATCCAGAGTTAAACCTGAACTTATCTTGATAACCTCAAATCCTCTCTGGTAGTACAGGCCTCAGGAGTGGATGCAAAGAAAGAAACATGAGAGGTATCTTGATAAGACATTTTGAATAAAAAAAAAAAATGTTTCCTTGAGCATGGCCCTGTTTGCTACTGTCCATAATTGTCTGTTAAGCCACTGGTTGACTCTGGTTTCAATAGATGATTTGTGGATTTGAACATGAAAGCGAGGCTAAGCAACTTTTAAAATAAAGGACAATCTTCCTCTCACAAATGAAAAAGTTGAATTTATAAGCAATAAAACACTCCTGCTCAGTTCAATACCCTTCAGTGGTTTTGCTGCTTAGTCAAATGACTTTATGACTCTTCTCTACTTGTGTTACTGATACACAATCTTTCAGTGTTACCATTATGCCATGATTTAAAACCTGTTACATATTCTGGCTCTAACTACAGTACACTCCCCAGTATGACTACTGGTGTTACGAGTTGCAGCATAAAATGTGATAGAAACACCTTCTCTGTATTTCAAGTAGGTTTTACAATACATGCTTATTGTGCAACTTTATAACAATAAGTAAAATCTACTTTATGTTACAAATTGCTCTGTCTGTGACAACCTGATTAAAAAATAAAAATTTCCGGTGCACTGGAAATTGGTGCTTGGCATCAGAAATGTACTTGATCATAAATCATTTCCTGTGAATGTGTTATGCAGGTTTGACCCACATTGAGAAAATGATAGCCAGTCAAAACTTCCGTGTCTGGCTGTTCAAAAGCCTGTAGAGGCTTTTCGCCTTTAAAGGCAGCCCATCAAGATAACTGTGTGGTGTCAAGTATGTTATCAGTGGGTAGGATTAGCATTTAATTTCTCATGTCACTTCAGTGGATTTTGAAGTGACTTCTTTAAGTTAAAGACATGGATGTTTCTTTCTTGATGAGACATTCCTATAAAGAGGAGATGGTCACATTTTTGGACTTTTATCGATTTGAGGAAAGGATTGGCATATTCTCCATCATCGAGCAGTTGCAGTAATTCATTTTCAAAACTGTCTTGAAGAGACTGACTTTTACTTTAACTCACTTTTCTACACAAGTATCCTAAATTTACTCAAACTTGGGTAAGACTTCCTAACACTTACTTGAGTATGACCACTTTTTAACATCTTCATTAAATTTCATCTTATTTTAAGGCTCTTAAAATGTGACTTGAGAATTAAGAAGTGTGAAGATGACATAATATACCTTGATATAGGTGTGTGCTATTTTTTGGTGTGTAGTGACACCTGCCGTAGATTGAATGTCACTTCAAAATGCAGATGTGCACACATGGCTGCCATACAGCCATTATGGCTGCCAGATACATGAAACCATTAAGTACAAAGCACTTCGTATCAGGTGATGGTCATTTATTGCATTTTCTTACTCTTTCACCCAATCTCACCATACAAAAGTAAGCATAACATTTCCAGACACTCCATCTTGCAGAATAGATAGATAGGACTAAATACAAGTCTGTCTTAAACGTTGCGGGATTGTGCTTCCGTGCACGCTGGTCCTGAATCCCTCAACCATCTCCGTGTTGCTGCCGCCGCTGCTGCTGCCGCTGCTGCTTTTCTCAGCCCGGTGCTTCACCACTCATCTGCGGCCCTGTTAGAGTCCTCGTCGGCTACAGCACAGTCCAGGCGCTGAACACCGGGAAGCGCCAGGTCCCTTTCGTTAAGCTTCTCCAGAAACGAGGAAAGCAATCGTTTGTTTAAATGGTCCGTCAGGGTCCTTTCCTCTTCGACCCGCTCCTTGGCGACATTACTCACCGACTCCACTTCCTCAGCCTCGGTGTCCGCGCTGAGTTGCGGAGGGGCCGACCGGTGGTTCAAGGACAAGCCGTTCGACTGCTCGTCCTGCCCGGACTGCTGCTCCGTCCAGTTCCCGGCGTCCGCCCCAGATTCCGTCTCCATCCGTGATATTAAAGTAGTCTGCAGGGCGGCATTCTCCAGCTCTTTCAGACGCTTACTGTGGAGGCCGCAGGCAGGAGTTTCATTTCCAGCCGGGTTGTTGTTGTTGTGAGGTGGCTCACTAGTTTGCTCCATCATGTTCTGCGTCAGGAGTGCAGCCCATAGATATAAAAGACTTGTGTGGCGCAGACTGAGAGGTGTCGCCGCCCTGTGGCTTCACCAGTAACAGACACTGTAACCCTTTGACATTGGTAGAAAAGTATGCAGATCCTTTACACAATTAAAAGTTACAAATACCACAATTTCAAAATACTGTGATACAAGAGCCCTGCGTGCACAGTGTTATCTAGATAAAATACAGAAGTATAAGTGGCCTACTGAAAGCATCAAAAGAAGAAGCATTCATGATGCAGCTATATTGGATGGTTTATCCTATTGCAAAACCTAATTTGCAATGCAACTGTAGCTGTAAATTATATAGGTCTATATACTGGAAATTTTTATGGAACACACTTGGTTATACTTGTGAACTGTCTGTCTGTGTATGTAAGAATGTCTATGTGTGTGTGAATGTGCGATGCTTTCACTCTCCATTCAAAGTCTGTAATGTTTGTGATCAATTAAAGAACCTTATGATTGGTAGCTATTAACTGACTTGACACTAAATACAGCTTGAAGGCGAAGGGAAATAGTATTGATACTGTACTAATACTTGCAAACAAACTTTACAACTTCCTAATCTTTTTATATACACCCTATGTTCCTAATATCAACATACAGCAAAGAGGGACAACGGCTGTGATACAGAAACACAATTTAAACTTTTTTACACGCTGTGGAAATCATTAAAAATCAACAAATGAACCCATATAGCCAAATGACCAGGTGGTATGAAATGCAGATGGTCCTGACATCCACAAAATCGCAAAAACGTCATTGCAGGTGTGTTTGACCGCGTTGAGCTTCCGTAGAACAGGAATATGTTTCCATAGAGACCATCTTCGGTAGAGACGAACTGATACCTAGCTCAGATACAGCACAGACAGGTAAAAATTCACATTCGGGGTTGCAAATACGATATGTTGTTTACGATCGCCGCTTACCAGAAGGTTCAAAGAAATCAACACTTTTTATCTGACAACCTGCGACGACACTAAGCGTTAGTGGGTTTTTTTTTGCTAACTTCCAGCTAGCCACTAGCCAGCTAATGTAAAATCCCCTGACGCTACTTTCACATACTCGATCGATGGTACAGTTACTCATACGCTTACACTGATATCCCAGTTCTGTAATATCACAGATTATGTTTTTATCCCGTGATGATGGATGGACAATGTTAGGTCAAGTCAGCCGTTAGCCCACAGGACTTTACACTGTTACACTGTTGTGCTCGTTGTGTGTAATTAACGCACATCTTCGCTTTTTTGTTACCAGTGGAGGAACCAGTGCATGGTCTGCTGTACAGTGCTCGCGGGTCACAATGTCCTTCAGAGACTTAAGAAGTGAGTGATGATCGCTATCTGCTCCGCATCGTGTCCAAGCTTAACTGAGAGATTTTTGTGTATTTGCTGTTGGTAACTGGTGTATCTTATTTGGCAGATTTCACTGAAATGATGAGGGCCTTGGGCTACCCTCGGTTGATATCTATGGAGAACTTCAGAACACCAAACTTCACTTTAGTAGCAGAAATCTTAATATGGCTTGTAAAGAGGTATGCTTGAGCTTCACTCATTCCATAATTCTTCAAGTTTAAAAAGTCTGGCCTCTATCCTAAAATCTGCAATGATTTCTTTGGTTGGAGCTCTTTTGCCCCTCTTTGCCCCCATTTTTTCTGTCTGCCCCCTGGTATGGATCAGAGTTCTATGTTTTTACTTCAGCAAACTATGTATGCATAGGCAGATATGGTGATATATTTTGCTCTTTGTCTTTTCCTCCCTATCCCTCTCTTTTTCCATTGCATGTAGATATGAGCCTCACATGGATATTCCCACTGATGTGGATACAGAGTCAGACAGAATATTCTTCATCAAGGCTGTGGCCCAGTTCATGGTGACACCTATCTTATGTTTAGTCCACATGTACAGTTCATCTGCTGTTAATCTGTCTTAACCAGTGTCTCACCTGGTTGCAGGCAACAAAGGCTCACATCAAGTTGAACACTAAGCGTCTTTACCAGGCCGATGGCTACGCAGTGAAAGAGATGCTTAAGATCACCTCAGTGCTGTACAGTGCTATGAAGACCAAGCAGATGGCCTTGGGAGACCAAGTTGAGGAGGATAACAGCAAGTTCAAGTTTGATCTCAGTTCACGGGTGAGATGCAGTTTTTACACTGTAATATTAATGTACATGTATCTTTATCTTCAAACATTTCTAATCTTACAAAGCTGTCAGCTGAGGTTGAGCAATGAAATTACATTACAAGTGACATTTAAGTTGATTTAGTGTCTTTTTTTCTATTTTGCATTACTTAGCCTGAACAAGCTCTAGTTGGTCACTTCAAGTCTGACCCACATGCATGTTGACAGTCAGGTTAAAAAATGGCGGCAGTACAATGTTTGACTTCACAATCCCATAGTATTTACTACCTTGCTTCTGTTTCCTTTTCATTGTTTCATAAATTAATCTTAAATCAAAAATACTGTGTGTTGCTGATTACATCTTACTCTGTCTTCACTGTAGATTTCAGATCTGAAAGCAGCTCGACAGCTGGCATCTGAGGTCACGTCTAAAGGAGCATCTCTATATGATTTACTGGGGAAGGAGGTGGACCTAAGGGTGAGGGAAAACAGATATTAACTGGTGCATACTGGTTTCCATTTACCATGATCGTGAGTATGCAAAGTCCTTGATAGTAAAAAACAGTTCATGGAAACATTTGGAAAGATAAAAAATGACACTAGCTGTCATTTTAATCTGTTTCTTTTCATATATTAGATACAGAGTAGATAGATTGCTTTACCGTTTGAAGGCCAAATTTTATACAGCAATGTAAGTGCCCTTTAAGAATGACTTTGAGAAACATAGTAATATCTTTGTCTGAAAACATGATGATATCAGAGGTTCTGAAATTACTAAAGTAAAGAGAATAATGTCACCCTTATTTTGGGTAATTTCTTTAAGAATCTTCTTCTTTTTTAAGATCTATCTGACAAAAAAACTGCCATTGGCCCTTGAGAAACTTCTTTATAGTTAACTGAGCATGATGTGGCTTTGTTTTGTTGCAGTGAACATAAGCTGTTGCTCTCTGATGATAACAGCTGTACAACAATGAAGTCTGTTTGAAAAGACGTCAGTGCCATCGATGCAGGAGATTACTCTGTCTTTGTTGTCCCAACAGGAAATGAGAACTGCGGCCATTGCCAGACCTCTGGAAATCAATGAGACTGAAAAGGCGCTGAGAGCTGCCATCAAGGAGATTTTGGTGTGTAATTATCCCGACAATTTTTTTTTTTTTTTTTTAATTCACACAGGATCTGATTTTATCCATGAAATGGCACTGAATCTGCCACAATGCCTCTGTGTTCATTGTCAAGCAAAGTGTGGAGAAGACCAAAGACATGCTGAGTAATGTTGTGTCTGATGAGACCAGTCTGGACGCCAAGATAGAAAAGAAGAAGCAGGAGCTGGAGAGGAATCGGAAGAGGCTCCAGACACTGCAGAGTGTCAGGTCAGTTTGCAACCTGACAGGCAGCAGAGGCAACATGACAGCAATATTTCTCTGTGCTGTTCTTCTGATTTTAGTCACCGTAAACTTTTCTGTCCTTGACTTGTGAATAATTTTTGAACAAAACTTTAACAAGTACATATATGTTCACCAACTTGCTTGCAAAATAGTTTTTTGTTTCCCTCTCAATTTTTTAGGCCGGCCTTCATGGATGAATATGAGAAGATAGAGGAAGATCTGCAAAAGCAATACGACACATATGTGGAGAAGTTCAGAAACCTCTGCTTCCTGGAGTCTCAGCTGGATGAATACCACAGACTGGAGCAGGAGAGGTTTGAGGTATGTGCGTGTGTGTGTGTTAGATATGTAGAACACTGACTCCTATGGAACTGCTTGTACCGTACACAACTATCACTCATACATAGATATTTGTGCTTAAATAAACTTCCACTCTGTCTCGGTAATGGTCAGTATAACTTAGAGACATGTATTGGTCAGCAAATATGAGTTTGAAAACACCCAAAAATAGAAAATATGGAAGCTAGTCAGTTTTCCTTTAGATAATAATTTTACTTCTCAGTCATTCTGGGCAAATCCAACAAACCACATTTGAAGGGAAACCGACCAGGTGAAAAACGAGTGCCCCTCTTCCTCTTCGTTTCTATGTAAAATATCATTTGTTGGCGTGTGACGATGAGAAATAAGACAATACAGTTCACAAACCTTGGCAATGAAAATTCAAATGTCAAAATGGGAGTAACTCGTACTTGTATGCGGTGGATGGAAGAGAATAGAGACTGGCATTCAGGCAGAAAGAGCTTGGATTCTGGATTTGACAGATGTATTAAGGGTTGTATAAATCTAAACTTCTCTTCTCTTGGCGGCCCTCTTTATACTGTCTACGTGTGTTTGTCCGTTTGTCTCGTCTGCAGGAGGCTGAAAACACTCTGAGGATGATGCAGCACAAAATGAGGGAGGAGGAGAGGGATTTGATGAGGAGCTCCTGTGAGACAAACAAACAAACTAAAAACAAAACGTAATGACATAATCTCAGCCCTTTTTCATGGTTTCACACACTTGTTTCAAAATGTCTTCTGCAGTGAAAGATGAGGATTCTGACATGGACGTTCCAGAGGACGAAGGTTCAGACAGCGACATGGAAGAGTGTCGACCTTCTAAGCCCCGGCCCACACGAAATGCCATCATGGCAGGTACACAGACAAGGGAAAGCCATATCTTTGTGATGATCAACTACTAATGGCTTTGGAAAAGTTTTCTAAAACTGAAGTTCATTATAAACCAAAATATCTTCATCATTTTCTGCCTTCCTTTGTGATTTACATCTGCAGTTCTCAAGAATAAACACTCAACCATGAAAACAATACCTCCTTTCATGTAAACTGAGCATTGCCTCTTTTTTGTACCCTAGGAAGAGGCTCTCGATTCATTGGGAACATGCAGGGTGGAGACAGTGATGAGGTTAGTGCTTTCACAGCAACACCAATGCAAGACTCCTTCCATCCTCTTACTCCACATTTTGTTTGCTACGATTATGAAAATTTAAAATTTTGAAAAGACTGCTTTGCTGATGCCGCTCTCTGTAGTGTCTTTCTTGCAACAGAATGACTTGCTGTTTACTTGTATTTGTAATTTCTAACCAAACAAGTGTCCTGTTCACCATCGCTGATCAGTTTCACATCCCTTTTGTTTTCCTCTTCTGCTCTGTTCAGTATCTTACCTTTCTCTATCGCTCACTTGTATTTTAAAAGCCCTCCTTAGCTGTTTCCAAAAGATCAATTCATTCTGCCAAACCACAACGGAATGGAAAGGTTTGTGCAGGACCAGGATCTAGTTCTCTCCTCATTCGTCTGAGTATTAAAAGGAAAAATCCATTCTCAAATTATCTGACATTGTAGGCATTGCTCAGACAGCCAGTATAGTCTGTATCCACTCATATTAATTGACAGGAGTGTTCATATAGATCTTGTGGTTGATCAGACATACACACAAAGCTTGTGGATCAGTTACATTTCTCTGTTTTCTCTGTAAGTCACACATTTATTTCATACCTTTATGCAAAGATGACACACTGAAAATGGCTATTTTTGCATCGTACTATCACAGAAGTACATGAACAGTTTAAACCTACCAATTTCTTTATTGTTGCTGCAAGTTAGTAAAATATATGCAGACATTGTTGCCTCTTTTGCTGGAGAACAATGTACACAAAACTTGCTTTCATGCAATTCATTCCACTGTGTTTATATTCTGTACTGTGTGAACACAAAATACCATTTCTCTTAATCTGTGGAGTTCAGTTCATACCAGGGTCTGCCATGTAAAGACATAGTGCCATAAATGTCTGAGTTTACCCTCAACACTGTGTTGCCCTCTTCCCCTCCAGGTAGTTATTTTACTACATTATTTAGATTTGGAATGGATTTCTCCTTTAAATCAGGAAAATGGTTATGTTCCCGTAGTTGTGTGGCTCCAGATGGACATGTTCCAGTTCAATGATTCACTGTAAAATCAGTTCTGGACTCTGCATGTTTTCATTCCAGCCCATGATGTGACTCTGTGATTAGATCCTCCTGTCTGATTTAAGTTGTGGTAAACAGTTAGCTGGTTTGGTGTTTAGCTGGATTGAAGACATGCCCATCCCTGGTGTAGCTCTACACAGTGTGTTGAAATTGTTTTCCTGTTATGGTGTATTTTGCAATAGTTGTAATCATGTGACCTGCCGTTTCAGACTGAAGACAGCGAGATTGATGTGGATGAGGAGGATGATGAAGAAGATGAGGAAGGTGACGAGGAGGAGAGCAAGGATTTAGAGGATGACAGTTTGGAGGGCCCAATGTCCAGGGGTACTCGCCCCACCAGGGGGGGCATGAAACCCCCTCTGTTGGAGGAGAGTGATAATGACTTCTGAATGAAGAATACACACACAAAAATGTCCTCCAGCTTTTTCTGTATTCCAGCTCAAATTAGAATATCTTATTACCTCTCAGAAATATGCATTAAATGTTGTGTTCCATTATGTTATTGCTACATGAAGCATTTATATAGTTCCTATTTTTGAATATTTGAGTGAACTGGTTTCCTTAATAAAATATTAACAATTTCATATTTTGTCTGTATCTCTTAATTGACTCAAGTGTGACAGCAAGAGTCAAAGAGTCATATATTAAGACTATTTCAAGATTGTACAATTTTATTTTAATACTCCACTATTTTTCTGTGGCACTAAAGAACCTGTTAGATTTATACAGTTAATAAATGACTGAAAATTACTTTTCGAGGGAAAATGTGAAATTTTAAATGAAAAACATTAAGCATAAGAAATGTATAAACTTATAAGATACTTTGCGGTTTCAATGTAAGGGTCATTCAACAGAAATTCTCTATAATAGACAGGTTACAATGGGGGACAAATTGTTCTCAAATAGGAAGATGCATTTTAATACACGTTAAGGTGTTCGGGACATATTTGATGTCCGCCAAGAATAATGCCTTGTGACATTTTCCATATGAATAATTAATTAAACATTTCTTGATCAGAGTAATTCTCATTTATTTACATTTAGATATAGATTTAGAATTTTACCACTAAGTAGTATTTATCTAAAGGCCGCATAGTTAAAAGTGGTGTTTTCTTCTACGATGTAGCGGAGTGAACAGTAAAACTGAAATTCACTGAGCAGCGTAACCATAGGAAACCCTACGTCATCGCAGTGCGCGCTGGTCTCAAAGAGGAGGTGGCAGATGCCTCTTCGGAACAACAGTCGTCTAGTTACGACCTGTTTTTCCTCTCATACTGGTATGAAACCATGTTTATTCTTCAACATACGTGTATTGAGATCGTTATCATCTTAGCTAAATTTCGGTGTAGTTAAATAGGGAATATCTTGCTCATTGACAAGCGTGCCGGTCTTGTTTATCAGGCTAACACCAAATAGCTAAAGCTAACTAGCTACACAGAGCAGCAAAGCTGTAATCGTTTGTGTAGTTTTAGAGAATTCGGGTTTGGCAAAACTAACCCCCTCTTTGAGTGTATTTTGATAATCTACGTGTTTGCAAACCCACCTTTTCAAACTGATGCTTAGTGGTAGCTACATGGCAGTAATAATTGGCTTGCGTTACTTTATTCATACGTAATACGAAATTAATTTCGATGGTTTACTATCTCCACATCTGTTGTCCCAGAGGAACTGGTGCACAGTACCCATAATATAAACACTGCATATTGACCAACCAGATATTTTTTCAATAAATAAGTGAGAAACACTAAAAAGAAAAGTAACTACCAGAGTTATTATTTTCAGTAACGATTAATGTGATGCCGATTTTTTTTTCGATCAGTCATTTGGTCTTTGAACTGTCAAAAATGGAAAAAATGCTAATCACAACTTTGCAGAGTCCAAGGTGACATCTTCAGATGTCTTGCTTAGTTTGATCAAAAGTTCAAAGACCTTCACTTTACTATTATACCCGAGAAGCTTGAACCTGAGAATCTGTGGAATTTTTTTCACCATTTTTGTCATATATATCAGTATAGAGCAATAGTCTTTAAAAATCTTCTTTCACTCTTGTCTTTCTCAGCTGAATAGCAGCTGTTGGGATGCCAAAGAAGTTCCAGGGTGAGAACTCCAAGGCGGCCACAGCCAGAGCCCGCAAGGCTGAGGCCAAGGCTGTGGCAGACGCCCGCAAGAAGAAGGAGGAAGAAGATGCTCTGTGGCAGGAAACTGACAAACATGTACTCAAAAAAGAGCAGAGAAAGGTGAGGTGTCTCTCCAGCCAGGTGTTATTTTCATAGTCATAGTTATTTTGTGGGGCACATCCTGGAGAGTATTCTGTTTAGTTAAAGTTTCACTACTGTGACATTTTTATGCTGTCCTAGATATTCTTTATTAATTATGTGTGTACAAACAAATTCTAAAATCTTTAGGCTTTACAAAGAATTAAACATGGCCGAAAAGTTGACAAAATTTGTCGATATTTGAAAAGAAAGAAAATTAGAATAACATTCCTTGATTAGGACAGGAACTCTGTCTGCCTGTGGCCTCTTCTTTGTTGGGATTAATATGCTTGATATGTGAGAAAATAAATACCTATAAAGTTTTGTCAGCAGAAAAGGTCTATCAACCTGACAAGACAGATTTCTGCAGGATGACAAGGAGAAGAGGAGAGTGGAACTCCTGGAGAGGAAAAAGGAAAACCAGCGACTCCTGGATGAGGAGAATTCAAGGATAAAAGGCAAATCCCAAAAGGAGGCTGGAGCTGGAGGAAAAGTTACTCGTGCTCAGATCGAGGAGACACTTCAGAATGAGCAACAGCTGCAAGAACAGCAGGAGCTCAAACCGAAAGGTGAAGTTTTGGTTGATTGATAAATGTGAGATGGTTAGAATAAAGATGAAACTTAAGTGGCAATCAGATGAAATCAAACAGCAGTGGCTGTTTTAGGGCTCAAACCCAAAAGGATATTTTCCTTAACCATGACATCACCTTTGACAGGTTTCAAATTAATTTTTTACCCACAGATAAGAGCCACCTGGAGACTCCACTGGAGGAGAATGTGAACAGAGTTTTTCCTGAAGAAGGAACGGTGGAAGCCAGAACAGTAGAAGATGCCATTGCTGTGCTTAGGTACCTGTTGTTTGTTTGCACTGTGTGTGATATGCTGTTGTCCTTGTGATGCCTGCAATATTGATTTAAATGAAATGGCAAACATGACATGGGTTATGTTAACAATTTGGCTTACCCTGTCTTCCTGTCTCCAAGCACGGGGCCTGAGGACCTGGACCGTCACCCTGAGCGGAGGATGAAAGCAGCATTTCTTGCCTATGAGGAGGTCAACATGCCACGCCTAAAAAAGGAGAACCCCAACATGAGATTGTCCCAGCTGAAGCAACAGTTGAAGAAGGAGTGGATGAAGTCACCAGAGAACCCCCTGAACCAACGCTTTGCCAATTACAACTCAAAGTGATTGCACTCTCTCCCCCCATAACACCCTTTGAAAACTGTCTGCCTATGGCACATTGGAGGCTTTCATTGGAAAATTGAATAATTTCATCTAAAAATGAAAAAGAGTGTTGCTGATGAGAACTTCACTGCTACCTGCTCAGAAACGATCTCTCCATTAACAGAGGACTCTACTTTGCTGTTCCATTCACTTGCAAGGAGAAGCTCACCCACCCCCCTACCCCAACCCCCAATCAGCATCACAACTGATCATCCTGTCTGTGCACGTGGCCTCTAATGAGGCTTCTCAGCATCTAATAAATTTAATTACATCTTTTTTTAGCACTTCTGGGGAGGTGGAGAATCAGATGTTTTGAGAGTAACTTATTAAAGTTCACCGCTCGATCATCAACTCGCTGTCGCTTTTTAATGCAAGACTTCTTTCTTGTTAGGAGGCTCATGCTTGAAGTCACACACTGAAGTCAAATATTTCTGCCAGCTGCTGCTGTTGTGCAATGCATATTCAGAAAAGAAGATCATGGAGTTAAAACTCTACTATTCATTCAAGGAGAAAGTTGACTATAATTTTGTATCCACGGTAAACAATACACATCAGCCACCAGCAAAATCATGGTAAATTTAAAATAGCTGCGGCTGGAAATGACTTAAGGTTTTGGTTACTTTGGCAAGTGATGACCAGTTTCTTCGAAGGAGCTGTTTCTTTGCTTAAATAGCAGTACAGTTGGCCTTGAGCACTGAGGCCACCGTCACCAGTGGATTAAGAGTATGCTCTGAATAAACTCAGAAACACTGTGCATTTTCTACCAAGATATCCACACTGGATCACATACAACAACAATGTCTAAACCTTTTAAAGAACAACCTTTCATTCAAAAATTGCCAGGATGGCAAAGTGGGTACAAGGATTAACTATAATTGTGCAGGCTCACTCCCCATATCAATCTCATTTTCTTTTGTCATGTCCATCAGACAGGTGACAAGGAGCCACATTGTTTCGGACAAAAGTCTGTTAAATGTAGTAAATGTAAAGTGAGACTTGTTTGTATTGTAGTCTTGCTCACTGGGTGTAGGCTGAGGATTTAAGACTGCAATTGGAGGCCTATGTCAGGTAGTATTTTCCTCCCTTTCCACTTCCCCTGCCCTTTACCATTTTCAAAATCCCCTTTGCTATGTGATTTTAACTGTACAATCACACAGGTGACATAAGTCTTTGCTGACACTATTTTTCAGGGGCATTGTCACTGCATCCTGGGCTCACCTGAGAAGATTGTAATTGGTTTAAAATTAATGCAAACAAGCCAGTGCCCCCCCCCCATAGCAGAATGATTATGGGTGCAGCCAGACCATTCTCCAGTGGCGATGCGCAACTACTTGTGCTGTGACTCCTGACTCCTTGGTGCTATTGCCTCATAACAGACCGCTAACGGTAAAGGCTGAAATTAAAAGTGTTGACACAAGTATGATTTCTTCACATCCTTATGCATTCCTGATAAAATACTTAGCTGATGCTACCCCTTCAATGTTTTAAGGCAGTGTCCTCAGCATGGTTTGGTCTTCGAATTGTTGCAAGCAGAATCCATTACTTGGCTTCTTGTAAAACCCAAATGTGAGGGAGAAATATAACATCAAATCTTGTGAGAGCCCTGGTGTAGCTACTTTTACCAAGAACAGAAGCTGTCACTTTATTGCTTTGTAACTCATCTGCACCAACTGGAAAGAAGAAGAAAAAGAGAATGAATCAGCTGATTTTACAGGTCGACATCTGCTCTAATATATTTATATTGGCACAGTAAAACAATGTAAATTGGCATGAACACTTTAAAGTCCTTACCACATCAACAAAATGATCAACATGTTTTTCCTTTTTAGGAAAAAAAAAAACAGTAGCTGACTGGCCTCCCTTATCTACTCCACCAGACCCTTTGGCCTTTAGCCAGCCATGGCTTTTAATTCCTATCCTTTCACAATATAGGTGGGCTGATGAAATATAAGTTGAAATTAAACAGGTTTATGATCCAAACACTCACTATGTTGCTGCTGTGGATGTGACTTTTGTTTTGGCCACTAGTCACAAATCTGTTATTAAAATAAGCCAGACTAATTTCTGCTATGTGGAGAAATGTCTCCAATAAAACATCAAAAATGTTAATTGTAACATAAAATAAACTTCTCATGGAAAATACTTAGTTATTGTTTTTGACTGTGACCAGTGCCACTGCTGGTCACAAAGGTTTTCTCCAGCACAGCAACATTGATATACTGAGCTGCTGAGGCAGCAAGCTGCAGGCTTTGTAGGTTTGTCTGATGCCAGGTGGATAGACAGCAAGCACAGAGAAAACAGGGCTGAAGCAGCCTAAATATAAGTAATATATAGGTAAAAGAAGTCAAACAATATAGTAAGAAATATAGTTTACCTACAGTTATGTGTGGGAAATGGAGTTTAACACACAACAAGGCCCTTTCACAAGAAAAATAAGCAGAGCAAGTGTCGGTATTAACAGGTTTTAAATGCTTGAGAAAAAAGATCAACTAGAAAATAAAATTAAAACAAAACTGATTGAGGGGCCACTGCTCTGTCTTTTGGCTAAATAATCCAGAAAAGCAATTGCGTTTCTTGAAATAGTTTGTGGTTTTTAAAAGTCACATAATTCACATTGAGAGGCACCAGATCTGTTTCATGTTTGCAGGTTTTTATTTCTAAACGGCAACAAAAAACACTGGTAAGGTAAGTAGCTGGTTGAGAAAACAACACCACTCCTGCTGACTGAGTAGATATGTTTTGAACATCCAAGGAGATGGACTTGTTGGTGTTTTTGAATGTATCTCTTCGTGTTGTTGTTGCGAAATCTCTCCTGCAGTTACATTTGTTAGATCTTCTAGGACACATCTGATGAGGCCTTGCACTCACTGGCATGACTCATTCAGAACCAGATTAAAAATGGACACTTTTGTCCAGTGAGGCTCTTGTGGCGGAGGAGATAAGAGACCCTGTGAAGACCTTTGAAATACAGAGCTTTAATGACAAGTTCAACTGACCTTTTATTTTCCATTTTGCATTGAAAGCAACCAATTCCTTTTCTTTTTCCTAGCAACCAATCATTCCCACTTTATAGGGATTTCTTTGAGCTCATACGTGTGATGTTCCGCCTTAACACCCTGGTCTGATGTTACATGTTTTTGTTTTACTGCATCCTAACCTGTGGCTGCACCCTCCCACTCCCTGTCCATTTGCATGTCAACCCTTTACTGGGCCAGCTGCTGCTGCCCTTTTCTTTCTTCATGTTGAATTCTAATCATTACTTTCAAAGGAGAGCGTCTCCAAAGCTCCTTTATCAAGTGCTCGTACTGGGAGGAGGCGAGCCGCTGTCCGACACCCACTCTGGCTGCTCTTCTTACAACCTCTGTTCTGCAAACAGCAAGCACTTCCTATTTGTGACCTGCTTCTTTAAGTTTGGGGAAAACAACAAATGGAAGAAGAAGGTAAGGACCTCCAGTGGGGGATTTTTTCAGGATTTATTTTCATTCATTTTAAGGAGAAATTTGTAAAAAAAAAAAAAAGAGACATATTGAATTGCAGTTAAAGTCCAAAATAAGACAACAACCATTTGGAATAATTAGGTTTGCTGAATTAGAAAATCGTTTTCACCCACTGAGAGTGATACTAAAGTTATAAAGCATGTTAAGATAAACTATTACAGTGATGGCTCACGTTAGTGTGTGCAAGATGACGATTAGCCCACCTTTTGGGCTGAGCTTCAGGAGTTTAACACATAGACTAGTACGTATATATCATGTGTTGACAGTCCTCATGTATATTACATCAGCATGACATCTGTCATGAAAATAAAAAGATAAATCAGTCCTTTTCTAAACAACAATGTTACAATTTTGTGAGTCTCAGTGGTTGAATGGACTGTCGAAGGACTTATCTTACATTCCTGTTTCTGTTAATGATCATATTATCACCTGGGTGTACCATTGGATATACACAACACTACTACTTTAAAAGCTGTTACATCTGTTACAAAATTGTTTTCCTTTATTTCACGCTACATACAATTATATCCACTTCCTAAACCTTTGTTGTTAGTAATTTAAGACTTTAGGACAATGCCGCTCAATAATTCCAAATGATTAATTACTTTCCTCTAAAATAGTTTGATAATGTGTGACACTGATCTGTGTAATTTTCTGAGCCTTTCTGATTTCCATGTACAGTAGAGTAACATTAGAGGGGGGTCACATCTGCTTTTGACAGAATGATTCACATTCAAAACCAGCTGAACACACAATTTGAGACTCAGCAAATCATTGTTTTTGTAACAGTGATGATTTTGCCTTGAATAAATACTCAGTGTGAAAACACGAGTTTGAATAATTTGTTGAATAACCTACTGTTTTTGACTGTGAAGCAAGGCCATTATGGAGTCAAAAAGAGATGAAAATTAGAGATAAAAATGCCACACCAGATTTTTTCAACACCTTTATTTCTAAAGCAAAATAACATTTGTTTTATGAGTTAATACATTTGGGCACAAAAGGAGAACAAATGAATTTGAACTGTGTTTAACAATTGAACTGTGACATCCTGATTCAAATACATTTCAGGATCTTTGTTACATGTCTCTTCTGTCTCATCGCAACTCTGTCTTTCCAGTGACAGGATCTGTTTGTGATCTCATTTCAGCTCTGCAGTGATGCCATGAGGTTGATTCTGGTTAAACCCACCAACGCCACGCGACGTCTTGACTCAACAGGTGAAGTCTTCCACGACGGTGACCATGAGCATTGCACCGCAGGAGGTCCGTCCCCTCCAACAAAGACCCCTGAGGGGAAGCATGATCGATACTCTGGAACCTCAGTTGAAGCATCTCCATCCCAACAGGAGACGAGTCTGTGCTGTGTTTCATCTTCACCCCACAAAAGATCTAATGGAATCAGTCCTCCGAGAGTTTCAGTCCAGATGTCGCCGCTGAAAACCCAAAACCTAACCTTATCACAGCTGAGCGATCAGGACTGGCTGCTGCTTTGTGGCCAGGTTAGCAGCGTAGGAGATGATTCACCCTCAGCAGAAAGAGCAGGGACCAGTGTGGGACATCCAAACCATAATGACAGATGTGGTTGTACCTGTCCTGATGCACACCAGCATTCAGAAGCTTCTACTTTTCAACCAAAATCAACACACAGTACAGTCCAAGACTGCCTCTCCAGAGTTACAAACAAGAGGAGCCTTTTGTCTTCACCATACACCCAGTCTTTCTCTCAAAGCACCCAAGGTTCAACCTCCTGCCAGGTTTTGCCACAGCAAGCAAACCAAAGGGATCCCTTGAAACCTGCAACAAACCATCTACAAGATAATTTCATGCCTCAGTGCAGTGACCAGGAAGGTTGCAAGGAGCTTTTGCAGCAGCACCCTTGCAGTCATTTTAAACTCAAAGACAGCAGCCAACCAACTCGTCCAAATTTGTTCAACATCCCTCTAAACTCTGTGGAGTGTGCTGAGACAAATCAGAAAGTTCACCAATGGCCTCAGCCTGCTGTCAGTGCAGACCTCAACTGGAGAGAGCTTTTCGGTAAAGAACCACTGTTAGTTCAGCAACGTCAAAAGCAAGACTCTCACAGCTCGATATCTGGTGAACAAACCTGCAAGTCTTCTGGGGATGCCTCGATTGCCCTCAAGTGCCGTCATCTCCTGTACAACCCTCTGACCAGTACTCCGCGGGTGAAGAGGTCATCGACACCAGCCAGTAATAAAAGTGTCCAATCCTTCTCCATCAGCCAGTATAGTTCACTTGAGAACCAGGATTTAGTTGAGGAGAGAACTAGACAGCGACAAAGTCAGGTACAGGATTTTTTTTCTTTATCTACTGTAGCCTCCTGACTTTGTGCAGATCATTTCATGAAATGCAGTCCGTGTCATCTAACAGTCCTTTTTCTCTTGATAAACTGTTTATTGGTTTCTCCCATATATGTTGTCGGATAAATGACATGCTGTGCTGACTGTCTTACTTGCAGACAGACTCTCAGCAGCTCAGTGGATCAAAACTCTCCTTCCCTAAACATACCCCCCCGCCATCTGACAACTTAGAAACTAGTGACACAGTTAACGGAGATGCAGTGCGGCCGCTGAGCAGCCGTGGCACTGTAACATCCAGTCTTGCAGATCTTCACTCAGGCCAACAGCCTCTTCAGCTTCTTCACAGTGCCATCCTCGAGGACGCCTTCTCCAAAGTCATCAGAGAGGACTCCAGTAAGGCCAACAGTGACAACCTGACCAGGGAGGAAGGCGGGGTACCACAGAAGAAAACTAAGGACATTAGCTACCGGCTGGGTCAAAGAAGAGCTCTCTTTGGGAAGCGCAAACAATTGAGTGACTACGCTTTGGTGTGCGGGATGTTCGGCATTATTGTCATGGTGATCGAGACAGAGCTTTCGAGGGGATATTACAACAAGGTAGTCTTCCTAAATCTGATTTTATATAGTATCATTACTTTTTTAAGTTAAACACACATTCAAAAAAAGCTCTCATGAGTGCAGAAACTGACAACATGGGACAGTGCAGCCAAGAAAAGTGAATGTTCAATAGTTACTGACAGACTGACACACGAGTCAGTGGGGCATCCTTTATGAGAAACTGATGAACTGAAGTGATGCTAACATGGCTTTTAAAGGGCCTTTAAATGACTATTATTTAGAAATGTTTTTGGGCAGAAATTCCCTGCTTCACTTGTGTCTTCACAATGGGGTGCTCTCACCGTGTTCTTGATTTTGTTTCCATTATTTACAGGAATCCATATATTCATATGTACTGAAAGGCCTGATCAGCCTTTCTACCGCTATACTTCTCGGACTCATAGTGATGTACCATGCAAGGGAAATCCAGGTATGTAGATGACTGAAAAAAAACTCATTCTGGTAAATAACCTATGGCCTTTTGTGATCGATAAACCTTATTATTTGAACACAGAAGTTCATTCTTGATCTTGGGAGCAAATGTGATGTGAACACTCTAAACTCAACTTTGACACTGACACTGAAATGAAAACTACAGTCCAAACAAATTAGCTGATTATTCATAGTTCTCTATTTTTATGGTGTTCAGAGTTATTAGATCATTAATTGCCTTAAATCTTTCATTCTCTTCTCTTCTTTTACAGCTTTTCATGGTTGATAATGGAGCAGATGATTGGAGGATAGCTATGACCCTTGAGCGGATTCTCTTTGTTGTGTTTGAGCTACTGGTCTGTGCCATCCATCCAATCCCGGGCCAGTACGTGTTCACCTGGACGGCTCGACTGGCCTTCAGCTACACAGCATCAGTAGAGGACGCTGATGTTGACATCATCCTCTCTGTGCCCATGTTCCTGCGCCTCTACCTCATTGGTCGGGTCATGCTGCTTCACAGCAAGCTGTTCACAGACGCTTCCTCCCGCAGCATTGGGGCGCTCAACAAGATCAACTTTGACACTCGTTTTGTGATGAAGACTCTGATGACTATTTGCCCCGGCACAGTCCTGCTGGTCTTCAGTGTGTCCTGTTGGATCATTGCAGCATGGACCGTGCGTGTATGTGAGAGGTATCTGCAAAAACAACTTCTCACTCTTCCTTTTTCTTCCTTTAGTAACCAGTGGTATTCCACCTTATTCAAATGGTGGATATTAATTTAAGAAACCAAAATCAGGGATAATTTACTTGTAAAACTCGGTACATTTTCTCTCAGTTTTTACATCAACTGCTGTTGCAGCCAAGTGTCATGTCTTCACAGGTATCACGATGCACAGGAAGTGACTAGTACCTTCCTTGGAGCAATGTGGCTAATCTCCATCACCTTCCTGTCAATCGGCTACGGAGACATGGTCCCTCACACCTACTGTGGAAAAGGAGTTTGCCTGTTAACAGGGATTATGGTGAGACTTACAATGATACAGTACGACCAGACAAGTAGTGGAGGCTAAACCTATTAAAGAAAAAAACAGAATACCAACCGGCTCTCCAAATTACACACTACAGCACAGCAAAATTTTTTGGCCTCAAATTCATAGTAAATGTTACAATTTGTAAATTTATTTTATAATTTATATAAAACTAATGAAAATTATATACAGGAAAAATCAAAGCGTAGTCAATAAAATTTTGAGTTTCAAACAGCAACTTGAAAATGTTACTTTTACTGCAGTAAAATTGCCCTCGTAATGCCCTTTACTACTGTATGCCACAGTGTCACTAAACACTGCTCTTCTCCTCAGGGAGCGGGCTGTACAGCTTTAGTTGTTGCTGTTGTTGCAAGGAAGTCAGAACTCACCAGAGCTGAGAAGCACGTCCATAATTTCATGATGGATACCCAACTCTACAAAAAGGTCACTTCACAATCAGAGACGTTAACTTATTGCACATTGTTTCTTAATATTAAGAGTAAAACTCAATCTGAACAGAAATACAATTTTTGATATCTGTATGATATTCCGCCGACAGATAAAAAACACGGCTGCTAACGTGTTGAGGGAGACGTGGCTCATCTACAAAAACACCAAGCTGGTCAAGAAAATTGACCATGCCAGAGTACGTCACCATCAGCGTAAATTCCTGCAAGCCATCCACCAGTAGGTATAAACACGTTGTCATCAGGGAGTGCACCACCACAGTTTGAAGAAAAAATTGACTGACATTTCAAGTGTAGCACCTTACTCTTGCTCAGCATTAAATGTTGTTACTGTAAAATGTGTGACAGGGTTTTTATTCATGTACTTCTGGAGGTTAAGAGTTTCATTTTTATCAAGACAAACTGTACTCTGCATTTATTTCACTTGTGTTTCTGATTTTCAACCGTAGACTGCGAAGAGTCAAAATGGAGCAAAGGAAACTAACTGACCAGGCCAATACAGTTGCTGACCTTGCCAAGGTCCGTATGTGTACTATCTTTCACATTTAAAAAAAAAAAAAATGCGAAGAGTCAAAATGGAGCAAAGGAAACTAACTGACCAGGCCAATACAGTTGCTGACCTTGCCAAGGTCCGTATGTGTACTATCTTTCACATTTAAAAAAAAAAAAAAATCAAAATTTTAAGTTTAAGTTTGATTCAAGTGCAAAAAGATTTTTCACCTAGTTAGCTAATTATACATAGTCATTTATTAACATTAGAAGCCACAAGATGTTGTATGTCATTGCATGCCATTTTTAAATCAAATTACCATTACTCCACTTTGCCATACTTCCTTTTAAGCGATTACTTCACCCATACTTCACAATACACACAGGTCTTCCTCCAGAATCAAGCTCACTGGGTTCACCGTGAGGCCACTGTGGGCTGAAAGGTGGGCCCCATTGAGTTGCCCCAAACAAGACCCCTGTCCGCTGTGAAATGGAGGGCACATTTGTCACATGATGTATCATTTCATTTTGGTATGGACCCACTGAGGGCCCACAGCTCTACTACAAATGCAATGAGACTGTCTGTAATTTGATGAGAAATTAATCATGATTTAATACAATACTGAAAAGGAATTCTAAAATGTTTCTGCCTGAGATGAATTTTGTAATTTTAAAATCAAATCTAAAACCATTTTGAATGACTTATTATGACCTCTCCTCAAAGTGACCACAACATGCTGTAAAGTCAGATGTGTGATCTGTCCTCCCTCCTGCTTTCAGACTCAGAACATGATGTATGATCTAGTGTCAGAGCTGCAGCATCGGAGCGAAGAGCTGGACAGGAGGATTGTTGCTCTGGAAGAGAAACTGGACTCCCTCCTTCTCAGTGTGCAGTCACTGCCCGTTGTGCTTTCTCATGCAATAACAAAGCTACAGAAGGATTTCCTGGACGACTTGGCTTGTCGTGTCCACTTCCTGTCATCCTCCCTGAGCTCTGAGTGCTGTCCGGTCCCTGCCAGGCAGCTCTGTCCAGGATCCACCATGCCAGAGACACCTTACAGCTGATGGGCCTCGCTCAGTGGTTTCCCTCTTAGTCTGCAACCTTTTTTTTCATGCTGGGGAGGATTTTCTTGACATGCACTTCTTTTTTGTAACACTCTGTTACGCAATCATATAGTTACAAACATTCACCCCTGGGAATTACAGCTACAAAGTCATGTCTAGCAGCCCCAATGAGAGGGGAAGTGTTTCAGTCAGGGGACTGTAGGGGAAGGGAAAACCATCATCCCTTCATTTCCTCTGCTCAAAGTTGTTAGTTCAGGGACTGGGGTTTCACCTGTAAATCGACCAACATTAGTCCATACAGCCTCTCTTGATTGCACCCCAGTGAACACTATACTGTAAGGGAGGATGTTCATGGAGAACTTATGTATAACTGTCAACGGTTACATAACATCTATTATTAAAACATCTTATCATATTCAGTGTAGTTAAAGAAATTTGAAATGATATTCCTCTTTTTTGGGGTACCATAAATGGATACATTGACCACTATCAGACCTCATGTGGAGGACATTCCCTCCAGGTTTTTCAAGCAAGCAGGTTTTTATATTAGCCTTGCCTTTTCTCGCTTACCAATCAATATTTAATTCAGAAAAGCTAACTATGTGGGTCTTTTGCCCTCATTATGTGTGTAGTGAACTAAAAAGGTTTTTTTTTCTTTTACTGCAAGCAATTATGAAACTCTTAAAATAGCATTAGACAACAAATTCAATGGTAGTGATAACAGAGTAACAAAGGTTTGACCAAAGGTATTGTGGAAATAATTTAATACAGTAACAAGCAAACACAGTGAAAGTTAAACATCAACATTAAGTTGTCATTGGAAGTACAACACAATAGTTAAACTTGTAAACATTAAGTCCACCAGGGTAAAAGTAAAAAGTGTAAAATACATAACAATTATCCTGACAATTATTCAATAGTTAGCTTTACTTAGAATGGTGCGTTAGGAACACATTAGCTAGATCACAAATCAACAATAGTAAAACAGGTGTAATAAAATTAGCGCTGAAAGACAGCTCTCCAACAAGGGCATTTGGACAGTAACTAGATTAATTAGTTGTGAACATTTTTTAAACACAGCTCTAACAAAATGGTGGATATTAATGATGTTAATTAAGTTGCTATGGAACTCCTTCAGTAGTGGTTGCTATAGCAACAGAATGTTCAACTGAAACCAACTGCTGGTGGCAGAACAGTGGGACTGGAAAAAGGTTTCTGAATTATTAAGAAGAGCAGATTTGATTACTGAAAGTCCATGGTTGTCTTGGGGTAACAGAAGTCTTGTTAGATGGCTTGTCATCATCGGGCTCCTCTAGAGACTGAAGTGGCTGTGAAAATGATAAGAAAGGCTGCTTCCACTTGTGGTTAATGTTGTATAGGGAAACTCCCAGGAATGAACGAGTGATACTGTACATATGAAAAGCAGAGCAATAAACATTTAATATGAAGACAACACCTCTAAAGAATAAATAATTCACTTAACATTGTAATGCTCAGTCAACTTGAAAGCATCTGCTGCATTTTGTCAAGAATGCTACCGACTGACTTTTATCTAGAACTGAAAAGAAAACGAAAAAAAACGTTGTCTTCCTGCTCTATTGGGACAAAGTGTAGTTAGATAATTGGATAAAGCTGTTATGATTCTTCCAAATGAAAGCCTAAAGGGGAAGAAAAATTACATTCAGGGCACCTGTAGACTTTAGAACAGTTTACCTGAAGATATTACTTTCATTTAACACTGCAACTTCTCTCAAGGGCCACCAAAATATTATTATTACAATAATAATTCCTTTCTTCACTTTAATCACATTCTTCATTTTTGCTTGTTTGATTTGTTTGAGATTTAATTTTCATGTGGTATTTTGCTGCTTCTACTAAATTTTTGTGTATGCCAAGTGGTATCAGTACTTTTTGAGTTGTAAATTTGAAAACCTTCTTAAGACATGTGCAATAGAAATAAAGTTTATATATTTGATAACTTGGTAACTTGACAGTTCTGTTATAGAGATTGGTTTTAGGAAGTGATTTATGTTTGTCAGGTGAAAAAGGTGCATCCACCAGGTTGGGGAAATCAGAATGACAATCCTGGATAGAACAACAGTGACTATCAGTGGTCAACAAGGAGACCAGTTATATATAGTTTAGGCAAGTGACAGAAGCAATGTTTTGTATAGTGATATAGCAATTTTACAAACACATGAACAGTCTCTGCCATGTACCCAAATACAGATCCTCCTCTCTCACATACACTTATTTTCAATGTTCTAGTAAGAATTGAGTGGGCCTCATTGGCTTTCAGCTCCCGCCAAACTGAGGGGCAGCTAATTGTATATCATTAATTAAACAGTGCTACTTAAATCGGTCGGGGGTGGGGGTGGACTCCACATCAAAGTTTCACATATTAAGACGATTAGTTTGAGTTAGGATAGTTATTGTGAAACCAAATAACAGAGCCAGACATGATAAACAGCTCTATCAGTGAGGTTGTTTACCAGAACCACCATCTGTCTCTTGGATGCAGGTTTACATGGCGATGTATAATCTCGCGATAAATGTCTGGAGGCGAGCTGCACCCACGAGAATGTCGTTTCGCGCGCTGAGGCTAAGCTCCAGTCGCATTTCAGATTGACAGCTCTACCATCCAATGAACTGGATCTACTTAGAGAAAAGCAGCCAATCGGGAATATGCATTTTTACAGCAGGCGGGATATCAAAGTCTTGAAGAATAACTCATTCATCAGTCTCTTACAAGGCATAGAGTTGGTCGTGTAAACCATTGCAACGAAGTTATTTAGGGAAAACGTGCGCGTTATTCCTTAAACGTCAATTTCTTATTTTCACTTGGACGAGCAAACAGGTAAAGCAGTTTTTCTTCATATTTTAATAACTTTTAAAATCGCACTCATTGATATCTTTACCCAGTGGCTAGCTTACTAAGGTTAGCTAACTTGACAAAGTCCTACCTCGTTTCTGTTTGGTTTACTACATCAAGTTCCCTAGCCAGCCAAATGTAAAATGCAAAAGGAAAAAAAAGTATAGACCGGGACAGTTTTCGTGCTGATGAATGTACTCTGATTTCTTATCGTTAACGTATCATTTGAAAGCTGTGTAACAATAAGTTGTAACGTGGTTTGCATAGATATGGGTGGGCGATGAACTTGACTACAACGAGCTGTTGTACTGTGTTGTTTATCTGTGGTAAACCTTCATTATGTACAACACTTTGTGAAATTTCAACTACCTTTGTCACTTCAGTGTTTACTATTACGCAAAACAAATACGCTAACCTTAAACCAATTGCCTATTTCCTTGTTTTTCCGTATTGGCTTGTGATGAATTAGCTTATGTTTTCGTCTGTATTTTGAAAAAAAATGAATGGTGTCGGTGAAGTAACGCGTCTTAGGTGAGAGGAAGTCGTTTGTTTTCGATGTTATTACTTCTGTTTTGTTCACTGGTGTTGGTTTATTTCGAGCCAGCAGAGCGAACAGGACCTCAGCTGAGAGCGCAAAAGTAAAAGCCAAGCAGCCGCCGAGCTCGTCGCTTATTATAGGCACAATGCACGGTCTATGCGGGTAAATGACCGTATCCTATTATAATAATCGATTATAAACCATATGTACGGCAATAATTCGGTGTGTTTTATTGTCAGAGCGAAGGCACATTGTTTGCTAGCGCTCCCTCGCGTCCGGATGTGCTTGCTTTTAAAAGAACTGGGAGTGGCCTGCAGCTCAGTTTCCCGCACTGTATTTAAATCAGCTTGTTCCCTCCCTTTCTGATACTCTGCTGAAGTGACAGCCCAGTGCTGACAGCAGCATAATACACTGACCAAAGAGTGAATACTCATATTTCTGCTACTGAGAAACTACATTTAACTCTTTGTTTGGCTGAAGATAATGTACTTAAATCCCGAAAAAGAGAAGGGAAATATGAATTTTATATGTGGACAGCGTCGTGTGAACAAGTAGTCATAGTAGAAGAACATGTTCAATTTAGGGTGGTAATCCCCTAATTATTTGTTTTAAAACTATATGTGGCAAAAGTCACATTACAGTGCACAAACAGCGATTGTATACAAATACGTGTAGATCATTTTGGTTCAAATCTTAAGACCAACAATAATAACTAAATCTATTACAAATCATATAATACATGCAGTAAGTGGAAGAACTAAACAATCTTTTAATTATAGTCTTGTGTTGCTTCTGACAGTAAATGATGAAAATGGATGAAAGTTAATACAGACCACACCTTCAAGTCTTATTAGACATAGCCACAATAAATGATAATGTACTATTCAGTGGGCTTGATAGATTCATAAATTGCATGTTCCAAATTTAAAAAAAAAAAAAAAAAAAAAGTTATTTGCCAAAAAATCTTTTGCAGTGACACAGTTGCACTTAAATGTAAACAAATACAAATGACTAGCGGACACATTTTGGTTCTTGTGTTAAGCCTTGAACTACAATGGAAATAAAGCTTTTTGAGTTAATGCCATCCACTGTGACGTACATTTTAGTTTCCCCAACTTGACAAAATCAGAGAAAAACCCGCACACTTTTATTCTGAATTATTCTCCATGGTTGTGGGATTATTTAATTTTGTTGATATGCTTTGTGTACTACTTTGGAGCATTGTATTATAACCATGTCTTCTGGAGTTCAGCAATTCAGCACTTACTTACTTACAGAATCTAGTAAAAATAATTGCAACGATTGGTGTGGCTATAATGGATCATGGCTTGGCTGTTGACACAGGGCAGCTGCAATGTGGATTCAAGTGCGCACAATGGATGGGAAGGAGACCCACCGGGTAGATAACCTCTCCAAACTTACCAAGGTGGATGAGCTGCGTCTCAAAATCTTGGAGATCTTCAAGGTGGAACCGGAGAGGCAGCGGCTGTTCTACCGTGGCAAGCAGGTGAGATGATATGGTTAAAATTTTGTTTGTCTTTGATGCTTTTCAAAGTATTAGCATTTAAGAAGGCAACATTTTTAACATGGTTAATAGAAGTAATTTTGTTTTTTTTAGATTTGTCTCAGCTAATGTAAAAATATCAAGGTTATAGTTGTAGCTCAGTTATGAGTGCTGCTTTAACATTTAGTTGTTAAAAAAAAAATATATATATATATATATATATAGATGCAAAACCTGCATTAAATTAAAAGCTTGTATTAAATGGGAATTTAAATTTCCTATCATGGAAAATATCTGTCATTGTACAGGCACCAGTAGGAAATATTAATTAAATATTAATATTATTAAATATTTAACGATGTAACACGTGTTTTTTTGCAGATGGAGGATGGCCATACCATATTTGACTACAACGTGGGACTAAATGACATAGTGCAGCTGCTTGTAAGGCAGAAGATGCCCCCTGTTGATGTTGTCAAGAGCAAGGACAAAGAAGCCGAGCTCTCTGACTCTGATTCTGGCTGTGGCTCAACCCAGAGCGAGTCTGACAAGAGCTCTACTCACGGTGAAGTAGAGGGTCAAACTGCTAGCACCTCTGCCCAGACCAACAGCTCAGAGCTCATTGATCCGGGGTTTGGATTTTACAAGGTGCGTTTTAAATCTGATATTTGGGATTAAATTGGGTATTGTATATAGTGATTACAAGTTACCTTTGCTTTGTGGGGAAAGGGGGAAATGACCTGCGTTCAGCCTAGGACGGGAAGAGGTCATGAAGCGTGGTCAAATGACGTGTTGACCTAGATGATCAACCAACAGTTTGGGTTCTACCTGCTGCAATTCTTAGCCATGTTTCTGCTGTGATCCAGCATGTTACTGTCAGGGCTCAACAACATGTAAGACATTTCTTATACATGTGGACACTTAAAAAAAGTTGGTTATATTGCTGCCTCAAACAAGAGATGTCATCCTATGAATCCTCCAGTTAATTGTTTAGTTCAGGTTGAGTGTCACTGCACATTGATTCATGCTCACAGCCGTGTAGGCTGCTCTGTATTAAACGGGAGGCTATAAATAAATGGGTATACAGCGGGACACAATCGTCGCCCTTCACTATAAGCAGGAAACGTCCGTCATCATGAATACTTGAGCTGCCATTTTTTTTCAGAACTGCTTGTCATCTGCTCGACACCTTTCCAATGTAGGTTTTTCTGTCTGACCATCTGTTACTTTCTGAAACCAACAATTTGACCTTCACGCCAACTTCAGCTCATGATTGGCCAGCTGTGTAGAGGTGAAAAAAAAGAGCCAGGGTTGTACTTCTCTCCCTAACCTGTTTGTTTTGTTTGTTATGCAACTGTTTCTGACAGTTTTTTGTGTGTACAGTCGAGTGCAACACTGAGCGCCTTCAGGAGAGATTGTGTGAAAATGTGTAACACTGCTCGCATTTAAACTTTCACATCTCCCCCTATCTATGTGTGACAGCCGGCTTTGAGTGCGGCTGCTTGGAACAACTATGAACACATTTGATTTATGACATTGTCGCACTAGTTATTTTCAAGCATAACCCGACCCTGTGGTGCATCGCCTAACCAGCTATATTACTGTGTCTTGTTATGCTGCAGAATTCGCAGTTACTCAGTGTATGTAACTTACATTACTGTAAGATCTCTTTTTTTTTTTTTTTTTTTTTTTTTTTTTTTTTTTAAATGCATAACTTTCACTTCATGTTGTTGAGATTATAGTGTAAAGAAAATGCAGAAGTTTTATGTGCTTGACCACAATAATGTTTTAAGTATCAAATCTCTGTGGAATCCAGTAGTTTGGCACCTCTGCAGACTTTGGATTTTCTATTCCCCACTAGCATGATTGAGATGGCTGTTCATACACTTTGCATGAATGTACCAATGTATTTGATTTGGATAAGGGGGGGGTGTAGTGGCTTGGATTTTTAAGCCTTTCTTCATCCAACATCTTGTAGACATTGTAAAAATATGTAATTTTACCCCATGTTCTGACATTCCATATATAAGGACGAAGGTCTGATGAGACCTCAGATATTCAATTTTTTTTCAAGCTAAAAAATTGAAGATTCTCAGAAGGAAATTAAACTTGTTTGGGTTTTAAAATGTGTCTGAACTTCTTCTCTTTTTGTGTGTTTGTAGATCAATGAGCTGGTGGATGCAAGGGACTTGAATATGGGAGCGTGGTTTGAGGCCCAGATTGTGAATGTTACGAAGACGACACAGACGCCTAAAGAGGAGGCTGCAGAGGCACAGCCAGCAGAGGAAGAGATACTGTACCATGTTAAATATGAAGAGTAAGAGCCCTTTTTCTGTCACTTCTCTTAATCATGCTAAACATTGAACTAAAATATAACTTCATGTGTATGTAGCACCAACGGTTGAAGCTTCGGATTTTCTGTGGTATCTCTTTGCCCTCTATGAAAGGTGCTGTTGTGTTGGTGACTTTGCAAGTGTGTTAATGTTTGTGGGAACATCCATCTGAGTGGTGTAGCTGTTCCCAACCATGCAAACATACTTGGGAGCTCTGTGGAGGAAGCACCTGTGGTGGTATGTGGCTTGTCTCTGAACTGCAAACTGATATGGTGTAACATTTACGGTCGCAGCTACCCAGAGAATGGCGTGATTCAGTTGCTGTCCAAGGATGTTCGTCCGCGGGCCCGTACGGTGTACCAGTGGCACCAGCTTGAGCCAGGAATGGTCGTTATGGTCAACTACAACCCAGACGAGCCCAAGGAGCGTGGCTACTGGTATGACGCAGAGATCCAGAAGAAGAGGGAAACGCGCTCTCTGCGAGAAATCTATGCCAAGATTATCCTTGGGTAAGGGCACTGTTGCATGTGTGGTGGAGTTGTAACACTAAGTAGGGTGAATTACCACAAGTCTAATATCTGTTCATCTAGCTGTGGTGGCAAGTGAATATTTTTGTCTGTATCTCAAAGTTCGTTTGGATATTTGGCTGCCACAGTAGCAGGTGGGGAGAAGTTTATTTCCTGCTGTGGTGTCAAAGTATATTGTAGAATATATTCTGCGCTGCTAACATTTTAAGAAGTTGGAGTATAAACTACTGTCGTATTATATCTGGATTTGGAACTCACAATATTATCTTCCTTTCCTTTACCTTTCTGCATAGTTATCTATAAGTTTCTAAGTCGCTGAGATTCATGTTTTTGCCGTTAGATTTTTTTCAAGTTATTCATACAGTATGTATTGTAAAATGGAGATTATACTACTATATTGCTTCTATGCAGGTTACATTGACTCTTGATTCTTTGTTTGCAGCGATGCTGGTGACTCTCTTAATGACTGCCGGATCGTGTTCCTGACTGAAATCTACAAAATTGAGGAAGCCGGCTCTTTGAGTGAAACCCCACCTGGATCAGAGAGTCCACTAAAAAGTAGGTTTAAGTTTGTTATTTTGTTGTTGTTTAAATTGTAAAGTACAATTTTAAACTGAATAGTTTTGACTTGTGAATAATCAGGATTTTGATTTTGACTATTGTCAGTGTACTTAATGTTATTTAGATATAAAATCTGCCTTACCCTACCCAGTTGAAAAGTGTTTCATAATATTGGAATACAGTATTACGAAATTCTCTTTTTCCAGGATCAAATGGACCTGAATGCAAGCACTGTAAGGATGATCCCAAAAAAAACTGTCGCTGGTGTAACTGCCACATCTGCGGCATCAAGCAGGATCCTGACAAACAGCTGTTATGTGATGAATGTGACATGGCCTATCACACCTACTGCCTGAACCCACCACTCACCTCCATCCCTGAAGATGAGGACTGGTGAGTAAGAACAACTGTGTTCACATATCCTAACCTTTACTTGAATATAAAGTTAGGAAATTACTGGTCATATGTTGACGAATGGGCAATCTCGTAATTGATGTGAATCTTGTAGTACTTGTGACCTCTTTCAAATGCATTCAATATTGGCCTGATTATTTTCTTTTTTTCCTAAAGCCAAGAACAGATTTCAGCTATTTATATACTATATAATATCCACTATTCTGAGACCTTAAAAGCTTGAAAGCCTCAATCACAGCTATTTGCAGGCATTAAATGTCAGGGCTGTTTGGCTGAATCAAAGCATTAAACTTAACTGTTAACAGGCCAACCACTGGGTTTCACACCATTTATGACATGTGTCATGTTTTTGATCATTATTTGTGTTAATATGTTATACTTGACTTGACCTATACTCTACATATCATGCTGTTACAGGTATTGCCCAGGTTGCCGTAATGATGCCAGTGAGGTTGTGTTGGCTGGAGAGAAGCTGAAAAAGAGCAAGAAGAAAGCAAAGATGGCTTCCGCTAGCTCCTCCAGCCAGAGGGACTGGGGCAAGGTGAGAGCTGTGACGGCGTTGCCAGACAGCAAATCTTATTTGGATGTACAAAAAATTATCACATTTACATATTTGAATTGGTTATTTGGCTGATGGAACTGATGGACACTGGTAAGAGCACCTACAGTATGCTCTAAGAAATGGGCTTACCGTTTACATTTTCAGAACCATTGGAAAAACTAGTTACCACATAATACATGGTGTTAAACGCTTAAGTCTTTACATACATAAAATGTACGACTCCTCCCTCTCCAGGGAATGGCCTGTGTTGGTCGAACCAAGCAGTGCACTATTGTCCCATCCAATCACTACGGCCCAATTCCTGGTGTCCCTGTCGGCTCCTTGTGGAAGTTCAGAGTACAGGTCAGTCCAAGCAACTTGAGAATTACACTAATGCTGTTGAAGAAACATTTGCAATGAAGTGCCTAAAAGTTCTTGAGTTCTTGTCTTCAAGTTAAGGTTAATTTTAATGTTGACAAACTGAATAACACTAAATTTGTTCCAGTGGCCGGCAATGATGTTCAGCTTTTGGCTTTTCTAGGTCAGTGAGTCTGGAGTCCACAGACCACATGTAGCTGGCATTCATGGCAGGAGCAACGATGGTGCCTACTCTCTGGTCCTGGCTGGAGGTTATGAGGATGATGTGGTATGCTGTTAATTTTATTTAATCAGTATTAGTAGTAACATATAAACGGTAGTGAGGATAACTTTTAATGAGCTTTTAAGTTGCTGCTTAATGTCAGTTTTGATGGGAATCTCAAGTGTCAAGGGTAGGTCTCATTTTGATACAAAACCCAGAGATTTTTTTCTAACCGCTTACATCCTGTTGACAAACCGTCTTTGTAGGCTTATTTTGTCTGATGTTTGTGACATCTCATTGCAGGATGATGGCAATGAGTTCACTTACACTGGCTCTGGCGGACGAGATCTGTCAGGAAATAAGAGGACTGCTGAGCAGTCATGTGATCAGACACTTACCCACATGAACCGGTATGATGCTAAACGATGTAACGCATAACTGCCATAAATCAACAGGATTTCAGAGTTTTTTATTATTTGTATTTAAATTGTTTGCTGTGGTCCTTTGCAGGGCACTGGCTCTCAACTGCAACGTCCCCGTCAATGAGAAAAATGGAGCTGAGTCCAAGAACTGGAAGGAAGGCAAACCGGTTAGAGTTGTGCGCAGCTGCAAGGGTCGCAAGCACAGTAAATATTGCCCTGAGGAAGGAAACCGATATGATGGGATATACAAGGTATGAAGAACACTGTATGCATTTTTAGGGAGGGCAGATGTCAAACTGGCTCATTTTAAAACATGATTATGTCAATTATTGAACTATTAAACATGGCATGTGACAGTTAATTCATTACATTGATAAACTGATTCAGCCTCACCAGACCTGAATTCCTAGTAAGTCAACAATTACCTATAGTTTGAGTAACGCGTTTATTAATAATCTTGTAAATTCCAGGATTCATTTGTAGTTTTACTTTACATGTCTTTGACTTCCTTCAGGTGGCGAAGTACTGGCCTGACAAAGGCAAGTCTGGCTTCTTGGTTTGGCGTTATCTGCTGAAGCGTGATGATGATGAGCCGGCACCGTGGACAAGGGATGGCAAGGAGCGCATCAAGAAGCTCGCTCTCACCATGCAGGTACAGATGATGAGATCATGATATATTACACTGGTTTTTCTGAGTGTCATTCCCTGTTCAATCTGTGCAGAATACTTTTAACACAATTTTGACAATAGTTTTACCATTGATTTTAAAAAAAAAAAAAAAAAATGCAAAGTGTTACATCTAATAGGTGTTAAAATCCATGGTAATCTGTTGACTGTAAACTGCTCATTAGCTCTCTAATGTTCATGTAAATTGACTCAATCTCATTGTTTCAGTATCCTGCTGGCTATCAGAAAGAGAAGGAGAACAAAAATGAAGTGGAGGAGGCGGCGGCGGCAGCAACACCCAGCAAGGCAAAGAGGAAGAGAAAATCTCAGGGCAGCGGTAGGTTTTGTGTGTGTATGTGGGTATTAGTTTTTACTTGGTGTTCAGAAACAGAAGTCCATATAAGACTCCTGCAAATCACACTGGAGCCATGCACTAGGCTTTTTGTGGCATACAGAAAATGATATTGCTGGTGGAAGTGGTAGATTGATGTTTTTCCTCTCTAACCTAAACAAAATCTGCCACCCTTTCTCCTACAAACTCTTCCTAAATTGAAAATGTGTTTATCACTTTCTGTCAGAATCCTCCAAGACCCCACCAGCCAAGACTCCAAAGAAAGTCAAGGTAGAGGTATACAAGCTTTCCCAGGAGCAGAAGGCCCTCATCAAGAATGACAAGCCAAACAAGAAGCTGTGGGACGAAGCCATGGAGTCACTGTCACTTGGACCGGTGAGCATGACTGTGCTTGGTCAAGTCACTGCATGGTTTTGATATGCTTAAGCTTAAATTTGGGGAAAGCTAGGTAAATTAAGCTTGACCTTGCTTATAGTTGACATATTGATTAACAAAAAGTGGCTGATATGAATGGCAAATTTGGTTTGAGGAACAAAACTGTCAGGTGGTGCTTTGTCAGCGCTGGATCATACTCTCAATTAGTTAATAAGGAACTAAACAGGAGCTTCTTTGTGTAAAATTGTAGTGCCTTCTTAAATGTTTAATATTTTGTTTCTGCAGAAATTTTTGAACAAGGTTGAAGAAGTTTTCCTCTGCATTTGCTGCCAAGAAGTGGTCTATCAGCCCATCACGACAGAGTGCCAACACAATGTCTGCAAAGTAAGAAACTATTACTGTCGCACACTTTGGGGATCCCAAGTGACTGAGATTTACAATAACAAAGAATTCATGATACAATAGCAATACATTGCAGTTAAATAGACGAGATAGATTACAGCCTGTAGATGCATTTACATCTTGAAAATACAGGAAGTTGGGAAAATATTGGAAAGTCTTTCCTTGAAAATGGCCTAATTATATGGACTTAATCACACCTCAATTTAGGGATATTTTTGATGAATGATATACCTTTTTAGAGATGCCTTTTATTTTATTGTGTTGCAGTAGTGATAGGGTTACAGTTGCTATCTTAAATGTCATGTTAGCTGTAGTAGCTTTTGATCTGATGACGCATCCCCTCCTTAAACCACCCTCTGAAACTTATTGTGGAGAATGCAGGAAACCACCAACTAAAGGTCATGTCAGAATGAATTTTAAAATCCCAAACTGGTATATAATAATACATGAGTAATCTGTTAAAACAGTGAAATTTTAATGAAACAAATATAGCAGAGCCCCTAAGAACTGAAAGTTGTTTCTTGTTACTCCAGGAATGTCTTCAGCGGTCCTTCAGAGCAGAGGTTTACACCTGCCCGGCCTGCAGACATGATCTGGGCAAAAACTACTCCATGACTGTCAACAAATCTCTGCAAGACATTCTAAATCAGTTTTTCCCGGGGTACAGCAACGGGCGATGATCATTGGTTCTGCTTACTCAGCCCTCGAGGAAACGTGATGTAAACTGTAAGGGGAATTTTCAGTAGAGGCAATAAAGAATCAGTTTCTCTTAATATATTTTTTATGATTTATAAAACTACAATTTCTGTGGACTTTAATGCTGCCATTTTTCACCTTGGATCTGCCGTGATGTGTAGTTACTGATGAATCGAAAATTCCTTTATTACTGCCTGTGCCATTACCCCGTTAATACCTTAAATTGTGATTTTTTTTTTTTTTTTACTCCCAGTGTTTTCATTCTGTTCCATTAACTAATGCTAATATCGATGTAAAATTCTTGTTACTTTCAACTAAATCCCTCCATGTTTAGCACTCCTTAAGATAACGTTAAGTCGTAAGTTGATAAGCCGTTTACCCAACTTGTTTGGAGATTCTTTTGTACAAGACTTTTTTTAGAATCTGGATCTACTGTTCGTTTGGCTGTGGCTGGTCATCATTTTGATGCAATCTTCTCAATCTGATCGTGCATTCAGGGTGTGAATTGGTTGGCATTCACATCTCACCTGGAAGACAGCAGCTTGATTTGTCATTAAGAAATCAATTGACAAATTTAAAATGGGGGGAAAAAAACTATCAAGGCAATGTCATCACGACAGATTCTAACTGCAGCACCTTGTGTACACCTTGTCTTGGCATGATCAGATGATTGGCATTGTATTAAAATGAATGAACAAAGCCCTTTTTTTTTTTTTTTTTTTGAGAAGAGATTTTCTGAATCTAAAACTGTTTCATAAAATGTAGATGAGACTTGACATGCAAGCACAAACTGAACCAGTTTGTTTTCCTGCACTTCAGCTGTCTCTGAAGTGTCTTGTTAGCAAACCGTGTCATCAAACTTGGTTGTATTTTCTAGCTTCCCTATATATTTTCATACAATAATTTTATATTTGTATATGAAGTTTCTGAAAGTTGGTTTAACAATTGCCATGAATTTGATAAAATCTTTAAAGCTATTCTGTGGCATTGATTTGGATTTCCCCTTTTTGAAAAGGTTCATTTTTATAAAGTCCAAAGAAACTTAAATACTTAACCGAGAGTGTAATGTAGAACTCCCATCTATCTAGCTCTTTAGACGTTGTCCCAGACACTTAAACCTAATTGAGTCTAGAAACTTTATTTGTATTTTTTTGCTAAAATTAAAATGTGTACTTTTCATCTTTTATAATCCATTACTGCCCTCTGGAATGGGGCTGTTCAGTCAGATTTTTGTCTCCTGTGGTAACTTGTCTTACCGGACTTCCTTTAAAAAAACAGGAAATGCTTGCATTAATTTGAAACGTTAAGGAAATTCCACACACTGCTCCTGAAATTTGATATTGAATCAACTAAATTATCTGAATTTGTTATTTACTACTTTTGTCGCTGAATGTCTTTTCATGAATGATGTTTGGTGTTGAATTTCAACAGCAGTGTGTGACAATATCCATCCACATGCCAGCACTTTGAGTTTTGATGGAGAGACAAAGATTTGCATAGACCAGGAAATGTATATTTTCTAAAATTGTATAATTTTTAGTCCGTTTTAGTTTTGATGTAGTTTTTAGAAATGCTTGCACATGTTTGTTGCAAAAATTTGTCAATACATTTTCAGTGTTATTCAATAAAAAGTGAAAAAGATGTTTTGATATATATTTTTTTTTTTTTTTGTTATTTGAATGTTAGGTAATGAATGTGGCTTCTTAACTGACATGGATACAATTTTACACTAGTTATTTTTAAGGTAGAAAGTTACTCAAACTAGATAAATAACTGAGTAATGGCGCATGATATTCATGGCTTGGACAAACTTTAAACTCATACAGGGATTATGAGAATACTCGTAAAATGTTCACTTGCGTTAAAGGTACTTTATTCTTCTCATGGTTAACGGAGCAGAACAGCCTTTGAGAGCACCGGCAGTGTGTACGTGCGTGGCGTGCACATCGGTTAAGTATGACCGTCGATGACATGAGTAGAACTAAGCGTCTATTTTCATTGGTTGATTTATCTGTCTATAACCGAATAAACCAACCATATCACCGGCTTTCTGGCCAAGAATCATAGTAGCCGCGTCATTCAACCAATCGCAAGGAGTAGTTCTTGCGGTGGGCGTGACTCCAACCAGCCTCAGCTAGCTAATGCTAGAAGAAAACCGATCCAGGGAATTTTTACAAAACGAAACCAAATTGATTGAGAGTAACAGGGAGAAGGCGATACTATTCTGCAGGAGGTAGTATTTCCCAAACAAGATTAATTTTTTTTCAATCGCTGAGTCTGTGTTCTTGTTTAATTGTGATGGTGTGTCTGTCGTCGCGGTGTTTTGTTTTTTTCTAACTGCAGATATGGAAGTAGCCAGCGAGAAGCTAGCCAGCTAGCTTAAGAATACATTTGGACACGGTGTAGCTCTGTTTAAATACAGCCAATGGCTGGTTTTGCGTGTATGTGTAACTTAGGTTGATTGCATTGAACGTTTGTGTGAGTTTCACATTTTGCTCATTTGAAGCGCTTCAGCTACGGTTTTTTGTTCGCTGTCATCTTAGATAAAATGCTAACAGTTGATGTTAGTTGTGCAGAGCTATCGTCGCCCTTAGCAGCAGCAGCAGCCTGCAATAACTGCTTCCCTGAAATCAAGCAGCGTCGTTTTACTCTCAACAAGCCTGATATAAATTAACTATTACGATAAAGAATGTAGTTTATGAGTATTAACATTTCAGTCCTTATTAAGAGGGAAGCTTCCTGCAGTATTGAAATAAGTTTCAGGCCCAGATGGAGTTAAAGGGTCTGTGTAGGCCCCTTTTTGTTGTGGTTAGACAGCTGGGGGTCATGTGGCCTTCCATTCACTGAATAGGTCAGTCCCGGTTAGAAAGAGGGTCCCTGCGTAAAACGTAGTGATATTCTTAAAAGTGAGATAACGTTTCATCTTGGAAGAGTGATCATTAATTGTTAAAGTGAAACTAGTTCTCAATTGTTTGTTGGGTCGGTTTGGAAGACAGGTCTTTCTCGGTTGTGTTGCAGTGGGATTTATGTGCAAGTGATATAAACTAGAGACCCATAACTCAGAAATACCTAACGCCTTTCTTTTCATTGAGCTTGCTTGGAACCTAACTTTCTTTGCCCTTTTAAGCTCACACCATGTTTCTTGCTTTAGAGGCTGTTTGTGATTGATGCAAATGACTTGTTGAATGACAGTCGCCATTTGGTTTGCCTTGTAGTAGAAACTCACAGTAGGAACAAGAAACCTAAAATTCACAGCTGGTGATGTTTTAATGCTGCAAGTGGCTGATGTGTGTGAAGTTTTGAACAAGAAGATGCTTGAAATGCAAACTTGGGGATGTGGTCATGTGTATTTTATTTATTTATTTATTAAGAAACTTTATTTGATCCAAACCATGTGTAAATGTTGCAGTGCAAATACAGTTATGAAATCGGATATCCTCCTGATATGCCAATCCTACAGCTAGTCTTTTAAATCAATATATTCTTAGTATGTCCATCATGTTGTCAAATGTGATCAAACACTAAATGTTGCACACCTATTGCATTTCAGGACAATCATTGACAAAGTGGTGATAGTTTGTTTGGGTGACACCTGTGTGCTTGACAGTGCCAGTGTTATCTAAGGTAATCTCCAAACAGATAACTTCTTGTCAGCCGTTTGTGTGCAACAAACAGTTACTTTCATGTCACCTGTTTGTTTGGAGAAGGGAAAAATTTGAAAAGTAATTGATGCATTGCAATTCTCTATTGAAAGTGTTAAGATTTGATGCACAAGACTACCTGCTGAAAATAGATAACTTTATTATTTCTGCTCCATGCACATTTAAGAAAGTCAAAATTATGGAGACACTTTAATTCAGCTAACAATATAAGGCTTTTCAATAGATTAATGTGGAATTGCTAATTATTTTGGTAGTTTATTTTCAGATCAAACCTGCTCAGGGCTCCTGTACATGTAGAGCTAGATGATATGGTTGAAGTCATTGTAACTAATATTTTCCCTTTGTTATATGTATGTTAAGATATGGTAAATTAATGAAAAATCACTTGTAAGAGCATGAGACAACTCTTTTCATGTGATTTAAAAAGGCGTTGATACGATTTTAATTTTAATATTAATTTTAAGTAGAATCCAGAAATACATAAGCAGTGTATTTGAAATTTACATTGATTGGACACATGTTTGTTTTGATCATTTAGAGAGGCTGAGTGAGCCAGATAAGAGCTGTGAGACATAAAAGTTGTGTCATGTGAAAATAAAATATTTTGGTAATAACACTGCTTTTGAAATCACATGAAATGTTTCCCTCTGGAGTCAGAGGACCAACAACTTGTTGAAAACCCTTTAGCATTCATATATATAGCTCAAACCATGTGTTAAGTGAATACACAACTCATATCTCGCGTTGAGTGTAGACTGCATACCCACCCCCCACCCACATTAACTCTCAATAAATATCTTTTATTGATGCTTGCATGTTTTTCATTGTTGAGCAGGTTTATATGCTCACCATTAAAGTTGCGTAGGGTTCAAATTAAACAAGGACCCAGCCTCCCCCTTATGTCAAAGTGGGTGTCAATGTTTACAGCTTTGATTTGTTATGCTTGATGATGCAGCTCGAAAAAGATAATGTCGCTACACATAAACGTGCGTCAATATTATGCGCATGAACCAAATGATTTGTGCTTTCCAGGAACAACTGTGGGGATTGGTCCAGACAATATATGGAACATCATTTTAAAACAAGACAATGAATATCTAGTCTCTCAGTCAACCTTTAGTTACAACTCTCTAATGCATGATGGATTGACATTGACTATTGATTAAATATTGAATTTAAAGCGTTTATTAGCTGGGCATACTGGGCAGTATTGATGCACATCTCTGACCATTAGGGTTCAGTGTTTCACTGGTGCCACTGGTTGCAGTCAAATCAGACGACCACATGTAATTCAACACGTTTCTGTTGAGGTGATTGAGTAATTATCACCAGTAGCTGCAACAGTGACTTTGCAATATACAGACAGCTGATAAAGGATGTGAAAAACCTAGATAAGATGTCTTGGTAAGGTGTTGGGCCATCACACATGCTACCAGAAGAGCTTCAGTACGCATTGGCAATGACTCTCAAAGTCTCTGGAATCCCTCCGTCTGTATAGTATTTTGGTCTGTGTCAGACCTTCAGCGACGGAGCCTTTGTTAACAGACTGTTATGCCACCTGGCTAGCTAACGAGCTGTGCCTTTCGGCTGAGTAATTTTTGTACAATTTTTTTTGTATTACAAATTGTTTATCTCTCACAAACTGTTGTGTGCCATGGTGTTTTGACCTGTTAGAGAGTAAGTTGTTGGTAATTTATGTTATAAAGTTATAACCATCAATAAGAAGGATACGCACAGTTAATAGGGGTCCTCTCTCAATACAGTATATAATTTGTATATGAAAATAGTTGTATATGAACAATTCATACCGTACTGTAAAATAAAATCTGCATAAGTTGTCAGTAGTATCAATATTAGGATGGGAGTTGGAAATGTTTTGTAAAGTAATAGCTTTACTGATGAGATAAAGGGAGGGAGTTTTTTGATGAGAGTCAGGGAGAGTGGCATTTGTGAGTGAGACGAGAGAAATAAAACATAATTTATTTGCTGTTTGTGCTACTGCAAAAGCAAACAATAAAACAAATCCTTAGCAGTAGCAAGGAGACCAGTAACTACAGAGTAAAGCATTTATCTCTGCAGCATTTTTTAACTGTTGGCCTTCAATTGCTATGTTATCGGTTTTTGAGGGACTTCTATTTTCTGATTTACTTAATGGAGTTCCCTAGTTTATGTTATCATTTGTGTAAAAATGGTCAGCTAGAAGCCTGTTAGTGATTTTCTCACACAATATCATTGTCTATTATGACCCACTAAGCCATGTTTCAATTAAATAAGCACTTTGCACTCTTTATAAAAATCTAGATTCCTAAACTTTTCTGAGCACTTACATGTTGTCCACCTTGCAACTGTTCCCAATTTGAATTTGAGTTTGCAAAAAAGGTCCTTGCTATGAAAAAGAAGCTGAAATATTCTGAATATGTCCTGATTGCTCATGCTCTTCTCTCCAGGTTCACCTGCAACACTTAAACGACCAAATGGCTACCGACATGCCCATGGACACGGTGCCGGCTCCTCACTCTGCCCCAGCCTCACCCCCAGACACTGCCCCAACCTCACCTCCTACTCTCAGCTCCAGTTCAACCCAAGACCAGATTCCCTCGCAGGAGCCAGCAATAGCTGAAACACCTCACACAGCGGTGACCTCAGAACACGATGCTGCTCCAGATATCACCCCAGCTCAGCCTGCAGCCCCAGACATGGCACCAGGAATTGTTCCAGGTTCTGAGCTCCCCCCAGGCCCTGTGCTGCAATCACTGCCACCAGTCAGTGCCAAGAACCCCAGCTGCAAGATCATGACCTTTCGGCCCACCATGGAGGAGTTTAAAGACTTTGCCAAATACATCGTATACATGGAGAGTCAAGGGGCTCACCGCGCTGGACTGGCAAAGGTGAGAACAACACACTCATACACCCACACACATATAGTATACTGTATATACTCTCATACATTACACTCACATACTTGCTGCAGTCCTTTACAGTCCTGTGATAGTAAGGTCTAATTGTCTCATTGTCACTTACAAGTTGGATAAAAGCGTCTGCCAAACGAGTAAATGTAAATGTAAATCATTAGTTGAATAGATTAATAGTATCCTATTATCTGAGCATTGATTGTTTAAACTCAACGATGGGATGTTGATAATATTCTTGTACAATGTAAAACATCTACTTTGATGTGGCTGGAAGCCATTGTAAACCTATTTATATGAATGTCAACTTACTGCATATAAATGCTAAACATTTGCTCCCTTCAACAGGTGATTCCCCCGGAGGGCTGGAAGCCGCGGAAATGCTATGACACCATCGAGGACATGGTGATTCCAGCTCCCATCATGCAGGTGGTGACTGGTCAGTCAGGTCTGTTCACCCAATACAACATCCAGAAGAAGTCAATGACTGTGGGAGAGTACCGCAAGCTAGCCAACAGCAAGAAGTAAGTTGGTGCCCAGTCCAGGCGTCTCATTTATAAATGTGGTCATTATTTAGTGCTTGTAGCCTTTGTCACGCATGTGTTTAGAAGAGACTGAAACTGATGATGAAAGACTTCTAAGTTGTTTTTGTCTTCCAAGCAGTAGTCAATATATATATATATATATATATATATATATATATATCTCACAAGTGCTGATGATACAATTATTTCTCCTATGTAAACTTTAAAATAATTTTTAGTAAATTAAAATATAAGCATATTAATTGGGGACCACTAATTAGTTTATCAGTAATAACCCTTACCACTTGCCCAAGCACTGGGGCAAATGGTTTAAACTTACATCTGTAACAATGTCATTAGTGTCATTGATTTGCATGAAACTCTTCCAGCAAGAACAGTTGTTTGTTTTCTGCTTAAGTTGTAACTGAGTTATGTCAGCATTTGTAGTAGCTATAGTGGTAGCTTTTGATCAGTTGAATAACTTGAAGATGTTATTGAAAACTGAGAAATTGCAAACATGAGGGTGTAGCTGAAAGGCCATCTCTCTGCACACTGCTGACAATCTATCTGATCCTGTTCTGTTTTTAGGTACTGCACACCTCGTCACAAAGACTTTGATGACCTAGAGAGGAAGTACTGGAAAAACTTGACATTTGTGTCACCCATTTATGGTGCGGATGTCAGTGGCTCCATCTATGATGAGGTAAGGTGTGTGTGTGTGTGTGTGTGTGTGTGTGTGTGTGTGTGTGTGTGTGTGTGTGTGTGTGTGTGTGTGTGTGTGTGTGTGTGTGTGTGTGTGTGTGTGTTGTTGTGTTAGTGCTCACTTTCTAACCTTGCTTATTTTGCTTGGTACTTTAGGTTAAGGTTATTAATTGTGACTCAATGGTTTGAGGACGAAAAAGGATTTACTATACCTTTGGCATTATATGGGATGCATATTTTACACTGATAAATGGATAATTGTTAATTGTGATACTATGTCCTTAATATAAGCTGTTTTAAATATTGTGCTTTTATGACTTGTTGCCAGTATCATAAAGGTTTCCACATCCTCAAGGTGTAACTTCAATACCTTGCTCAGTGAATGGGAAATTGCCATTTTTGTTTGACTACAGCACCATCTGGTGTTACAGCCATTGAAAGACTTTTTGAGTACATGGTAATCATAAGAATGCATGTTATTCTGTCCAGGATGTTCAAGAGTGGAACATTGGCCATCTCAACACGCTGCTGGATATGGTGGAGCAGGAGTGTGGCATCGTTATTGAGGGTGTCAACACACCGTATCTATATTTTGGCATGTGGAAGACCACGTTTGCCTGGCACACAGAGGACATGGACCTCTACAGCATCAACTACCTACACTTTGGGCAGTCCAAGTCCTGGTCAGTCACTGATTTTTTTGGGTTGTTTTTTTTTGTTTCATCTTGATGCTTTCTGTATAGCCCGAACAATGTCACTTGTCATTTTAAAGTTTTACAGTCTGTGCTTGCTGCACAGCAGTAGTGTGTCAGTATAGTTAGCGGTCATATAGCTGTTGTTGACAGCAGGAGCAATCACTTTGCGATTTTCACAAAACTGGTTGGACTTGATTGCAGTGATACTGACAGAACCTGTGTGGCAAGCAGCACCTGACATGTTGGCACTGTTGCACTGTGATAGCACAACAGCCTGATGATACTGCCTGGCAGGTAGCGTCTGGTTAACAGCACCACCTAAAGTTCACGTGGAGCCTAACAGACACATAATCTGCCTGTGAAGTTGGGGTAGCACAGCCACGATGACTCAAACAGGGAAAACTCAACTTCTGAATTTCTCACTCGAGTTTAATTTTAAGAACCACAGGTAGAGTAATTTGTAATGAATACCAGCTCATTACCGTTGGATCCAATCGGTCTGAGCATCACTAGTATCAAGCAGTTCTTTATTGATTAAAGCTAACAATGGATACAGGGTTGAGTGTATTTTAACTTCTGTTGCTTCCTCTCAACTTTTTGTACTGAAAACATGATTTTTAAATGGTAATTTGGTTGTAACTTGGTTGTGGATGTACTGATATTAATAAGCAGACTTCTTGTGTGTCATGTACAAGTGGGAACCTCTGCCCCTGTGCCAAATACTCTTCCTATGTCATTTTTCCTGCTGTTGCACCCACTCTGTAGTGTACATTGGGGTCCTTAACGTATTTGTCTTAGTGAACCAGTCCAAAGCAGCTGTAACAGGCCAGGGCTTGAGGGTAGGAAGTTTCTGTTGCATAAAACCTTGCAATTCTGTGCCAACTACATAATTCACAGATTCATGTTTTAGTCTTGTGTTTCTGGAACAGTAGACTTATGTACTTGCTTTACTGAGTCGTTTTTTGAGAATCTCTGCTTTTGATACATGCCATTAGTTTGAGCGTGCTGCTTTGTGCTCGCAGCACTGAGGCTTCTCATTGGCTATTTCACCATCGGAGGGTTCCTTATTTGGCAGGTAAACTTTTGAGATATTTGATTGTGCTTGACGTCTGTTTGTTTTACAATTGTGCTTTGCCTTTTAGGTATTAGGACAAATGCTTCATGAATAATGCTAGAATTCAGTTTTGTTTTTCTACTGTTTCTTCTACCATTTTTTGTCATTTTGTTTAAGAATTGTTTGCAAATAGTTACCTCTTTTGTTGTCTCCTCAAATCCCGCTTGTCCTCAAACTTATGCAGTAAATCTCTGAAGAATGTTGAAACCATGACCTTACCATGAGTCTTACTGGTGTTGTGAAAGTTCACTCTTGCATAGGCACAGAAAGTTTGCTGAAACCATGTGTAGCAGATGGTGTACAGTATAGGAACCTATAGGGGTTTGAGTGCTGTTTTGCTTGCTGGCTTTCTATTCTGTGCATCATTACATTTCCTTTTGTCTTTCTGTCACTCAACCCTGGTGGCCCATGGTCCCCGAAAAAAAACAAAAACCTTTTCCTTTTCTACCCCTTGATTTTCTCTTGTGTGCAAGTGTGTGTGTATGTTTTCTCTTCTTTCCCTCAATATTTTTTTTGATCTTTGGCACGGCAGGTGGTGAGCAGACTCAACCCAGCCTTGGAACACTCAGAAATACAGTATTACCTCTGTGTGTGTGTTTACATATATGTGTATGGCTTCCCTTCTCTGTTTGCTCCATTTGATTCCATCATTCCCCCTCTCCTGTCTTCCTCTCGGAGTTGGGTACTCCGTGTGTGTGTGTGTGTGTGTGTGTGTGTGTGTGTGTGTGTGTGCGCGCACGCGTGTGTTCCCACTGTTTGTGATGTGATCTCATTAAAATCATCTGCCTGTCTCATTTTCACACCTCTCACTGAGAGTGGCTATGTATCTTTTCAACTCACTGTCAACGTATGTGTGTGTGTAGATAAAAATGACATTCATCGAGCTGTGATTTTCAGCCTGGTGTTCAACAGGAACTGAGCTCAGTGGTGGCTGTGCCATTTCTTGTAGAGAACAGTACAGGTTTATGCCTGCATTATTCGTTTGCCTGGATGGTATCAAACCCTTAATCTGATCAATTATTTAGCTGATGTATTTGTTTGATGTGTGCTAAATGTTGTGTTACCATCTCGCTCATGAACATTTAAACGGGTAACCCTTGTGGCATGATTTGAATCAGTGATGTACAGGACAAATGCATAGGGCCAACATCAGTAAGGTTGTGGAAGCAAGTGTATACAGTATTTTTAAGGACACTGATTTTAAACATCAGGGGCCTTGACGCTGTCAGTGTATGGTCTCACATAGAAAATAATAGGTGCAGGTGTTTTGATGTGCATTACAGGCTACAAGTGTTTGTTGCTCTTTGAAAATACACCAGTATTTGTTTTTACAAGAACCTCATTAATACTGCAAGAGAAAAACAAATATAAATATTCAAATATATCATAATATACAGCTACTTATAGTGCATATTTCTTTCTCTTATTGATTTGACAAATTTGATTGTGTGGCTTTTTAAAATACATCTGCTTTTGCGGAGTCTGAAGTTTGCCAACACATCTATGCATTCTGACTTTTTTGTTTCTTTTCTTGCTTTCTTCCTCTTTATACTTCCGTTTAGTTTGCCCTCGCTGTCATCCCTGTCAGTTAGACTAATTAACTCCCAGATAGATGGATGCACACCATTCATCTTCTTTTTAAAGCACATACTTGTCTCTGTCTCCCTTTTACTCCCTCTCTCACACTCTCAATTGAATCATTTTCACTTTTACACTTTTGGGGTCCTTACAGGCTGTTAAACAGACCATGCCCTTGACGCGCTCACACACACACACACACACACACACACACACACACACACACACAAACATGGATGTGTAAAATCCTTGGCAGCCACTTTCTCCCTGTCTTTATCCCTCCCATCATTCTCTTTCTCTTTATTTTTATTGCTGAAACCCTCTCAATCACCCATCTACCTCAACACACACCAGTAGATGTGCTGTCAGATAAAAGATTACCTCAGAGCATGTGAGGGGAAGGTAGGGAAAGGCTGATGAACGAAAATTGAAAAGGATGTTTTGAAGCATAGCCCAGCTGCAACTTCCTGGGATGGGATGAGTTTCTTATGAATCCATCAGTCCTCAACCTCCTCTATAGTCTTTGACAGTTTTCCCCCTTTGTCATAGCAAAGGGTCTGAATATTTCAGGTTTTCCTTTTTAAGAAATTTGCAAAAAATTCTAAAATTCAGTTTTCACTTTAGCATTATGGGATTTTGAGTGTAGATTGATGATAGATAAATGTTTTTTTTTTTTAATTTGAGTAAATGGCTGCAACATAAAAAAATGTGAAAAAGGCGAGGGGGTTTGAACACTTTATACTACTTTACACTATTTTTTTTGTACAGTGGGAGTCACTTTTCTTGAGAAATGATAGAAATGGCTTTCAACTGGAAAACACAGAATAAGGAGAATGCATAATATTCTCAAACTGTCTGTGAAGGAGAAAAACGCACAACAATGCAACGTACTGTGCCGCCCTTCATGCTGTCAAGACATCTTAATTCCACCTGCTAGGAACACTGTCCCGCAATAGATAAATCAGTCTTCCTCAGAGAGGTGGAAAAGTTCAAGCCTTCATTTGCTGTGTGTTGTTTTATTTGTGTGTTTCTCTCTCTGCTGCCGGGGTGACAGACGTGTTGTTACCATGGCAACCGTGGCCTTAGGAGGGAGGGAACAGGAGGAGACGCGCTGATCGGCTGATTTGTTTAGTTTGATGCTGGGATGGAAGGGATCATCTGAGGGATGTTCTCTAGCGCAGGCTTCTTTGAAATTCGCACATTTACACAGTAAACTCTGGAATGATGCTCCCCCAGGACAAAACACCTCTAAAGGAATACTTGAACATTTTAAGAAATGTACTGATGTGCCGTCTAACTGAGAGAGATGAGAAGATCAGTATCAATTTCATCTTAGACTTATATCCATGATATGTTTAGACTAGCTAAGCACAAACACTATAACACATTATTTAACACCCACCTTTTTACCTCCAGTGTGTGGCTGAATCCCATCGTAACTTCAGACCTAACATCGCTATGATGAGTGCAGTGGGAGTTTAGTCTATTCTGTTGTTTTGAGCAGCATAGCCATTAAAGGCACATGTTACTAATGCAAATAACTGCTCACAACACACATCATAGGACACACAAAAAAAGCTTTGTGAATGTTTTAAATCTTAATCGACTGTAGAAAAACAATGATGCAGGACGGTTTGTGTGGTGTAGTTGGTGGCCATCGACAAGGAAGATACAGTGTATTGCCAAGGTTGTTGTAAAAGTAAATATGTCTCAGTGATGCACATGGCAATGGGTCAAAGAGTGCTGTATCTGGTCATTTTGGGACTAATGTGAAGAAGCAGTTAGAGCATTAGGTTGGTATTTCAAAACCAAAACCCTAGGTCAGGTTAAAGTTATCTCTGACCAATAAAGTGAATCACCAACTGCCATTTCTCTTGCTGTTCTTTGTCTGAGAGCCACAGGACAAATTACGACTCTTATTGTATAACCTGATTCATTTTAGTGTCGTACTCATTACCCATTATCTTGTGTACTAAATGCACAACACATAGAGAAAGATTATGTACTTAAAACTATACAAAAATACAAAGGGTAGTTACCTGGATATTAACTAGACCTGTTACAACTCTGAGATAATAACCTGAATTCAGGTAATAACCCTGCTTCCTAATGGCATTAAGGACTTTGGTCTAGAGCTTCTGATGTTGGATAGTCGAGTAAATCCAGGCTATAATAATAAAACATTGAAGGATGCTGTCCCTCTCTGAAGTTCAAAGCTTTCGTCGACAGGTGGCAGTGTGGCTCCATGTCCTGGCTCCTCCGACTCATGTATTTTCTTTACCCCCCCCCACTCTGTCTTACGCTCTTGGTCTTTCTTTTTCTTTCTCTCCTTATGTGTGGTTGCATCTCACCATCACCCCATCTTTGTTTCTCGCCCTCTGTTTCTCCATTTGTTTTAAACATCCATGTGGCTGTTGAGGCTTGAATAAGAAAGGATAATAGTTCATTGCCTCGGGTCTCTGGAGGCTTATGCAACCCAGAGGAAATAATTTCAGTAATAAAAAGTATTGTAATAACTTCACAAATGAATGGATTAGATCTGAGCTTTGCTGGCTCCCTCCCACTCTGTATTACAAATAAACTTGCTTTCTAAATGTAGCATCTGATATTTAGTGTAATGATATACTTTACAGTGCCTACCTCCTGTATTAACATTACAAACACTGACTTCTTGGTAATGTTAGTACCCAGCTCTAACCGTGGAGGAACACAGAATCAGGGCCACAGGGCTACCGTATTTGTACAGTAATAAAACAGAAACAAAGTGGAAGGAGGAAAAACAATGAAATATTATGAATGAAACAAAGCAGCAAAAAAAAAAAAAAAAAAAGTTAGAGTAACTCAAAACAATGTAGCAGATCAAAGCAATATGATAAGAAATTAACACCAAAAAAAACAAAGCAAAAAAACAAAAAACAAACCCTCAACCCAGACCCTCCGAACATTGACAAGAATAGTGATTTGCATGATGAGTGCATGTGTAAAAGAGAAGGGGAGGGAGGGGCAGTGAGGTGTACAGCATGGGTAATTTCATTTTTTAAAATGGTAAGTGCTGAGGGCTGTGAAATAACCCTGCACTCCCAAAACAGTCATTTCTCCTGGTCCTGCCCTTCATCGGTCATTTGATCTTTTCCACCACCCTTTGTGTTTCCCCTTCTTCCTCCCTTCAAATTATAGCTTGTTTCTTTCTAGATTATATCTTCTATCTAGTATCTAGACAAGGCTATTGTGTAGGGCAGCAGTTTTTTTGTAAGGTACATTCAGAAATATGTCTCTTGTTATTCGTGCTAATTTGATTGCTGGAGTGATTTTGTGTTCCTTGTTTTTTTTTCATGGTGCCAACTGTACAGACGTTAGGTAGCTAGCTAGTGACGTACACATGGACATGTGTGTCTGTACTGTGTCTAATTTCTGTGCATTTAGATTTATGATCATTTTGATACATAAGATACAAATATTTTACTCAAGGTAAAATATTCTTTACTCGAATGGTCGCGTCTTTGCCTCATTCCGTACGCCTCGCATGAATTTGTGTCTATTTGCATCTTTGCATTGACTTTATATACTATTGTGTTACCTCCACCTCTATGGGAAGACTCTTCACTGTTGTTTAGTTTACCTTTAGAAGTTGTTGAAAATAGTGGTTTCATGATATGTTCAATACCAAGAAGGCAGCCCAGGTACAATTTGATAGGCGTACAGCTTCTATTTTTACAACTGTTTTACTTGCATCAATAAGGTCTTAAAGTATATTAAAAAAAATAATATTGTATACATGTTTGAGATATTCTAGGGCAATGTATAAGATAAATAATAGCAAAATACTCAGAGGGATTTATGTGTCTTCCTTGACAAGCACGTTTTTGATGTTGCTGTAGAAACTTGTGTCCTTCTGGTAACAAGACAGCCAGCCTTAGTAATAGGAAAACCTTTCACTAAACTGATCCCCTTTTTACTCCCTCTGTCTGCAGGTATGCCATCCCACCTGAACACGGCAAGAGGCTGGAGAGGCTGGCACAAGGTGAGGAACTGAGGATGTACTCAGTTAAAATCATTTTATTTTGCCATGTTCATTTTACCCCTTTATACCCTGCTACCCTGCTGTCTTTCTGTTTGTCAGTAATGCACCTTAAATGAAGGGGAAAGTGCTTCAGACTATTAAACACACAAACAGCATTAAACTGTACACATGCTACACACAAGACATGCACAGAATACACACTAGCACACAACCAAAGCTCGCTTACCTGTTTTCCCTTGCACTGGTGAATAAAGTAAAGTAGCAGTTCTCAGCTACAGCCTGTCTCATCCCCCTTAAGCACAGCATGCACTGCATTGTTAAGAACCCTTTACCACTCACAATAAACAACCTTTCTCCAGTTTCTTGTCGGTGTCAGTGGTCCTCACAGTAAACAGTATGGTACATGCTGTGGTTAAATGTGCATGTATTCAGTGGATGAGAAACTTTTATATCCCGCTTTCTCACCACATATAAAAACATAGATTTCTTTGTCACCTGGCTGTGCTAAGATAGAGCTTGAGAAGGAAGAGCAGCTTGAAGCGGTTAGCGTGTGCACTCACTTGTACTAAAAAGATCAGGAGGGCTGTAGATGCTGAATTTGGAGGAAAAGCTGGCTGTGCTCAACTATCTGGACTGCAGAAAGAGGAGGAAACCCATGAAGCTCATACAATGAAAATGGTGATCAAGACTGTGCATTGATCAATTGTTTATGGTGCTGAGCAAGCATGGGCTACTGCTACGTTGTCTTCATACTTGTAACAACCAGTTTTATGACAAAATGAAATACATTAGAACCAGTTTTATTGAATCTAATTTACTTTACTAATTTAAACATTTACATAACATGCTTTTGTGAATGTTATAGCTAGAGGTGGTTCTGACATGATGCTCTTAACTCAAATTCTAAATAGTGTCTGATTCAGATAAATGAGGACTGAAGTGAGAAAGTCTTAAGCCATTCTGTCTTTAGTGTATCGTCAACCATCTGCCCCTCTCTCTGGTGTAAGATGTCTGCTTGATTCTCTCCCCTTCCTTTCTTCCAGCCATGTTCCCCTCCTCCTATTCCCTGTTTTGATCAATGAAGATTACCTTGTGAACTGCATGTTGTTCAGAATGAGGTTGAAGATATGGGGAACGATGGCGGAGAGTTGTCCAATTCAAACTACATTAAATAGACACACTGTTTGTCCTTGTTGCTGCGAAGAGCTGCTGAGAGCATATCAATAATCACCAATGCATAGCCTCTGTCACTTGCTATCCTCCTTTTATACTGTAGTGGCTGGAATATGTAATGCACAGTATGTGACATGTGACAGACAAACAGTCTCTGCAAATGAAAAAAAAAACCCAGCTCTGTGCAGGTAATATTAAATACAATACATAAAATGCAGTATAATTTATGTTAAAACAGTAGCTACATGCATATGTAACAGTTGTCTCGTGGCTTGGACTATATAAATAGACGTATTGCCATAGCAGGAAAATCACAGGTTTAACTCAACATAAATTATTGGTCCACGACAGAGTCGCTGGAACTGGTAGACCTAAATGAACTTTGGGCACTATTCATGTTGTTATGTACTGCGTTATTCAAAATCCTGATCATTAGCAGTGATTATGCCCCATTTTTTCACCCTCACCCTTGAAGAAGTGTCTGATTCACACTTCAGATACCTTATGAAAACCCTACAAAAATCAGTATTAAGAAGAACCACTGCCTTGGATAAAATAGACCAATTTCAAAGCAGACATTAGTACCATTAATAATAGCTGTTTTCTGTTTACTTATTTCAGTTCCAAAGCCCTTGTGCTGTGTCTTGACTTACTGCTCAACCTAAATAGAATGGGACCATAATTAGGATCATTACTTCCGCCTGTGCCTTTCCTATGACTCTACCCCAAGCAGATTTGAACTTTTAGCCATGCATTCTTTGTCAGGTGCACTGATGCTGTGTTCATCCTTTCAGTAAAGTTGCAACTTAACAAGCTGGTTGGGACAAGTCACTTAAAGTAGTCTTCCAGTTAAACTTTTTAAGTATTCTGTATTAGTATTTTAAGCTTATCCACTGAGTAGTTCTGAATCTGCACCTGCAGTGATCAAAACACATAACTAGAGTCAGTGAATCCGATGTTTTCTCAATAGATTAAGTGCATTTTAGTTGATTTAAAAAAAAAAAAAAGAATTATATTATGCATAAGTAAAATAGATTTAAGATCATTTTCTTGTGTGTAACATCTACCATATATCATGTTTTCTGTAGTAGTTAAATAAAGTTGAATAGCTTTGATAAGGGATGTGAAAGCATTCAAATTTGACAGCCAAAAATTCAATTAAATTAAATACAAGAATCATAAATGTGATAAAATTCTATCAAACTGTGTCATCATTCTTCATGTTGGCATTCAGTTTTCAGTCACTGTCAGATTGCACCCTTCCTCTCTTAGCTAAGCAGCTGGCAGTGGGAGGAAAGCAGTGCCAACGTTATTTAACAAGCACCCACTGACCTATCAAAGCCATCGTCTGCACAGGCAGCCAACTGTTTACGAGGTCCTAAAAAGACAGTTATGAGTGTAGTAGGAATGCCTAATGGGCCTGGAACAATGGTCTTGTTACTTGAAAACTCCTCTCCAAACATTTGACACGACGACAGCCGTTGCTCTTATCACTCCTCATTTCCGCATTATTTCAGACTTTTTGGATTTTGGAGGGAAGGAGGGGGGCTACTAGGTTGGAGGCAGGAACTTAATTTTAAAACTCAAAAGGACAGAATGAAGCCTTTAAGTTAATGTTACCCCACGGAGAGCTCAGAGAGCCAGCTGCATTTTAATGGGGATTAATACCCGGGCTGTGTCGGCACATTATTCACCTTTATCAGCTCCAACAAGCAGGCAGGCGATGAGAGAATAGAGACCCTCTCTCCCTCTCTTGCTTTGTAGAGTAGAACAGAGGCTGAAACAATGCAGTGAAAATGAAGGATGAAATGGGTGCTGATTATACTGTCAGTCACATTAAAGTTTAACTGGGTGGAGGCTGGGATGGACCCCCCTTTTAGGCACTGGTGGGTACAAACAGTAAAGAGTGGGAGAGTGAGTGATGGAAGAGAAACTCTTTCTTTGATTATGCAGAGGCCATCTGAGTTTCTCTGTCTCCAAGAGCAAAAGTGAGCCTTTGTTTTAGAGAGAGAGTTGGGACTTTGAAGGCCTAAAATGTCAGTGGTTTTAAGAAAGCAGGGTTGTTTTGTAACACAAAAGTTAACATTGCTAAGTTTTAGCAGCTGTGTAAGTGGACTTTTGCAGATCAAAAAAGTAGTAGTTGCAATCACACATTTGCACAATACACAATTTTAGTAGTCTTATAAAATACCATGACTGCAGAATTCTTTTTAATGACCTTGGGGACAGAGCCATCAACAATTAAAGGACAGCAGTTTAAGACCTCATTATATTATTTTTCAGTAAACAAATGAAACGATGGTTAAGATAATTGGCAGTCTTTCAATTTTAGTGCTGGCTCTTGCACAATTTCAATACACACTTTTTTTTTGACTGCAAAGCAGATACTCTTCAGGCAAAGGTTTTCTCTTTGGTTGTGCAGAATGGGATAAGTGTCTGCTCCCAGTTTCAGTTTTGTGCTGTTCTCTTTCTTTGTGCCATCATGCGATCCATCAGATTTCCCCAGAAATCCAACCTGGAGGCCAACAAACAATCAATTTACATACACTATGGCAATGTGATTATTTAACACTTTAGGCAGTAAATTCATTCACTCCCATGTCAACAGAAAACCAGATTTCCTTTTCCAGGTTGTGGGATTAACTATAGTCAGTAAACACATTTACAATTCTGCTGTATACAACTGTTTAATTGGCAGTACTTATCTAGCATTCTTCAGATGCTTACCTGCCAATTAAGCCTGCCTCCAAAACTACCAAAAATGTTCTTAAAGCAGCATCATATCAGCTCTCTTACTAATCACACTCTTCATTCCATTACTTAAATGGAAATAACCACATACACAGTAAAATAAATGTACCATAGAAACCTACATACTGATTATACACTGTGAATGCTGTAGATCAGATCCAGAGTTTAGGTGATTGGTGCTTCATAGGTTTTGACTGTATAATAAGTGATTAGTGATTTGCTCCATTAGGTTGTTAGAAAAGAGATAATTCCTGCATAGCTGCATTTATAACACCTATCACACATATAGTATCTCCACAGTATCTATTGTCTGTTCAGCTGCTGTGTCATCTGAAGTTTACCTTTCACTGACAATCTTGTGCCATTTGACAAGCAGCAAACACAGGGCTGGATATCATGCCATTGTAGGACCAGGAAATAATTATTATAATTGAAGGCTTTTATGAACGAAAGTGCTACAATTTGATTTGAAGCAAGCTGTTTGATAAACAATGTTTGCTAGTGATTAAGTCATTCATTCATACACAACCTGTATTTGTAGATGTGCTACCATGCTTTGCCAATGCCTCTGGTATTGGTGAAGGTATTCATGGTTTTATGAGACAACTTGAGTTTCTCTCATAGAATGTGTATCTCGATTATCAGTAAAATGCTCTGAATACCATGTGCTCACTGTGACCCTCCGCAGGCTTCTTCCCTGGCAGTTCCCAAGGCTGTGATGCCTTCCTTCGTCACAAGATGACGCTGATATCTCCATCCATCCTAAAGAAATACAGCATTCCATTTGACAGGGTGAGTGGCAACTAGTCCATGTTGCATGACATACCAGGACATTTTATTAGTCACAATGACTAAAGAAATTTAGATTTTGGTCTAAGTAGAGGTGGTGTTGTCTGTGTTATGGTTAGAAGGTTCTATGTTTTTACTTGACCTAGTATTAGATGACAGCCATGGTGCTCGCACAAAGGTGGAGCCATAAATGGGTTGACACAGTGTCACTCATCATTCACTGTTCTCCACACTCTCATATGCTGACTCAAATGTGTAGCTGAACACTCCAGTGAAGAAAGCTAGTTTTTCATCATCCCTTGTCACAGGACTCTAATATTGTATCTACCATTTCAAGCAGCTAACAATATTAACTTGCATGTTTTTCAAGATAAAATCCTTGTGCACAGTGCACAGACCATGATAATTCTCATTACTTTAACTATAGTTACATGTAAAATAACTATAACTATATCTTTTTCAGTAATTACAAGTGTACCTTAATTAATTTTAGTACTCCCCCAACTCCCTATGTGATCAAGGACATGGTAAATTGTGATTTCACAGACTGATTGACAATGGAACTGATTTAAAAAAAAAAAAAAAAAAAAAAAAAAAAAAAAGCTTGAAAGATTCAGTATAATGGTTTAAAAAGAAATTGTAGGTGTGTATTCCATACCTGCTCTTCTCTGGCAACATAAGTGGGTCTTGCATAAATCGCAGAAGAGATGGGCTTGTTTTGAATGATGAATGACGGTTAGTGGCTCAGCTTTGACGTAAACACCACAACTGCTACAGGCTGTAGTATTGATACAGTATGAGTAATGATCTTCTCTGTCTATCATAGGAAATTAATTGGCTTTTTTCCGCCTCGCTGTTTATGTTCTATTCAGTAGGCAATATAAATCCTCACATAGAAAAAATGAATGGAAGGTTGAAGGAAAAAAAAAAAAACTGGCACAGAGCAGGCATACAGAGTTCTCCTCTGTCAGCAGAGGGTTTCCCCCCACCCCATTTATCTTTTCACTCCCCCTTCAGGACGTCATTAACACAGTGAACATGTTACTTGTTACACACCTACAGTACCTTTCTCGATTCATGTGTAAAAATAAAACCGTCTTCTTGCGTCCTTGCAAGAGCAAAAAGGGACGTTTGTTATCTGAACCGCTGCCTTTAGTTGAGGAAGTTTATATCCCGCTCTCAGCCTCTACCCCTGTCTCTCCCCTCATGCCTGTCACCTTGTCTGGCTTGATGTGTCTCTTGATTGCCTCGATCCAGGCTTCACAAAGAAGTTGAGATCCACAGCCAGACATAGAGGGATTAAGTTTTGGGGCAACACATTAAAAAAGAATGTGCTTAACTTGTCCTCACATTTTTAAAAATTCTCAGAATAACACTGAGCTCATGGGAAGACGCTCAACACTTGGAGCAGCAGTCATGTTAGGCTGAATTAATTTTGCTTGCAAGTCAGAAAAGTTTAGACAAAAGTTGTTACTGAGGAGTTGAACTCCTTGTTTATCCTTATAACCTAATGACAACTGTTGTCTACGTGAGATTCATGAGTGGTTGTAGAATATATTTTAGATTTAGATTAGATCATTTTTTAATGATCAGAAAATTAGGATTCAAAGCTGCAAGTCATAATTGGTTAAATCAAAAACATTACATAATAAATAAGAAAAAAGCAAAGCGGGCAGCATGCACACAGAGAGCTGATAATTTCAGCACTCGCATATATAAAACAGGAATGTACGAGCAAAGGTGAAAAGTCTAAATAGAAAGGTTATTCAGGTTATTCACTGTTGGGTGTCAATTTTAAGTACAATTTAAGTTTTAACAGAGACAGCCGGGGCTGGTAAAACTGTAATTTTTGACGGTCTACCGGAATTCGTCCGGGTATGCCCGATGGCCAGTGCGGGCACCTGGTTGGTGCATGGGCGTTGTACATCAGCGGTCTGTGTGAATATCAATAGGCAATAAAAATCAATCTAACTTAACCATAGTTAGATAAATATACCTTTCTCTCTCTTGTCTTTCTTTTTCTCCTCCTGTCTCTGTCCCTCTCACCTTGGCTTGGTGTCATGTGACCTCGCCTCCTGTATCCATTGTTTCAAATTGAAAGCCCTCTGCAGAGTCTTGTTACTGCAACTTAATTACATAGCAGCGGTGGCCCCCAACTGCAAAATGTATATAGCAGAATCATCTTTATAAAATTAAATAAAATTTCCAATAAAAGTGTGGCAACAAATGTAAGTGTTTAAGTGTTGTCTCCCAAACCAATTAAAACAAACATTAATAGTGGCCTTAATGAGAGACCTAATTAGTTTTTATTTAGCCAGTGGGTTTATGAGATGCATAGTTGTCTTTATTGGATACAGCAGTGGACCCATGAATGTGACCAGGGATTTTCTTCATCTCCAGATGAATTTGATTGGGATTCAGTTAGAATTAGGTTCACATAACACAGATGGAAATTTATGTTTAATCCTTTTTTGTTATTTCTCTCTTTACCAACAGATAACTCAGAATGAAGGGGAGTTTATGATCACCTTTCCTTATGGCTACCATGCTGGCTTCAACCATGGCTTCAACTGTGCAGAGTCCACAAACTTTGCCACTCTGCGCTGGGTAGACTATGGCAAGATGGCCACCCAGGTAAGATAAGACAGACTGATGGTATATTCTGTTCTGTAGCAATGACAAGATGTCACTGAGAGATAAAATTCTCTCCACTTTGTTAAATTCGTAAAATCTGGACATTTAACTGAAAGTCGTACATTTGTGTCTGGAAAGTCTCAAATTATGGGAAATAGTACATTTTTGTGTCTTTTTTGGAATGATTGGAAAGGTAAAGCTACTACTAAGGGAACATAGGTCTACCTGAGTCAATGTGGATGCTACAGCTAAATACCAGTTTGGATGTGGTATTGGCAGGTTGACTGGCTGGGGGAAAAAAAATTATAAATTATAAACATTTTCTCTAGATTTAGGCAGTTGTCAGAAAACTAATTGCATCAGCAGCGTCAGTAAAAAAAGGAATAAAATTTGGAGTGAAAGTAGACATATGGAAACCTGCACCTAAAATGAAAATCATCATCATCATCACACAAACACTCTGCAGGGAAATGTAGACACGCCACACGAGGAGGTTTGATCTGATGTGTGATTCAGCAGCAACTTGCTTGTCTGAAGGGATGAAGTAATAGATCATATCAAAATATAAAAGCAATGTCTGGTTCACTGCTGCACACCATCTGTTACCGACACTAACCATACCCTTGCATCCTTCCATTGACGCAAACTGCCTCTTTGCCTGTAGGCTGCTGAGCATGAAATTGACAGGGCATGGGTTGGTTGTGAACGGCAGCACAACCACAATGTCCCCTGGAAGAACCTCCCCCCTTGTCTCTTTTCAATACATTCCACTTCATTTTCCTGTTCAGTTCCTCCTGTCTTTCCTTGAGTGTTCACGTGTGTGTGTGTGTGTGTGTGTGTGTGTGTGTGTGTGTGTGTGTGTGTGTGTGTGTGTGTGTGTGTGTGCCTGCATGTGCGCACCCCATTTCCCAGCTTTTTCTTTACTTGGCTGCATGTCAGATTTATGAGGTGCCAGTTTGCAGAAGTACATCTCCCTCTTTCTCATTCTCGGCCTTCCTACGTTACCCATGTGGCCAGTTGTAATTTAAGAACCAGTAGTCCAGGCTCTAGCAGCCCCCCCTCCTCCCAAACTGCCCAACCCAGTGCTCAAGGGAGCGTCTCCACTACACTTGTCTCAGTCTGATAAAGAAGAGTGGTCCACTCTGTACTGCTAATCCGAGTCGACAAATTGACAGCGCGGCACCACATGTAGAGAATCAGAGGAATGTGAAAGAGAACAGCTCAGCCAGTGAGACAGGCTCTTTCTGTCCGTCCGTCTTTCTCTTTCTCTTTGACTCCTACACAGACATTTTCATTCTCTTAGGTTGGTGTGGTAGCATAGCAGTTACAGAAATTGTCTCGTAACCAGTGCTGCTTAAATTTAGTCCCAGCAGCAGTCATTCTGTCTGTTCTCTAGCAAAATGCTGAACCTCACTGTGAATCCCTCTGAGTAAGAAGGTAGGCTCAACGACCCTTTGAGTATGGCTGGCAAAAATGGCATATGACCTGTTGAAGTGAACTTTCTTCATTAATAAGTTTGTTCTAAAACTGATGTTAATGCACCATTTGTTGTTTTTTGTTAGTAACAGAAGCTTCTCTCTTGACAGGATTATCATACTAAAAACTATACTGAAAAACAAAACTAAAATTTTGCCATGGTTCTAGTTCTCAAGAGTGAATAGTGACTACAGACACATCTAAACAGTGTACTTGGACAAACTATCAAAAATGATGACTGAAATTACTTGAAAGTCAAGTTTTTAAGTACAGTACAGTGAGTATTCAAAAATTCTCTTGAATGGAATTTATTTTTGAATTATTGAATCTAGATTGATGAGGGGAAAAATTAATTTCTAGATTTTAGAGACAGATATCATTCAGTTTATTATAGATAGATAACTCGTTCCTCTCCCTCTCCCATCCTTCCCCTACTGAGCTCTAGTCTGTCAGCAGCAAACGGGACAGTGAACAGTGGGGCTCTGTATCAAATTTGTCACTGTTTGGGGGCTGAGAAAGAGAAAGAGCAAGTGAGCTTGGACGTACTTCATATCTCAGTCTTCTTAAATAGAAGCTCCTCAACTGCTGACCCATCTTTCTGACTTACTAAGCTAACACCTGCAGTCAAAGCAGCCCTAGTGTCAGTACTTCTTGCAAGCTGTGTACGTGCATGTACTGAGGTGTCATGTTAAGCCAATCTCTCTGGTAAGTGGTTAAACTAGTTTGTTTGGAATGAAGAGGAAAATAAGTTTGGTAGAAAACAGCTCAGCAGTGAGCCCACTGAAGCACTGAAGATGGTAGAAAGGATCTTGCAGATTATTTTTGAAAGTAGTTATGTCTGCCGAGCCATTAATGTTGTTCAATGTTAACAGTTTCTGTGTTATGGATCTATAGTATTCTCAAGGAGAGCCTTTCCCTGTTCATTTGGTGCTCAGTCACACTGTTCCCTGAGGTTTCCAGGGCGATTTTTTTTTTCTGTCTGGGAGAGGAGCAGAAATCATCCTCCCAGTTCCCAGACTAAATCACATCACTTTTTCATCTTGAAAGTGAATTGCAGATGACTCACTCCATCTTTTTTATATTTGTTTGCAGACTTGTCTTGTTTTGGCGAGCCCAGACATGCTGTGATTGGACATGCTGAAATTTTATTAGGCTTTATGTGCAACCTATGTCAACGATAACCAATAAACAAAATGCGCTCTCTTAGTAGTAGACTTACTGCATTATTAAACGGGTAAGGGACGATGATTGGTCTTACAGCAAACACTGCTTAGAGCCCAGAACAAACTGCACACAGAAAAAAACCTCACATGCTCAATAGGAAACATAATAAAATTGGAAAAATAATTGACCAAGACTATTAAAAGAAGATTATCTGCCACACAAACCTTTACAAGGGCAGTTGGTGTCATCATATTAGAGTTTCACAGTAAGTATGTCACACACACTCAACAAAGACGTTTTATCTAGGCTTTCATTATCACATTAGAAACCTGTGATTTCACCCATAATGACACCCATAATCACAACTATACTCTAGGTGTTTGTAAGATGTGAAATAGCCCACAGGCAGAATTTGCCACCTTTAACCCCAGTGCATTACAGATATGACTTGAAGCAATTTAAACTTGCAATTTCTAAATTAAGATTTTACTGATATCAAGCCCTAATGAACCCACTTGCATTATTAAAGTAGCACAATAACATAACAAGCACAGAGATATCACTATGTCTTAATGTTATTGAAAGATTAGACTCCTATCACGTTATCTTGATATTGATGATATAGCCTCTTATTTTCCCTACTGGGAAATGGACCACCCTGGAAGATGCTATTCCAGGTGGGGGTATTGCAACTTTTTTCTGTTTCTAGTTAATTTACATTTTATGTAGTTGACTGTTGAGCTTATCTGAAGGATGGACACATCAAATCAAGACAGGCTCTGTAATACCCAGTCCAGCCTGTCACCATCCAGTAGAGGGCAGCCATATTGTAATGAAGGACAGTCTTTAGTCGTGAGGAGAGGAGACCAGAGACGTCTGGCAGTACAGTGAGATTAGTGGATACTGTTCCATCACAGTTGAAATATCACTGACATTTACAGCAGAAAACTTGGTGCAACATAAAAATAAACTCGACAGATGCAGCAACACAGAACTGTATATACTGTTTGTTATGCACATAGTTGGGTCTGCAGTTGTGAAAGCCATACACAACTTACTAATTACCATTTCTACATTGCTTACTGATTTTTTTTTTTAATCTTCCCCTTTTCTTTTCAGCACATTAAGCAGCTGTTGTTGATTGGGTTGTATATGAGGAGATAGAGAAGGGGAAGAAAGAAGTGGGAGGCTAAGAAAAATGAGAGCAATTTAGTCATTATTTAAACTTGGTCAGCATTTTTCTGCAGGATGCATCTCAGTGAAAAACCTTAGAAACATTTATGGAAGAGACACACATGCAAAGATGGCTTCAGATAAGTTTTTGTCTCATTTCACAGTATGTTCAATAGCATAAACAGCTGGATGATATACGGCCCTGCTGTTTGGTATATTCTGCATTAAACTTCTTAACAGTTTTTAATTACCTCTCCAATCATTCCTCATTGTTTGGATCTTCTTCCTGGTTATTTATGTCCTCAGCAAGAGTGTCATCAAAGCAAGCATAAAGAATTCTGTATAATCAAAAGCTCACAGCTACTGTGAGTCAGGTCAGACAGGTCAGACTCAAGCCCTGTTTTGTCATTAGTACTTGGCGCATCCAGTCCACTGAGTCCATAGAAAGTCCCCAGGCTCTTGGTTTTCTGTTGCTGCAACAATTTAGCTTCATTAGGAGCCCAAGTATACTTCAGGGCTCATTGACTGCCTGCCTCAGGGTGAGTTTTTGTTTTCCCAGATCTTGTGCATCTCCAAATGTGTTTCCCTCCTTTAATTAAGTTTTTATATGATAATAAAGTGTAACTCGTCCTGGCCCTTGAGGATGGCAACAATCTCCATAACCTCTTAATAGTTACATAAAAATAAAATGAGCCTTTATTCCCATTTACAAATGAAAACGGCAAATTTTGCAAGATGGTGTAAGGGCTATATTTATCTGGTGTTCTTTTGCGTTTGTAGTTTCCTGACATGGCACTGTTTCCACTAAAAGTTTCGCAATGGTAACAATCAGCTGTGCCCATGCTCACTTGCTCCCATCTGCCCTCCCACTTCCCGCTCCAACACCCTCCGCCCGACACCATATTTTAATGTTTCCGTCTGTCAAGTGGTGTCTAGATGAGATGTAGGCAGGATATTGTTTTGCTGGGGAGGGAGAGCTGCAGTGTTTCCAGTAATTGAACATAAGGCTCTCCGCACAACTCGGGAAATAATAGGGCCAGAATGTAATACAGCAAGCAAGGCACAAAAGAAAATATTTTCTCTCTCTCTCTCTCTCTCTCTCTCTCTCTCTCTCTCTCTCCTCCCCCATCTTTGTTTGTTTCATCTCCTTCCTTTTGCTTCCGTCATTCCCAAACTTCTTTTTGCTGTACCTGCCATTTTCCCTTTGCTTATATACAGCACTGTGGTTTCATTTAACAGCTCTGTCACTACAGTCAGCAGAATGATTCATTCACCGGCAATGTCATTATGAAGGTTTGTGGAGGCATTTTGAAGTCTTGTGGTTACCAGATGCAGCTGTCAGTCTCATTTACACTACATATGAAATCTACACAGTACCGTATTTACCAGGTCTTATTACCTGCCTTATTTTATTCTCTACCACAGAGTAACTTTGCTTGATGCTGCATATACAACAGCCCCCATGGGGCAACTGCTTGTTGGCCAGTCCAGTTGGGTTTTTTGTTGTGAAAGTAACCCAAATGCTGCACTCTAAACTAAGCACATGCTGTTGTTTCGAGGGTAAATTGTGAAAAAATACTCAAAATCTACAACAGTTGTCACCTCAGGTGTGTACTAACTGTCCCTATGCTTACAGTTATCGTGTCAGCTCAGGTTAGCTAACGAACCTGACTCCTTTTAGCTGCTCGTACACACTGCTCTTTTCAGTGCTTTTTCAGTTATGCAGAATTATGTACAATACCATTCAAGGCCAACTGTCATTAGTAAGTACAGTTGTAAATTCTATACACTGGCTGCATGAATGTAGCCTAGATAATGTCTCTCTCTCAATATGACATTCCAAAAGCAGAATCTGAGAACATTCACAATTTTAACTTTCATTGCACGTCTGTGAAGATTCTCAGTCATCGTGGTATCTCTATGAGCTAAGCAAAGGCAACTGGACTTCCTTGAGTTTCTTGAAGACATTGCAACTCTCATCCAAAAGGCTTTTAGGTAGAATAGAGACATGTTCTTGGCTGAGTGCATAACACAGTTCTTATAAATATGGATGCAATGATATATTGATTATGAAACATTGCAAATTCTTTATATAAATCTAAGTTAAAGAAACATCTCTGCAAAATGTGATTTCTGTTTTTTTCCTCCCACTGTGGTGTTTTTTGTAGTTCTTCATCAGTTTGTCACAGAAGGTTGCCTCCTCTTTTCTAATCACTCACTGCTGAGTTGTGAGTCAAACATTTGTGAAGTGTAGCTAAAATTGTGTAACACCCACTCTATATGTAGACAAACATCAGTATTCTACCACTGTGGAGGATTACGCTCTGAAAAACCTGAATGTGATACGACAGTGGTTCGCAGGTGCCATTTGACCAGGAATTAATATGCTTTTTGTTTGTTTGTTTGTTTGTTTGTTTGCTGTGGACAAATTTTATTCCTACCCGACCTGTAGCTATTCCCCACTCTAACATACAGTCATCTCCTCTGTCTCTGCTCCCCCCCCCCCAGTGTACCTGTCGTAAGGACATGGTGAAGATCTCCATGGATGTTTTTGTGCGCTGCTTGCAGCCTGATCGCTATGAGCTATGGAAGCAGGGCAAAGACTCCATGGTGTTAGACCATCTTAAGGCCACCGAGCTCAGCAGCCCCGAACTCGAACGCTGGAGGCAGCATCGTGTCACCTTCCGAGAAAACCTCCTCCGAAGGTGAGAGGTCAAGCTACATACACTGAATGTTGTAGTTTCTCTATACATGATCATAGTATCTACGCCCTATTTTAGATATGTGCCAATTCTAAAATTGCCATATATAATATGCACGAGTTTCTGAGGCAAAATCATGAATCAGATAAGCATTGAACTCAATAGACTGCAAGAGTTTTATTGGAACCTCAAATTGTGTGGTTGAGGCTCTGCACTCATGTGGCCCTGGTGAAGATTTCTCTCCCACAAGTGTATGTGTGTGCGTTCTTAAAAGGACATTATGTGAATCTTTTTACTCACCTGTCTCTCTGCACTATCCCAGGGCCATGCAGAAGATGAAGCAGTTCCGTCGTCTAAAGCTGGAGGAGGTGAAGGTGCTGGCAGAGGAAGGCATTGAGCTAAATGCTGCTGAGTACCAACGTCAGGTGGAGGAGCGTGAGGCCCAACGGAGGCAGGAGAGGGAGGAGCGTCTCGCCAGAGAGGCCATGATGACCCTGGAGGCCATGGAGCGTGAGGAGCAGGAGGCCGCTGAGGCTGCTGCTAAAGCAGCTGAGACTCCGGCCGTAGACGGTGAGGATGATATTGGCAGTTAGATTGCAGTTTGTTTATGTAAACACACAAAACAAGAAATTCAGAGTGTAAGCCAAAGTGTAGTACAGCATAGCACTAGATGAATGTAAAGAACTTTGTGTATTTGCAGCATGAAATCAGAGTAACTGCTTTGATTAAAAAAAAAAAAAATTTAAGATGGAACGTTCCAAATCCAAAGCTCTTTATTTCTCACCCCCTCAGCACAGTCCCCATTCCCATAATCACTGTAAATCATCCAGTCTATTACCTTTTCACCTTCCTCTGAAGTTTTTTTCCTCCTCTTCTCTTTGCCAGCTGTGAGGGAAATTCTTCTCTATATCTCATGAATACAGAATAATTTAAGCAGAGTGAAATTGATTAAATGGTCCTTTACTTACTCTTTTTAATGTTCATGGAGGATACTCAGTACATGTGCAAGTGACACAAAACTAATACAGAAATCATTTCTCATTTATACACTCCACACCACTCTTTGGCAGAGATGCAGGAACAAAACTGTCCAGGTCGACATGACCAAGCCAGAACTTTCTTTTTTCATACATATCAGTAAATATTTCCTACCAGATGCTTTCCTATCAAAGTCTACTAATAGTCTCAATTGTGAAATCAGTGCACACCATAATCATGATTTTCTTCACATAGCACAAGAACCCGAGGCCAAACCACAGAGCTTGACAGACGACAGTGAGAAAAAGAAGCAGAAAAAGCCAAAGAAGATGTCAAATACCCACAACTCCATCACTGGATTTGAGGAAGCATTTGAGCAGTTTGCTACATCTGGCATCAGGAATTCAAAGAACGCCATGGTCAGTCATCCAGAGGTTGGGAAACCTCTAACCTCAAGTCAGAGTGACATCCCAGCGGACAACAAGCTAGATGTGAGTGCCACCCTGGTGAGATTGTTCATGACTGAAAGTTAATAGATTTTTCCTTTTTGATTTGTAAAAGGCAAAGTTGCACAGTTTCTGGTATTTTATTGCACAAATGATGGAGCTTGCTGAAAATAGAGCTGGACATCTTCATCTTAACAGCTTTCTGCCACAGTTGCAGGTAATGCTGTTTAATTCAACAAAAAAATCATCACCACAATATTTCACAGTATAATACACAAATAAAATCCAAGAATCAGAATGTAGGATACTTTTATTAATGTGATTGCATAACAAATTAGCCTTATGTAGAAAATGTTTGAAAACTTACAGCTGCACTAATGATACATTTTTTCAGTTGTTTTATGACTTTAACATATTTGCCCACAGCAAATTTACAAAATTGAAGTCAAGACTTGAACATGTTGAAAACAATATTATATATTTATATTTTCTGCTTCCCATTACAAGGTTGAAAACACACTCAAGACATAATGAAACAAACTTATGTTTTATCAGGCATGCTACTCCAAGATGAAGATGCCAACAGAGGTGAAAAAGAGTCGCCGTCACCCCCTCAGCAAGCCACCCATGCGCTCCCCTCTGTCCATTGTCAAGCAAGAACCAACCAGTGACAAAGGTATGTGGTTCTGTGTCCATCGTTGCACATTTATTCAATCTTCAGTATATTTTAATATCGATATATATACTTTAAACTCAGGGGAGTCACCCTTCTTAAATGAGCTGCTAACCCACGTACATAAATTTGATAAATCTGAGCTACAGTTGAGAAACAAGCTATCATGTGGTGTAAATTCTGTTCAATTCTTCTTTGACATGAATAGAAATAAAAGTCAAAAGAGTGAATTATAAAATAATTATTGAAATGAAACTGTTACAGATTCACAAAAATGTATCAAATATCAAAACATGATTTGCAAGAGCTCGATCAGTTGAACCCTCACAGTTCTCCATCTATCTTAGATCCTCTTTTTTTTCCCCGTGCCCTCCTCGTTATTCATCTCACTCATTGTCTTCTCCATCACGGTACTTGAAGAATAAAGAAGACAACAATTTTGTTTTTGATTATTGATCTGGAGAAAGAAAAACAAGCAGGACTAAAGTGGGGATAATGAAATCAAGACTGCAAGGCTTCTTTTTCCTCTCCTCCCTCTTGACTTATTATTTATTTATTTTTTCCCATTTTCTGACTGACACATATTGATCCGGGGATCATGACTTCCAATTACCTGCTTTCAAAGTCACTTTAAGTCGGCAGCAGGGGACCCGGCTCAGGGCCTGTCCTTCAGAACAGTGGATGGGGGACAAGGAGAAAGAGAGGCCCGGTGGTGGGAGCAAAGAGAGAGCTAAATGGGAATCTTGTAAAAAAGATTGTCCTGCCTTCTTTCCAGGTCTAACAAACTGTCTGGATCAGTAGCTTAAGGGGCTTCACTGCTAAATTGATTCCTGGCCCACAGCAGATAGTTGTTGATGTCTCTGCTATTTGTGTTCATCAGCCAATAATTCAGGAGTGTTGTTGTTGTTGTTGTTGTTGTTGTTGTCTGGAACGCAATCTGCTATTTTTGTCTCTTGGCGAGGGCTTTTCCAAAAATGCTTCATATGCATTTCCGACGAAAAAAAAGACAACAAATGATTACTGATAATGAATCTTCCGACTTGTCTTCAGTATGTGTCACTTACCTCAGATGATGGTCTCCTTTTGCTGCAGAACTCTAATGTATTTTATTTCTTACCCGCAGAGCTGTCTTCCCCTATGCCGCTTGACAGCACTATGAAGAAACAGGAGCACCTGTGGCAGAATCACTCACCCAACTTCCTGGCAGAGAAAGCCTTCAACATTGCAGTGGCAGCGCTCCAACCACACTGTGCTATCTGTTCACTCTTCTGCCCCTACACTAAGGTACAGCCACACACTGCAGCAGAAATATGTGTCAGTGAAGTAGTAATGGTAGTGATAGTAACAGTTAAGAAGGTTACTGGTGGTATTGGTGATGTTCTTTCCATTCATCCCAACCTTTAAAAAGGCTGACATATAATCACAATCATCGTCTTTCCTCTGGCCTTTCCAGCCACAGAAAGACGTCTCCGTTGCGAACGACACCCCGCGCACCTCCCCTCCCCATCATGGCAGTATGACTCGTCCGTTGGTCCCAGAGATGTGCTTCAGTGTCGGAGCAGGAAACACAGAGCCTCCACCCACCAACTATCACATTGGAGAGGATGGAACCAGTCTTCTGATCCGCTGTTCATCTTGCAAAATGCAGGTTCATGCCAGTAAGTATAAAACCTTTAATACAGCAATGGAGTAATAAGTTGATATGATTTTTTTAGATGAGCTGTATAAGTAAATCTGAGCAGAACACATTATTTGTAACTTGTTAATGAAAAATCAACACTCCTGAAGTTGCGTAAAGCTTTCTAGCTGAAGCAGCACCAGGATGTGAGTGTAGCCTCTGAGGCATAGATCATTTTGGTTTTTAAGGATGTTAGAATGTTGTCTTAGTACATTTGTCCCCATTTATTGTTTTTATGTAACAAATATGTTATGCCGAAAATTAGGTGGGGGGTGGTACAAAGCCATACAATGGGGGAGATATTTTCATTATCTCTCCAGCCACTGCGGGTCAAAGCCACTTACTCTATGCTTTTGAGAACATCTGAGAAGATGAATAAAAAGTCATGTTAAAATCATGTAAACATCGGCTTTAATACACTCGTTAATGCGCTCCTAAAGACTTGGTACTCTCGCCTTGACTTCTCTCTCGCGCTCTGATCTTCCCCTCCACCAGCACCTTCCACTTGGCTGAGAACTAGGCCTACTTTCAGTCCTGACAAATTAACCGTATCTCATCAGTAAAATGAATTAACATTTCCTCCCATATTAGAAGAACTAATGATGTATGCACTCTGCACTGTTTCACCTTTCCTCGCGATTCTCCTCCTCCCCTTTTTAAAATAATCTGTGATTTGAGTCATTTCTGCAAAAAAAACATACACAGTGGGATGTAATGTTAATTTAGGGAAACTTTTCAAGAAGCTGGTTGTGCTTGGAAATTTGACGGAGGCGGTTGCCTCGCAATTTTCTATACAGGAAAAACCCTGACCTAATGGCTGTGAAATAGAGCATACAAACTCTTTTTTGTTAACAATATTTTGTGGATTTCAAATTTTACAAAAAAAAAAAAAAGAGAGAGGTAGAAGTAGCAGAAAAGTTAAATTTGATTCTGTTCAGCCATGGTACATTAGCTGCTGATTTATAACACTCAGAATTGTGGTCTCAGCCAGCTGCAAGACCATACATGGGCTGACAAGCTTTACAGACAGGCTCTACTGGGTATTCCACTGCTCTTCTCTATTCACAACTTTTTTTTTCATCCCTGGACCCCTGAGAATAGTGCTGGAAAAATAGGAAGCACCGAAGATGAGGCCCCACCACAACAGTGCAACAAACTGTCAGCTTAATTCCCCTGTTGCCACGCTCAGTGAGGCTCCATAGTTTAACTCTCCTTGACTCGTGTTAAACTAGCTAAGAGGCTGCTCATGCAACACAAGACCTCTCTGAAGGCATCGCAACATAAACTTCCCCAGCTCTTATTTACTCTGCTTTCCGCACTTAAACATTTCAAAAAGCAAATCAACTTTTAAGAGCATATGGCTTCTGTCAAAGGAAAGTGTGAAAGGACAGGCAGCTTGTTAACATTGTGTCTGAGAGAGTTAGCACAGGGAGCTCTCTCTGTACTCGCTCTACTTCTCATCGCCAAATGTCAACATCAGTTATCTCTACAAAAAATAAGTTGATTTTGTTTTTTTGTTTTCAAATCATGACACGGATAAATAATATCTGTTCAAATAATGGGGAATGTAATATTTAGTCTTATAATAAGAAAGTATCTACTTTTCCAAATGACTGCATGTGTGGTTGTTTTGTGTAAGGTTGCACATACAACCACATGAATTACAGCATGGGCTTGTGCACACATCAGAACAGTCAGCAACACACAATGCACACACCAACCCTCCAGGGTTCTTATTATCCCTAAAGCTGAAGTGCACCTTCAAAAAGGCCAGTTCATTAGTCATCCAGGGATGAGCTGGGCTCAGCTGTGGGGAAGCAGCGCTGCTATTGATAAGACGACATGAAGCAGAAAGAACTCCTGTCAAAAACACCAGCCCTGCACCCCATCCCTGTACTCCTCATTGTATTGGAGTGGACATCCAACTAAAAATCATTCAGACCTGCCTAGGTGTTACATGAACATGGTGCTTTAGAAACATGAAATTCAAAATGGATGGATGAATGAATGAAAGATATGTTAAGTCATTAATCTCTCCTCTCTTATAGGTTGTTATGGTGTAAAGCCAGACTCTGTTAGCGATTCCTGGATGTGCTCCAGATGTGAAGCAGGAGCCTGGACAGTGGTGAGTGGCAGCACTAACTTACACCAAAAAAAGAACAGGTTTCTCATAGTTGACAGGATGTTGAGCCTTTATGCACTTACACAGCCTCCCTTTCTTCATGAAAAAAAAAAAAAAAAAAAAATCAATGGATCTGTGTCACTTTGTTCTCCATTTCCCTCACTGCCGAAACTTAATCCTCATTTGCTTTCTGTTTTTCAGGAGTGTTGTCTCTGCAATTTGCGGGGAGGAGCTTTGAAGACTACCACAGATAACCGGTTAGTGGCACATGCTTGGGGTTTTTTCATGTGCAAAATTATCTGCAAATTCACTAATAACAAAACCCCAGGGTTTTTATTAATAGTACTAATAATAGTACGACTAGCTGATCTGACACACATTTAGCTACAGTATTAGTAAAACTTATTTTGATTTTGCAGGACTGGGATAAAACAAAAAAAAAAAAGTCATGGTTCAAAATAGGAGTCGTCCACAAATCTAACAAATTAAATCTAAGGAGATTGCTGTTTTTCTTTTAAATATTTGTTTATTTATTTCCCGTCATGGATAGATACAATTTTGAAATGAAAATCATCATGTATTGTTATCAGTGGAACTGACTTTGTAATGTATGCACAGAAAATTGTGCTGACAGTCATTGTCTTAAACATTCAGAATTGATCTGCCTTGTATGTCTATTAGTTTTACCTCTGTTGATTTTCACAAACCCTCCTTCTCTCTGCGTCTACAGGTGGGTCCACGTCATCTGTGCCATCGCTGTGGCTGAAGCTCGCTTCGTCAACGCCATTGAAAGGGAGCCAGTGGACGTCAGTGCTGTTCCAGAAACACGCAAGAATCTGGTAAGTTGGGGCAGATGTAAAGAAAAGATTTATTCATCGCTGTCACGGTGCAGTGTGAAGTATAAACAGCTTTACAGTTAAAATCCTCACCTTTATCCTACAAATGGCGATCTCCGGCTCTCTCTTTGAGGAAGATTTCAAAACTTCTTTTTACTCATTGCTTATTGCAGCCATTCATTTCTTTTGTCTTGCTTTCCTCACTTTTATGACGTCGTCTCATCTCATCCTTAATTTCCTTTTCTCACTCCTACAGTCTTTGTCTACCTTTAAGCGAATTCCTGTCTTTCCCACTCACTGCCTCTGTATCTGTCACTCTCCGTTACCCACTCTCCTTCCCTGGTGGATGGATAGATCATGTTTTTGCGAGCTGTGGAGGACACAGGGTAAAACAGATGTGCTGAGGGGAATGGCTGAATAATCAGCTGTCATTTCTTACTGCGCCAAATGAACTGCATCGATCCCGTGGGCAGGAGGTAATTTCCCCATTGCTGCCGCGTCTTTGAACACAACTCGTCCCCTCCCTTCCTTTCCTCTTGCCATCTCTCCCTCCCAGTTTCTGCTATCCCGCTTCACAGGCAACAGCAGTGCTTGCTGGTGCATTATCACAAATCTCCCTTTCTCTCCGAATAATCTATCCAAGACAAGCTGGGTGACATTTGCATCCGAGTGCTGTCAAAGCAGGTTTCCTCCATCTCTTCTTAAAAGGCCATGAGAAGAAACTCTGCGGTCTAATGATTTGGATGACTGGGCTGATCAAATGTGAACACGCACCCGTGGAACCCGTTTATATTGCACAGTGTTCAGCAATATGTGGTTTTTCCTCCCATCTTTGAAGGTATGCTTTTCAGGGACGGAGAGATTTCACGAAAGCTCCTTTTGTCTTTGGGATCTCGGAATTTCTCTGGCAAAGTAGCACGGCACAAATCCAAGTTATAATTGTTGAGTTTTCCACCTTCTATTCCACGTCCACTATTGTAATTTTGGAGTTAGCAATGTACTTGAAAGAGTAGATGTAGTGGTCACTAGCATGCAATGTTTTTTAGGCAAACAGAGGCCAAAGTCAGACATTGTCATATTCAACTAAAAAAGGGCTCCAAAATGTGAAATAAGGTGGATTCTGGTTGATTTCTTTCAAAGAGAAAGAGATTAAATGTACATATAAAAACAGCAAGGTGGGGTGAGGTATAAACAAACAAATAGACATACAAATAATGTTTCTTGGTGCTACTGAATTTCTTCCATGATGCTCTGGTCTCGTGTCATCGCCTGTCTGTGATTTGAGCAGTGGAAACCTATTCCAGCTGGTGGAAAGTATAAGCCATAGCATACAGTGAAATATCACACAGTACAGCTCCGTTGAGAGCTGTTGTACATTTTTCCTGCACCAAAAAATGAAGTATTGGCACTTTGATAAAGAATTTTTATTTTTTATTGATCGCCCATGTGCTGCGCTACAGCCGCTCGCCGTGTGATTTGTCAGAAGGGGGAGGCTGGAGAGGGAAGGATGAGAGAAAAGGGGAGGGATTGGGTGTTTGATGATAGATAATCACAATAAACCAAGTACACAGAAAGATATCAGGCACATAAGATGAGACGGTTGTCAAAGCTGGTGGGATAATGGGTTGAGTCTGTTTGTTCGATTGAAGCATGGCGTCATGAGTGGAATGTATATAATTCCACTTTTCTCTAATCAAATTTCTTTCTTGGCAGGTGATTTCACAAAGGATTTGAAGGAAGGTGATCTCACCTGAAGGTTTTGTGCATTGAGAATATAACTCAATTTGAGACACCAGACTCTCTTGTTCTCCTGCTGTTACCCTCTTTCCTTGTTGCATCCAGGCTTTTCATCTCTCTCTCTCTCTCTCTCTCGCTCTCCCTTCTTCTCTCAGTTTTCACTGAATCTGGGGACAAATGAGGGATGGGGAGGGGAGGTGTAAAGACGAAGAGCAGAAGACATGGAGGGTTGAAGGATTGGAAGTGAATGAAATGAAGGTTGTGGGGTTGTAAGTCCAAGGTGGTATGTGTCAAAGTGGCTCAGCAGGAAGTCGACCTGGTTTGCGGACGAGGGCAAAGATTTGGTTGGGTGGTGGTAATTTCACAGTCAGGATGTGGGGATGGAATGAAGGGATTTGAAAAAGAAAAGAGAAGTGCTCCAAGGCAGAATGGCAAATTCCTTGTACGATTGTGTAAGAGCAGAGGTTGAACGAGTGATGCAAGTCACAAAAAAGGATGGAAGAAAAAAGAGAGATGAGAAACATGTTTTGAATGTCTCAGCGAGTGTTCAGGCTGCTGTTAACAAACACCAAGTTGCTCTGTAAAGAAGTTGGGGAGAGAGTCTCACCACGCCACTGACACTGATAACAAAACAAGCATGTTATGAAAGCTGAAAACATTCATTCTATTTTTAATGATTAGAAACCTGAGAACCAAACAGAATCAAAGATCTGAGAGAAGAGAAAATGGTTACACTGCTGATTCCTCCATCATCTTTGTTTCATGTGATACTCGACAATTCCTGATATGTGAAGGTGTGAAAGACCTGAATAAAAGAGTGGAATTGTCTTTTTGTAGCTAAATCACAGTGCTGGTGTTCACCTACTTGGAATAGCTGGGCGGGGTTTATGACATCAAGTACTAAGATTTCCACATTTGTGATCAAAATTTCTGTGTATTAAGTATTTAGCTGTCTGGTGAACACTTTTTTCCTAACATCTCTTCTGAATATTTCCAGTATCAACAACCTTAGTAGGAACTTTGACAATGTCACTGTGATGCAGTAGTCTGGGAAATGTGGAGCATCTGTAGTCATGAAAACAGTTGTTTACCTAGTTCCTATTATGTCCCTATTGTTATGTGTTGTTTCAGAATTACATTTCAGCATTTAGCTGAGAATTTTTTCACATAGTAATTTGCAGTGAATAAAATAATAGAAAAAAAGCTGAAGTTTCATGTTCCCTGGTGTAATAAGTAACCCTTAGTTGCAAATGCAAGATCCTGAAACTAAGGACTGTAATAAAATTCCTGTAATCTTTGAACATCCATGAAAGAGAATGCAAGAAGGAAAAATAAGATAATGAGGTCAAGGGGGATTTGTGTCTAACCTGAATCACGAACCAAAAGTCTTTGGTTTTTTGTTCGTGTTGCAGAAGTGTGTGTTCTGCCATGGCAAGAATGCCAATCAGAACCGCGGCGCCTGCATCCAGTGCTCATACGAGAACTGTGCCACCTCCTTCCATGTCACCTGCGCCCAAATTGCTGGAGTGGTCATGAAGCCTGCCGACTGGCCCTATGTGGTGTCTGTCACCTGCCACAGACATAAAAGGGTCCCTCCAAAGGTAAGTGCAACTCAAGAGAAAAAGTCAGCCATTGAACTGTGTGTTTTTTTCAGATTGAACCCACTAAAGTTCATAATTTTATTTAAGATTTGATAGGAGATTTTGCGAAATTATAGCCTCTTACCTGAAATTGCTTTCAAAAATGTTGCATTACATTTTTTTTGCTGTTGTCATGTTTTATGAGCAGACGTCGCATTGTAGAAGAGAGATTGTTTTTAAAGTGGATACAACGTGGTGGAAGTGAAAATAGCTTTTGGGTTTCATCGAAGTGGAGAAAACTTTACACTGTGTTTTTTGTGTGTGTTGTGAAATGACTATTGTCGGAATGGTTGAGATCTTTGTTGAAGCAGCAGAAGCATAATGATTGGTGAAAGGTGCTAATGAGTAGAAGAGTCACTGGTTTAAGTTAATGAGAGAAAGTAGCAATGCTCTTCTTGGACAAGATAAATCATACAGACAGATTCCCTTCACAGAGTTGATGATTTGAATATATTTGAATATCTGTGTTGTAAAGTAGAACTCACCACCTGTGTCTTGTGTTAAAACAATCTTATGCTTCTTATTTAGGCATGTTTGATTTTGCAATTTAAAAAGCTGTCTTAACTTCTGTCTGGGTTTCTCTCCTTCCAGCCGCGGACAGCACCCAAAGGCCCACAGTGCCTGAACCTGGGCCAGAGAGTGATCGGTCGTAATGCTGACGGCTGGTACTACCACTGTACCATCATCGGCATGGCAACGCAGACGTTCTACGAGGTCAACTTTGACGACGGTTCATACTGTGACAATCTGCACCCAGAAAAAATATTGGTGAGTTCTCTTACAGTTTAGTTACACACCTGCCTCTGTATAATTCATAGAAACAATTTCAACAAATGGTGCCTTTTATAACCAGAGACATATCCTAGCAACTGGTGTTTACTTTGTAGCTTAGGCATCTTAGTAAATGAAAGTCATTGAGAATGACTCACTGCTCTAAAGTTAGATACAAACATAACTTTAATTTCACTGTTTGCTTATGAGAAAAAAGGTTGAACTAAAAACAATATGCAAGAACTATATCAAGTAATCTAATTTAAAATAACAAAACTTATGCAATCAAGGAAATTTTACTTAATCTTCCACTGCTTAGTAAAACACAAGTGGAAAGTGAAGGGACCTCATGAAAATCCTGCCAAAAAACCTTCATTAGTCAAAGTTCTTTACTCTATATACCGAATCTGTCTGCTAACTGCCTCAGGTCAATTACTTAATGTTATTTTTAAATCATGAGTTCATCAGCATTTTAAAAGTGTTTTAGTAAAATGGCATGATCAGTTCTCTTCCATCTCCTCCACATTCTCTGTTTCTCACCAATTTCTTCCTCCTTATCTACATCCTCTTCCTTCCCTTCCTCCTTCAGAGTCACGACTGCTTACGTAGCGGTCCTCCTGAAATAGGGGAGTTGATCGTGGTCAGCACGCCTGAGGGTCAGGCCCTCAACGCTTCTTTTGTCAAACAGCACACCCACAAGCTCTACCAGGTGAGGGGAAAAACACAATATAACATCTCTCTGAACAGACTGGATAAATCTCTTGTAAAATACATCACAGTTTAGTTTCTGTGACTTGCACAGTTGATAGGTAAATATATGTAAGAAAGAGGACCAGAAAAACAGTTCACATTCCTAAGCAACTGCTGTTCAAAAGCCTGTAAGCAGTGGAATTCCTGCCAGCAGTATGTGTAAATGTATGAACCTTTCCAAGTCAAATCAACCTGCATCAAATCAAAATGCATGTCTGAATACAGTGCCACTAAGGTGTGGTGCAGGAAAAACAGCTAGGCAAGTACTCTGTGAGTAATAGTATCATTTACACATGACAGGATGTGATTGAACCTGTGAACTTTCAGTAACAGGGTGCTCTTTCTCATGGCTTTGCCACCCTCTGGTTTGGGTCCCAATTCTGGTATTTATCAACATGTGTAATGCTCGGCTGCCCCTGTAGATTATGGCAGAGCATTTTGATACAGTGCGGCATTAAAAAGTAAAGTGCAGAGATCACTGGTGCATGCTGGGGAATTTATGGGGTAAATATAAAGAGTCCTTACAAAGTGGAAAATTCAGAATTGAAGAAGACAATTCTGGGACTGGTGTCAGAGGAGGCCAGCTTGATAGTCACTTATGTACATGAGTAAGGGATTGCATTAGCAGACAAGGTCAAATGAGATCGTTAATCTCAGATTTTGCCGTGACATTGGTTTTGTAAGTACATCTGTAACTGTTATTCTGAATGCACACAAATATACACACGTGTACACACAGAACAGACATTTTGATAACTTGCTGAATAAGTCATTGAACCATGTCTGACGCATTCAGTCTCTTTATTAAAACATCAATTAAATGCGTGAAATATAATGTTTAAAATATTGAACCAGTCTTCCAGGCTTTTGTTTTTATTCATTATACAGGGGAAACATTTCCAGACATGTTTTTGTGGCCCGATCTTGTTTCCTCAGATGCTGCTAAGTTAGGGTTTATTTTCCTTTAGAAAATAAATCGGCTTTGTATCTTTCTGTGCTTTTTTTCATGTCCCTTTGTAGCCTAGAGGTTACAGTTCAGTCCCGTTAGAGACAAAGAACACTGTTACAATGAGTAAAAAAACAATTCTCCACCTTGTAGCTGTTTCAGGGACACAACCCTGACCTTGTCATTTTTTGCTCAAGATTTTTTTAAATCTACATTTATATTTAAAAACACTTAGCTAACGGTCATTTCCAGTCAGTAAGCAGCTTTGGGGTTCAGTGCCATGGTCAAGGACATTTTCACAGAACACATGGTTGTTGATTAACCATTTGTGATGGCTGAGATCCAGTGTTTGTGTTTTTACTCACCTAGCCACCTTGATACTCTTTTCTTCCATCACCAGCTCATGTGTCCTCTTGCTGTTCTGACGGTGTAGTCTTCTCCTGATTTAGTCTCAACTAATTATTTATCAAGTCGAATGTATTTGGCAATCATGTGTGGCCAACTGTGCTCACTCTGCTCACAGGGGACGAGAGAGTTGGAAATGTTGGTTGATTAATCCAGAGTTTTATTATGCATGTGCAGGTTGAGTTTCAGGATCAGAGTCAGCTGATGCTAAAACACTCAGAGATCCATCAGCTGGACCAGGAGCTGCCCAAGAGGGTCCGAGCCCGACTTGTGAGTATTTTACTGAAATTCTGCTTCGGAAAATGGCAAGAAGGGGTTAGCCCAACAGTATCTTGTATTGTTAGATAAAAGGACACTAAAGTAGTTGCAGATAAATAACTTTTATTCAAGGAAACAACTTTGCACTTTGCAGCCTGTGTGTGGGCCTATATGTGTGGGCTTTTGGTTTGAATAAATATCTATTTTATCTGGTAAATAAGTGTTGATGTACTTCTGAAACTTTATTGCAGCTTTAACATCTAAAGGGTTCTGATGCCAGAGAAGTTTGCCATAAATAATTGTACAGATACAGGCTGCGCTGACTTTTAAAATCCCAGTTTATTTTGAAGACACTTAATAACAGATTGCATAGATTAATCTAAGGTAAATCTACCCTCACTGGACAATTGGATAGGACAGATCATGAGCTCTAGTCTTTCAGGAACTCATGCAGTCTGACATAATTGTGTATTAATATACACATTATTCAACCAGAGTGGAAAACAGCTGATGGAGAAAAAACATACCAGGAAATATTGTAAAGTGTGTAACTGGTATAACCAAGCTAAGGTGAGTATTCATCATTTCAAAAGAGTAATACAACCACTAACTAGTTCTGAGTTTTATCGGCAAGCTCCACTAGGAACAAATCTCTGATCACACACCAGCAATTTGTTGTGACAAAATGAAAGTATGTATTTATTATCACATAGTAGTGCAAGATGTTTCAAAGACAAGACTAAGAAAACCAAACTGCAACTAATGGTTATTGTTATTATCAAATATTGTTTTTTTTTTTTTTTTTTAAATGTTGAATCCTTTTGTCTAATAAATAATATAAAAGAAGCGTAAAATATGCCCATCAGAATTTTTGAGGGTGATATATAGTGGACACATGTATAGAATTCAGACACATATCAAATGGCAGTGCACGCTAGTAAATAGAGAGAGCACAAATCACTTCCTAATTATGTACCTGTCTGTTTTCAGGCCATACCTGTACCTCAGGAGGAGGTCCCCTCAGCAGATGAAGCCCAAGCAGCCAAGCGCCGCCGCCTGCCCTCGGGTTCAGCCCCACCCACTGAGACTCCCATGGAAACAACAAATCCGCCCACCTGCCCCCTAACTACAGCCCCGGTAGAAGCACCAGCAGCACATCATGACAGTATTAGTACACCGCTGACCTCACAGCCTCTGTCCCAGCCCAGCATGGCCCGACAGGATGCCGCCGCCGCACCAACCAACGGTATGGAAGCTGAGACCCCAATGGACACAAGCGTCAGCCTCGCCGACGCTCTAACGGAGTCATCCCTGGCCTCGGACCCCACGCTGACTCCACAGACGACCTCTTTTCAGTCGACATTGAACTCTGACCCCCTCCTGTCTGCCCAGTCCCCTCCCCCACCACCCCATCACATGTCCAACAGCTACACGCCGAGCAGTGGCTATGTTTCCTACATGGAGACACTCCTCCATTCACATTTCCCTCAGGACGATAGCCACGGACCCCTGTATTAAAGAAAAAAAAAAAAAAACACAACTCCACTATGTTATTACTTGGTCAATGGAGACTGAGCCAATAGGAAGTAAGCTAATGGAGGTGGATTGTACTGAGTGCTGTATTAACTGGCCGTGAGAGCTCAGGGCCGGAGCAGGAAAAGACACGGACACATGAGCACTCTTTTAATGCATGCTACTTTTCTACTTTTGAGTTAATGTATTTGCAGTGGTGCTTTAGCCTGCTCTGAAGCAGCAGCTAAAGAGGAAAAGGCTTTTTTTATTTTTGACATTAATTATAATTATTATTATTATTGTTATTATTATTTGTTTTTGTTTATTTTTTGGTAGGTCTTGTTTTTTTTTTTTGTTTTTGGTCAGCTGCTGTGCTTTTCTCCTCCATCTTAATATGAATACGTCTCTGGGTGGTATCAACTCCATACCTCGTTGCATTAATTCAGTAACAGCACACTCCCTTTTTCTTTCTACAGGAAGCTAATTACTATAATGGCCTCTCTGCATTGAGGTCTTGGTGGACTACACATTTTTTTTTCTTTTCTCTCCAAATCAAATAACCAGCAACAAAATATCTATTTTTCAATCCAGCCACTTGTGGCTTCAATACTGTTTGGAATGAAAGTGTCACAATGTCCATCTACAGGATATTTTCAGTAAGGTGTTTTATTGCCGGATTGCAAGAGGTAAATGGGGAAAAGGGGTTTAAAAAAAAAAGTATTGTAGGGGGAACCCAGTATTTAAATGTCTTAGTCAAATATTGAAAGAATTATTTGTAATAGAAGAAACATGTTGAATGCAAACACTAGTAGATGTGTCACCGTAGTAAACAGAAGAGATCTTTTATGTAATGACGTCATTGAAATGGTCATTTGGCGACTCCACTTTTCACTCCCAAAACTGTCTCAGGGTTCCTACATGTGGAAAATAAATTCTAACATGCAAGTCTTCGCGCAGTTAAGAAAGTACACAACAGCCTGGAAAATTGCCTCAAAATTATCCTCAGTCATAGTTGGCACATGTATATCCGTTGCTATTATTGTCATATTTGCTCCTGTTAACAGTTTATCTGCTATATTGAGTGATATCTTTGTTTACTGTCACGTTATCTCCTAGTAGCACATGAACTGGTAAAAACTATGAAGTCAGTTTAAAGAATAAAATTATGGAAAATGTCTGATACTTGGAAATAGGAAATTATGTAGGAACCCTAAAATCTGGAAATATTTTATACCATTTTTGGTTTAAATTCTGTGTATTAATCAATATTGTATATTGTTAATGTTGTCTGTTTTTTCTATGACGGTATCCTTTCTATGTTCATTTTCTTAAATGAATTCACAAACTTGGCCGATCTAAAAAATATTAATACCTTTATTTTTGACAGATTTTTGCAGGCATATTACTCAGTTTATAACGACAACTACGTGTTTTTTTTCCGGGATATGGCCGATTTGTGCTACAAAGGTGCTACAGAGATAAACTACTGATGGACTAAATTTCCCAACACTGTCACCTTGTACATACCGCAGGCCTTGTGTATCGTGAATCAAATTTGTAAATGTCCTCTTTGTTTTTCTTCTGTCACGACAACCGAAATGTTGGAACACAGATGTGTTCCTGTATCCAAATGATCATCAGTTGAGAAATCTTATTTCATAGGGATTAAAGTGGGTTGCTAGTTGCCAGCTCCTCTGTGTTTTGTGTGTTCAGTAGCCCAGACATTCAAAAAGTAGTTTCTGGGTCGAAATCTTTGGACTAACTGTGGAAGAATGAGAGTCTCCTCAGTAACAACTAACACCTTCTGATCATTAGATATTATAGTTAGCAAGGGGAAATTCAGGTGTCCAGCAGCTCATTGGTAATAATAATGATAGTTAATAATAAATATAATACAATAAAATCAATCAAGATACATTTTAAATTTTCTTGAAACTGAGTTCTCGGTTATCCATAAATTAACCGGATAGGAATCTCTGGTTTTGGTTATTCCACTGCATTAAATAAGTAACAAATCAAGGTGCGTTATCACATTGATCTAACAATCTTGTAAATACAGTTATGCTATAAAATGATCACTTCCTTTGTATAATATAGCAATTTTTTTTTTTTTTGTCCATAGGTGAAAATAATTCCCTATCTTCAGTTCAGTTTGAGTCTTTATTGTAAGCTATCTGTCATCTAGCTGTAGTGCTGTATTTACCAAACAAATTGGAGAGTGGTGTCAGATCATCTAGCTATTTGTTGCAATTGCTAGTGCTACGTACCCAATATTAGCGTTAACCACTGTTTCCTTAGCAGTCTAGAGGAGATGTTGCAAGTTCAAACTTCATTCCTTTACTCACAAACAGTTGTCTCCTGTAGTTGAAAGCAATGCCAGTGTTAACTCTTGTTTTGCTTCTGTTTCTACCACTTCTTTTCTTCTGTAGCGTCCAGTCTGCTCTGAAGATGTAGCACTGCACAGAGGGCGTACCTCTTGTACTGTAAAGGCAACAATGGCTGACGCTCTTCACAAGACCCTCACCACCACCTGCTCCTGGCAAGAAACCATGTTCAGCAGCAGGGAATGTCCTGAAGTCTAAATACAGAAGGTCTTGGAAGCAGTTCTCATGAAGTCCCCCTGATATTCTCACCTTAACTTTGACCACCCAAACCCTTACTTAACCATCTCTAATACAAACCTAAACATATCTATTTCAACTTTATGCTCAGCTCCAGCCCATATGAAGACTTATGAACGTTATCATTTTAAACCTTCTGGTTTGGCAGACCCATCAGAGCGCCTGTGGGGAATCCATAATTTTGCATCTTAAAAGAAAATACTAGTTTCAGTATTACATTTACTTTCCAATGTTGAAATTCTTTTCCCTTAAGGCCTCAGGGGAAATTTTATTTTCTTCTATTTCTTCACATTTATTCACGTAATGGTGAAATTTAATTAAGGCCACCAGGGTTGCCCTGAGTCTGTAGCGTGTAATTGTCTTTTTAAGACATGATCCTCGGCCTCCTCCTCAGACAAAGAGATTATAAGTGTATTTTCAATAATTGGCAGTGCAAACAGAAGCATCACTGTTTATTCCTCTCTGTAGAGTCTCGTTGGCAGGAATTCTGGTTTTGCACATTAAGCACACAGCAGGGAAGTACGTTTTTGCTCTTGCTTGCTGGATTCATCACGAAAGCTATTTTTAGACGGTGTAATTAGCAGGAGCCACCATTCAGACCAACTAAACCCCCCCCCGACCCCAAAAAAGTAATTCTACAATTTAATTATATTTTCATAAGTGGAATACATTACTCTGAGAGGGAACTCAAATCAGTTTCATGGGAGTCTAGATAAGATGTATATTAGTCAAGTGTGTCTGTCATGTCACTACATCATTAGTAGCATTCAATCTGGATGGAGCAATGCGCTCTCTTCTATTTGTGGTGTGGGATTATGCATGTCCACCCTCCATGCTTTTTTCCCTACATCAGAAAGATGAATTTGATTTGAATGTAGTGAAGTGTTTAACAGATATACCATTTTTTCCACTTCATTTTGCACCGCTATGGAAAGGTCAGAGGTCACTGCAATCCAACCAGAAGGACCACCCACTGCTCTGAAAGAAGATATCCTGACACTATATAATGTACCTGCTTCCCCTTAACACATCCTCAGCCTGCTATGGGTTCAAAAGCACCTTCAGACAGGTTGGGATGTTGCACCGATGTACTCAATGTTTTAATCAAAATCCAAACAGGCTGCATTGGTTCTGGGGCCCATCGCAAAAACGATTCACAAGCGTTGCTTCGCAAAGATCACTAATGAAGGGAATGTGATATGTATATACAAAATATATATATATATATATATATATATATTGTATATGCTGTATCTGTCGTACAAGGTGTCTGTGTGTAGATTATTGCTGTGACAAATCCATCATACAAGTGGTTTGAACATTCAAACACTGGTGCCAAATGGCCATTCTACATCAACGTCCTTGCTAGTTACTGTCATCATCACAACTTTTGTAAAAGAAAATGACATCATATGGTTGACATTTGCCAAAAAGATAAAAATAACCCCACAGACCAACACAATGTGCTCACTCTGATCTGTTTTTAAAAGCAGTTGCCTCTTCCTTCATGTCCTTATACACTAACAGGATTCACTTTGACTCCTCAATGTGAAGAACGACCTTCCAAATTTGGAAGAAGCCCAATGAGAAGAGGATAGAAGTGGAGAGGAGAAGGTCACTGAAAGAACAAGAAATCCGTGTCTTATGGACAAATTGTTAATGTGGGTAAGAGCACGCACACACACACACACACACACACACAGACACACACACACACGCGAACACACTAACACTACTAGCTGTGCATATGCCAAGGCTGCATTGCCCTCTCTGAATCAGGGTGGCCATTAACATTCTGAAGTGCCCGCTGTGTCTTTGCAGAGGAACTGGGGATGTGCCAGCTTGGCAATTACTTTAACAACCCCAGAGTTTGATTTCTTTATTCAGTTGAACCCAGCCAGGGGTAAAACTAAGGAGAAACATGAGGAAAAGGACTCCAAAAGGACAAAAGTTTAGACTGACCCAACTGTAGCTCAGAAACAAGGAACTTCCATCATTTCAACAATATCTAACAATATAACCAACTACACTGCAGCAGTAAGTGTCCTTGAGGCTATTGAGACCACACACACACATATCTGTAAGTTCAAAGGTCATGGCAGCCAGTGTGAGAGTCCGTCTCCACCAAAATGTCCTTCAGGATGACATTAAAACCTCTAACCTGCTTGATGACTATCAGGCAGCTGAATGGCTCACATGGAAATGGAAATCAGTGAATGCAGTGGGATCTAATTGCAGATGGAAGTGGCAATTATGTTGACAAGCTGGTTGATATGACAGGCTCCATTATAGCCTTAAGCTTTTATTACATTTCTGCCTAGTAAATCACATCACTGAGGCAGCATTACCATAATGACTTAGTGGGGCTCAATCTGTTTAACACTGTCCCTTGTTTGAAGGGGACTGGAC